GACTCCGGATGGGCAGAATCCAGTCACAGGCAGCAAACCCGTTAGCCGGTGCGACAAGACAAATGTGTGCCAAAAAAAAATCAAGAGATTCCGGCAGTTAACACACAGCTGCTCCGGGCGCCAAATTAATAAGTAGTCTATCCGGTATATCTTACGGAGATTTCTAAGCAGAGATTTATAAACGAAATCGATTGTTCAGAATCAGAGTCAGAGTCAGAATCAGAGTCAGAGTCAGAGTCAGAGTCAGAGTCAGAGTCAGAGTCAGAGTCAGAGTCAGAGTCAGAGTCAGAGTCAGAGTCAGAGTCAGAGTCAGAATCAGAGTCAGAGTCAGAGTCAGAGTCAGAGTCAGAGTCAGAGTCAGAGTCAGAGTCAGAGTCAGAGTCAGAGTCAGAGTCAGAGTCAGAGTCAGAGTCAGAGTCAGAGTCAGAGTCAGAGTCAGAGTCAGAGTCAGAGTCAGAGTCAGAGTCAGAGTCAGAGTCAGAGTCAGAGTCAGAGTCAGAGTCAGAGTCAGAGTCAGAGTCAGAGTCAGAGTCAGAGTCAGAGTCAGAGTCAGAGTCAGAGTCAGAGTCAGAGTCAGAGTCAGAGTCAGAGTCAGAGTCAGAGTCAGAGTCAGAGTCAGAGTCAGAGTCAGAGTCAGAGTCAGAGTCAGAGTCAGAGTCAGAGTCAGAGTCAGAGTCAGAGTCAGAGTCAGAGTCAGAGTCAGAGTCAGAGTCAGAGTCAGAGTCAGAGTCAGAGTCAGAGTCAGAGTCAGAGTCAGAGTCAGAGTCAGAGTCAGAGTCAGAGTCAGAGTCAGAGTCAGAGTCAGAGTCAGAGTCAGAGTCAGAGTCAGAGTCAGAGTCAGAGTCAGAGTCAGAGTCAGAGTCAGAGTCAGAGTCAGTCAGAGTCAGAGTCAGAGGCAGTCTACATCATGTCATGGATGTAGCTTTAAAATAAAACTAGAATCAGCGCAGCATTAGAAATGGTTTTTGTTTTATTGCAATTCGTTCTGCCATTGATCTTATTTGGTCACCCTCTATATGGATAAAGGATACAATTTGGAATATCGAGAATGTTATGATGATATTGAAGCGATTGATGTGAGAGGACATTCAACGTAACAGCTCGTAGGCGTGGTATGCACGAAATTTGAGTTTTCGCCAGCGTTGCACAACCACTAGAACACCGAGGCAGAGCCACATGATAATCACCACAATGGAATATATGGAAATGGCAGATTGCTCAGGGATTTCGCTGTTCTTCAGCATGAAGACCATGTTGCGAAAGTTGTGCTCGCACTGCACACAGCCGTCGAACTGCACGTCCACAAAGTCGTCCTCGTAGGATTGACCGAACAAGGATAACTGGCCACGCACCACCAGCACCAAGCCGAGCAGCGGAATGAGCGGACGGCAGCCAAACATATTTCGAATATATTAGGAGAAAGAAAGAAACCCACTTGTGTTCTACTAAACAATTGATTTCAAAGTGAACATCCGATCAAGTGCTGGGCTTCTTTTATATAAACGCTGCACTGAGCTATCATATGACGATCCAATTGAATCGCTGTTATTCGGAGAACTAAAATTGTTTCTGGAGCGCAGAGTCATAAATAAGCAATCGATAGCTCCAGTTCGGTTGAACGAAGTGAGTTTGTGCATATGTTTGCTCATTTGACACCTTATCAAGTGTTAAACAAAGCCGAAGCAATGAATTTCCAAAGGTGGTTCAAGATGGGCCTTCGAAAGTGTTTAGAAAACCTTTTGCACCTTGAAGAACACTTGAACTAAAGCTGTTATACCTTGAACCCATTTAAAATGGTTCAATTCAGAGTGTAATAGTACTAGTAGAAGACCTCAAAGCTTATAAATAATATTAATCAGAACGACGATTTTATTCGATTTGATGATTTGATGCCAAATTTTAAGAAACTAGTAAAAGAGTTCAAGCCGATTTACAAGACTACTGTACAGTTGAAGACACCTACTTGTTTAATCTTTAATATTTTATATACTTCAAACAAAATCTGCATCCTGCTGAGAAAAGGATTCAACACACTCTATAGCAATTCGAGCCAATCATTAACTATCGGCTCAATACAAAGTTTCTCATCTGTTGTTCACTGAAAAAGATTTTACTCAACTGCTCAACTGAGCTCGTGAATGATGCAACTCTTTGAGTGGAAACAGAGTGCAAACAGACGAACTAATATATGAAGAGAGGCAGTATTTTATTTACTCAGCAACAGAACGTTGAGTGTATAAACGCGCTCATATGCAGCTCTTTGAGTGAAATCAGAAAGCAAACAGCTCATGCAATTGAGCACTAATATATAAAGAGTGAGAACATTTCACTCACTCAATAACAGCATGTTGAGCTTGTAAAAGCGCTCAGCTGCAACTCTTATAGTAGAAGTAGCTATTTAACGTAACTGACTTAGAGTGTAAACAGGCTATGCATTAAGAGCATTAATATTTGATGAGAAAGAGAGCGAAAAAGAGAGCTTTTCGCTCACTTTGCAATATCCGGTTGAGCTGCTAAATGCACTCTTTGAGTGAGAAGCGAGTGCAAACAGTCCATGCACCGTTAGCACTATTGAAGAGAGTGAGGAATTCATTCACTAGGCAGCAAGTAGAGTTGGTCAAAGTGCTCAGCTGCAACTATTTGAGTAAAAAGTAACTATTGAACACTCAATGCAATTGAATATGAGGGGAAACTGGACATACACTTTGAGCAGTATCATATGAAGGAAGACTTTGGTTAGGCAAGTAACTCAGAAAACATGCTCGCAAAATTTGCGAGCTAAAATTAATGTTTATTCTTAAGTATTGTAGATGAAGATGAAGTTGTGCGGAATTAGACATATTATTTAGTAATAAATTATATATATATATATATCAATTTTTTTTATATTACACCATTATTTTCTTATTAACCGTCTTTACTCCACATAAAGTCTTTGAGTAATTAAAAATTTTAAAAATATAAAATTTACTCCACATAAAGTCTTAGAGTAATCAAAAATTTTAAAAATATAAAATTAATAATTTTTAACCACTTACTCTACCATGCTACCTTACTTAAATTGTAAACTATTGAACATGCATTTTATCATGAGAATAATTGAAAATATTACATATTTAATAATATGTATATATGTTTATCTATAGCTGATCCAAAACGAATTAAAAATAATAAATAGGTTTTTCTTACTTATAGATTTGAATTGTTTCAATTTCATATTATAATTCTGTAAATTGATTTTCCTCTTTTTATAAAACAACGAAAATTGTGGGCTCATTTTTTACACTTCAGTGAAATTTCGCATTTTAAATGCATTTCAATTTTTCAATTTTTTTTCATTTTTTTCATTTTTTTGTTATTTTTTCGGAATCTGCATATTTTAAGTTAACAAAATGCAAATGGACCTATTTTTTTCTGGTTCGCAGCCATTGGCCAAAGGTCAGTAACGGCAATCGGCACTCAATTTGATAAATATATTGTTTGTATCATGGAAAATGAACTTCCGATACGCTCAACAAAGGCACGTCATAAATTTTCATATTAATTGAAAATATGCTCAACCACAAACGTGGCCTGAACGCAGATACACACAGACAGACATAGCCATTGACAAACGGTATTCACTGTGTGGGCAAACGTTTAGCATATAAATCAGCATTAAGTTATACATTTTTAGTTTGCAAATGCAATAACATTTAATTTCCTTGAGGATAACATCTGCTAAAACGTTTTAACAAATTAACTTTCGCATAGCAACAGTGGGCAGTACAAGAACAGGATGGAAAATCCTGAAGCTGGAAGCCCACAAGCCCAAGGTGATGACACCCGCAAACTCTCCAGACAATTCCCAATGCGAATCTGTTCGAAGCTGCGTAAATCTTAGTCAAACAAGCTGCCAACACTCCAAATACCACAAATAACTACATATATAAGCCCAGGCTCTCGCAGTATAGAAGTTCTGTGTCTATCGAACTGCACAATTTATACACGTATGTCCGTATCCGTATTCGTATTCGTATTCGTATTCCTATTCGTATTCACATTCAGCAAGTTGTCATTGTCTGCGTTTGCACCATGCACATTTTGTGTATTAAAACTTGTCGAAATTTTATTCAATTTACGTGCACTTAAGCGACGATTGTGCATTAAGATATGACGCAAAAGTTGCAGCAATGCCTCCGCCCCGCACCCGCCGCCATCTAAGGCTTCGTAATAGATACGGATACGTGTTGATGTTGTCGCAAATGTAAACGAAACACAAGTAAAAGTGCTCTACTTGGGTCTGACCGACTAGCAAATGCCCTGCACAGAACTGTCGTTCCCACACACACACACACACATGAGGTACAAGATACAAAAATTAAAATTGAAATATGTTTCATATGGATTCTTATCGATTATCTAAAGCTATAAATAAAATATATGTTGAGTTGTTAAACTAATTTGAAGTAAAAGACTGCAGAGAATTGAGCCTGTGGCAAAAAAAAAATAAGAATTTTTAAATTTACATATTTTTAATATTTTGAAACTCTTTTAAATGGCTCTTCTTATAGTTTTTATACGTTTGGTTTCTCAATTAAATTTTATTCATTCGAAATGAATATGAAATGAAAAAGTGTGAGAAATGTGAATCAAATTTCATTTGTAATAATAATTTCATAAGGCAGCAGAGACAATTTTTTCAGTTTGAATATAGAATTTTAGCAGTTAGAAAATACGTTTGCTAGTCAAGCCCTTGACGAGGCCAAACTATCTATTTAAGCCAAGAGGACTAGCAATGTTAAAGAGCGTTATGAATGGTAGTGAGAGTGGAAGAATGAGTTGTAGCTGTATCATTGAATTCAACAGACGATGCCTCGTGTATAAATATGATATTTTTATAGCTTTAAAAAAGACTCGGATAACTCTGACTAAATGTTTCATGACTGCAAATGGAGTTTAGAATAACTCGAAATTAAGTTTCGCACTCGAAGTCAGCTTGATCTCTACTGAATTTTATTTTATTGACACAGGCTAACAGTTGAAATATGTTTGTTAATATATGAGGTCCAAGCGGTTGATAGAGCTAAAGTGATTTAGTGCTGCGAAGCAGAGAAGACGATTTATTTGGATCTGCCAGACGCTTGCGCTGATTGCCGGATCATCAAGTGACTGGACTAGGGAGCTATTTATAGAATCCACAGTCACGCTCCAAGCTATATTTAAACCAATCAAGAAGCAGGCCTGACCTCTTGGGAGCCTTGGCTGGGTGCTATAAAAGCCGGAGGCCAATTCACAGCGCAGTTCAAGTTCAGATCGAGGGCGCGCCAATAGTTCCATAAGATGCAAATTGTGTTTCTCATTTGTGCAATATTCTGCGTGGCAGCTGTGCTTGGGAGTTCGGAATCGTGTGCACCAGGCAAGCGCTGCGTGTCCTATGATCTGTGCAATGAGGGGCTCCTTGTGGACGGCCACTTCTACTCCGATCGCAGCCGCACTCTGCAGGACGAGCAGCACTGCCACTACATGGAAAAGTGCTGCAATGTGAACGAGACGGTAGGCCACTCTAGCCGGTTGCCATGGATCTAATCTAACGCTCCACTCTTAGCTTTCAGCCGGCAGCGGATTCAACTATAGCGATTCACTCTCAGCTCTGCCTCAGTGTGGCGGACGCCTGGATCTTTGGCTCCACTTGCGTCCGCTGGGCTACAAGAAGCAGGAGTCAAAGTTTGGCGAGTTTCCTTGGCTTGTGGCGATCTATGGAGCAGATGGGTATCTGTGCAGTGGCGCGCTGCTCACACCTTTAGCAGTAATAACCGCCGCACACTGTGTCCAGGACCAAGTGGCGACTGATCTGCGTGTGGTTGCAGGGGAATGGGATGCAGCAGTTCAGCTGGAGCCATTGCCGCATCAGGAACGAAATGTGTCCGAACTGTTAATCCACCCAAATCATACACAATCCCCGGCAGCCCATAATCTGGCTCTGCTCCTGCTCGATTCTCAGGAAGCATTTCAGCTGACGCCCCATGTGCAGGTGATTTGCCTGCCACCGCCGCAGCTCATCTACAACTACAGCCAGTGCTACGTGGCGGGCTGGCGACACTCGCAGTTCAATGGCAATGAGACGCTGCCCAGGCGTTGGCCTCTCTACATTCTGCCGCGGGATCAGTGTGGCTCCAAGCTGCGCTTGGCCATTTTGGGCCGTCGCTATGCGCTCAATGAGACGCTCCTCTGTGCTGGCGGCGACAAGGACGCTATTGTCTGCGGCGACATGGGTGCCATACCCCTCATGTGCCCCCTCTCCGGCAGCAATGATCGTTACGTGCTCGCCGGACTGCTGGCTCGTGCCGCCCGTTGCGATGGCCCCCAGCTGTTAAGCATCTACTCGAACGTGAAGTTCTACAGGCGCTGGATCGATCAAAAGTTGAGGGAGCGCGAACTGGACATCAGACATTATATGGTTTAGAGCAGACGCAGATCTAAGACGAATGCACTAAGCTCAATGATAAAGGCTTAGCTAATCCGTATAAAACTTAAAGTTAATCTTAGAGTAAAACACTGAAGACAATATATAAAAATATATCTCTGTTAATATTTGTAAATTTTATCTTTGCAAATATATTTTATATTCCCACAATTGTTCACTTTATGGAGTAATTAAAAGGGGACATCAACTGGGGTTCACATGAGGATCAAGCCAAAATGTTAACAAGTGTAATCCATATTCAAATTGTAATATATTTTATATTTGTTCTGCTTGTCAATTCTAGATCTAAATCTAGATACCCTTATTATTAACTCAGAGCCAAATACCCCTTAAAATACCAGTTTGAATAGATAAATAAAAGTGAAGCTAAGATAAGCTTGAAATATTCAACTTTTTGCTTCCCAAGTTTTATAAATGTAATAAATGCTTTTTTCAATACGATGAATCGAGAACTATATACACAATATATTGTGTATACTATATATTTCTACATCCATTGGCGAATAGTAAATTGGATAAAACTGCTCTAGAAGTATAGTAATCCATGTGAAAGACTTTAGTATTCCTATCATTTATGTGTATTAATTCGCTAAAAAAGATGGGTTTGTTGCCTTGGCCAACTCTCCATATTCCGTTCTCAATTTCAAATAGTAGAATAGTAAAAGCAAATATATTCAAAAACTAATTACCCATGATAAAGCCCATACGACGCCTACGCTTAGGTTGTTTGTAATCGATGTATAAAAAAGTGCAAAAGGATAGAATATCAGCTCTGAGCAGGGTTCAGGGTATCTGCGAGTCAGGCACTGCCGACTAGAGCAAACTAACTATTTTATGCCACTTATGCTTTATACAACTCTATACTTAGCAAGATCAGCTTTGCATGATACATGAATTCAGTTTATGGAACAATTGGTAGGGGAGATCGGGAATGAATACATCTGTTGAGTTTTATTTTATTTTTTATTTTTGTTACTTTAGATCGAAGACTCTGGAATCTACTTACAAAGTTCAATTTCGGCTCTTGGATACAATGGAAATAATAGCCCAAATACATTATATTGATTTTGCTTTTATTCCACTTTAGATATGAATTCAAAATGTGTCGCATATTGAACGTTAAAATACAGGCTACAAGCAAAACAAGAAATAAGCATACTATATAGAATATGTAAAAATATCTGATGCACATTATAGCGAATTAACTATGCAAGTCGATGCTTTAATTTTTCATCCACCAGACTGGGCCCACACATGCGATCGCACGATCATGTGCTGATCTGTCCCAATCGCTCAGTCCGTTCACTTCGCTATCCACTCCAGTCGAGTCCCAGCCAGCTTACGCAACGTCACAGCGTATCGTTGAACAAACGCTTGCTTTTCTTGAAGTTGGGATGGATGGGGCCGGGCAGGACGTGCGGCTTGAGTGCGCTTTTGCCGGGCTGACGATTCGCGTCGTATGGCATCTGTGGCGATAGCTTCAACTGACGATAGTAGTCACTTTTGGGATAGGCGCTGTTACACTTTGTCACAATGCGCACTCGTTTGCTGCCGCTTTCCGATTGCGGCGCTGCTCCGAATTTCAGCCGTTGTGCTGGGTTCTTGGGCGTACCTTGGACAGCGAGTGGATTCATCAGAAGCTTGCTGTTGGCTTGCTTTAATTGAGATTTGCGCGATGGCACAAAGTAATCTCTTTCACCTTCTTGCAAAGGTTCATTCCAGCCGTTGCTCGACTTCGCATTGGACTCAGCTTCTGCAGTTTCTACTTCCTGTTCGGGTTGTGCTACTTTTGGCTGTACCTTGGCCAGCTGCTTGGGCTGCTCCTTGGACTGTGTCTTGGGCTGCTGCGTGGATTTCTCCTTGGGCTGTTCATTAGATTGCTGCTTCGGCTTTTGTTTTGGCTGCTCGTCTTTCTCTTTAGTCACTTTCTTAGTCTTGTTTAGGTCTTGCTTAACTGTCGTAGGCTGCTCATCAACTGCATCCACCTCCTCTACTACCCAGGCATTATTTATGCTAGAGCGGACCATTTCATTGCGCTTCACTTGCTTCTGCAGTTTGGGCGATAGTGCTTTGTTTATAATTTCGTCAAAGTTGTCCTCATCAACTTCATCAAAGTTAATGGACTTGAGGAGGCGCTTACGCTTCGATTTGCTTAGCTTTTTAAGACTGCGCCCAGTGCCAAAACTGGACTCCTCAAACTTATCGGCGTCAATGATCTTCTGCTCTACGAGCTCCGACAATGTAGTGCCCTCGGGCTTGGGCATGTTGCGCACACCCAATGGAAATTCGCCACTGGCATACGTCTCAAAGACGTGTAGTAGCTTGCGTAATCCCTTACGCCGCTTGCTGTTGTAGTCCTGTGTGCGGAGCAGTGTCTGAAGCTCATCCAGCACACAGTCGGCATTTAGCGGTAGTTCTGGCATGAGCACATCAACATTTCCTGCACGTGGATCGAGAGATGTGGTTTCTTGCTGTTGCTCCTCCTCATCGTCCTCCTCTTCTTCATCGAAGCCCGAGTCCATTTTCTCAACATCGTCTATAGAGCTGCTGGGAAAGCCCATTTCTTTCCATGCCTTATATTTCTCGCTGTATTCTCGACCCAATTCACTCTGATAGAGCAAGTGATAGAGCACACGCGTGCGACACTGTGCCACCAGTTTGGCGTCTCGCTGTGTGCCCACATAGTGAACAAATGGCCGCAGAAAAAGATTAACTTGCTCGGCGGTGATCTCTTCATTGGCAGCCTTGGCCAGCTCCTCGAAGAACACATCCATGTAGTGCATAGTTATGCCACGAGACTTTGGCTGTGCTGCAAGCACCGATTGTTGCATGCTTTCGTTAAATGCCTCTATAAGATCCTTTGACCATTTACTCTTCTTGAGCAGGCGCAGCATGTAGCGCAGCATGCGACGCACAAGCATTAAAAACTTATCCATACGCCACTGATCAATGCCAAACCACTCCTGGCACATAGTTCGCATAAAAGCGCTGAAGTACGCCAGACTGCAAGCTGTGTTGCCGCCGAAGCTGTCGATCATTTGTGCCAGTTGTTCAGCCAGCTCCTCTTGGACAAGCGGTTTGTCCGACATCCATACGTTGTAGTACAATCCTTTCCAAATTCTCATGAAATCATCCTCGGTAAACGGAAAAGAACTCACCGCACGCAGCTGGAACCATTTTCGCAGTTTACGGATCTGACGATTGCGCTTTGTTAAGTCATTGCAGGCCAAGGCACGCACTATTTTCACCTCCTGTGCAATCACAAGCAACTCTTTTGGCACCTTTGGCTGTGATGCGCCGTTTTCATCTTCGCTTTCGTTTCCATTATCAATAGCAGCCACCTGGGCGCTGCGCTTTATTGGCCGTTTTCTTGTGACCATAATTGATTATTAAAAAACGAAAGGAACTTTTTCTCAAATTCCGCTGGTATGTATTGAACGCGGTTGCTACGAGAGAGAGGTGGGCGCACGTGTTGTGCGGTCTGGTAGTAATCGATTAATATTTGAAGCTCCGTTTGCAACATTTTGCAACACTTGTCGAATTTGCATGCGGCCAATATTATAATACTAGAAGGTTACACTGCGAATCCTCAACTAATTCTTTAATGATTACTGGTGCTGTCTTGGTCAGACCAAAATTGTTACATGTCTTTCTTAAAATTATCTATATAACTGTTACAAAAAAATCCAATAAAAATTTTAATAGTTCTCATATTATTTATTTTCTTGAACAGCATCTAAGTATACTACATATATTTTATTTAAAACGTTAATTACTACGTCTTCTTACTTATTCAATACACAGTCTCACATATCGTTATATACTTTTTACAATATGTACAATGTACTTCAAAAATATTATAAAATATGTCATAATTGTTTGAATTTATGACGGACATAAGCTAATGAAAAACGATAGTAATTTTTGGGTGTAACCTTGTACTTCCGATAACTATCTTCATTAGTATCTTTGTAGTTAACTTACAATTAATTTGTTTAAACAAATAATTATAAAATCATTCTATATATTAAAAAAATAGATTACTTACAAACATTTATATTCTTAATATTCCTACCAACTGTAAATACTAAATATACAAAACTTTGCTGGGCATCACTTTTTACCAGCTGACATTCTAAGTAGCAATTCCAACAAAATTGGCTTAAAAAGTTAACATTACTAAAATTTCATCATCAAAATGCCTGTGTTAACTGTAGAAAACTCCGACGACTATCAGACATATATTAACGCTGACAGAACAACTGTTGCACTGTTTGCTGCCGACTGGGCAGAGCAATGTGCTCAAGTTACCGATGTACTCAACGAGCTGGCAAGCATTTTAGGCGATAAGTTGCAATTCATTACACTAAATGCCGAAAAATTCCCTGAGATATCAATGAAACATCAGGTAAGCTCTTCGGCACGTCTGACATCACATTATCTGTACTAAATTGTTTCCCAGATCGAGGCAGTGCCGACAGTAATATTCTTCAACAAGGGCTCGGCTGTGGATCGCGTGGATGGTGTGGATGTCGCTGCCATTAGTAGCAAGTCCAAAAAGCTAGCTGAAAGTGCAAGCAGCGCTGCGGCAACTGGACAAACCCTCAAAGACCGTTTGACAGCACTTATCAATAAGGCGCCGCTTATGATATTCATGAAGGGCGATCGAAACGCTCCACGCTGTGGGTTCTCAAAGCAGCTTATTGCAATTGTTAACGACACGAAGTATGTATTACTTTTATATTTATATATTTATGGGCAGCATTTAATATGATTGCATTTACAGTTTGCCGTACGAAACTTTCGACATTCTTTCTGACGAAGAAGTCCGTCAGGGTTTGAAGACATTCTCTGACTGGCCAACGTATCCGCAAGTTTATGTTAAAGGCGAACTTATTGGGGGCTTGGATATCATCAAGGAGCTCTTGGCTAACAATGAACTTGAAGCATCGCTTAAGGGCTAAACATCAGACGTCATCCCATTAGTCAAATGAAATCTGGAACAACCATGGCTTCTCACAAATTTACAATGTCCAAAAACTTTTATAAGCATAAATAAAAGAAAATGAGATGAATCTTTGACCGATTGAAGTGTATCGAAATATATTGAACTTGCAACAATTATATTTAATTTATAACAATAATTTATTTCAGAAATTTTTTTAAATGCATACCGAATATTTCCATGTGTATCTCAATCATTTGTATTATGCAACACTGTCAAAATACAAATAGCTTGGCAGCACTGGAAGTGTAACAATCAGCTGATACAAGCGGCTTGCGAATAATTGCGAAAACCTTAGTTATCAAATAATATTTTCTTTGAAAATGGCTGAAGCCAATGCAGTTGCCGCGACTGACGGCGAAGAAAAAAAACTTTCAGATATTTTTTTAAGTGGCTGGAATCTCTTCGACGAGCTCGAGGTTACCGAGCTACCTTTCAATGGCATTCCATTTCAGGTAAGAATGGACAAGCCTAAGGACTCTATGAGCATTAACAAATATATATTTATTTAGAACAAAGTGAAGGAAGCAATGGGCTATTTTGAACAAGCGACTGTTATTGTCAACCAAGTGGGCATGTTCAGTCCCAACGAACTGATTGACGAGGTATCTACGGACTCGTTACCCTTCATGCTATTGCCATATTTCTTGGGTAAGCTTACCACGAAGATAAACAATCCACATGGTACAGAAGCTATAGAGCTGGGTGAAGTCTATTTTGGAGATCATCTACAACGCTGCCAAGAGTACGAGCTCTGTGAACCGCCCAAGAGCAAGTCGCAGCAGGACAACAAAACGGATGCTGCACAGCAGAAAAGCGAACAACGCGAATTAATTGAAGCTGCATACAATCGCAATGATAAAATTGCACAATATCGTAAGGTGAAGGAAATTGACGAGTATATGTATCGCATGCGTGATGCTGTTAAGAACAAAACGGCCGATGAGGAAGTGCGTCGTGAATTCTTTTTGAAATATTTGGATAAGAGTATTATAGATGCTAAGCAGGAGTTGGAAAACCTTCGTATGATGAAAGAAATGGTTAAGATGCGTCTAACACGCATGAAGGCCGGAGAGCAGAAGTCGTTTGAAAACTCTACTGCAGATCAGCAGACGAATGCTCATGACCATGGACATAAGCATGGACATTCTCATGGACATCAGCATCATCATCATGCGGAAGCGAAGACAAAACCGCTTCAACCATTTATTATAACACGAAATGCTACACAGAAGGCAGTCTTCGGTTTAGGTTATCCCAGTGTTCCGGTCATGACCGTCGACGAGTTTTATCAACAGCGGGTTGACGAAGGCATTTTTCCCGACGAACAAAAAATGGCAAAAATAAATCAGGAAAAAGCCATTGCAGCCGCACTAGATCCCAACGAGCAAGAAGACCAAGAGAATGCAGCTATAGAACTTCAAGTAGAAGATGATGATCCAGAGTATTTAGCGCGTATGCGACGCATGGACGAATACAAGGATGTTGTCCGCCGTGGAGATGGAAACCGTCATAATCGTAGTTAAACTACTAATCAACTCATTGATATACATAAAAAATTAGGTATTTTTTATTTTTATATATACAAAACAAATAAAGGAGTCATTTTCAACGTTTTAAATCCAGAAACCCCAAATGTAGAATCAATTAATTAAATAAAATATTTGCCAAAATATATTCATCTCGTATAAGGAATAGGAAATAGGAATTTCGATAGGAATCATGATTCTAATTTTTTACTACAAGATCTGCATGAAAATTTTACAAACAACATTATTTTTGTTAACTGATCGTCACATTATGAAATTAAGCTAAACTGTGACCTAGGTGTGAACGGCAAAATTGTTTTATTGCTCATCAGATAAATATCTCTATGTTCAGGGCAATCTTGGGGCTACAAAGGATTTAATTCCATTTTAACAAATACTGCGTACTTCAATAGAACAGACCGTTCTAATTCGAATAAAATAGTTGTTCAACGAAAGAATTAAAAAAATCCAATTTAAATAATTTCGAAAAATAATTAGAGAAAATGAAATTTGTAATGGAAGGTACCCAATAATAAATTCCGACAACATCCAGCTGCTTAACATAATAATTAATTAATATTTATTATTATACTGCAATTTATATAATTATTTATTTCTGAGCTCATCTGCATAAAATTACTAAATCTCACTTTAAAAAATAGTAATAAATCTCAGTATTCTGCATGATTAGTATTTTTAGAAAAAGTAATTTTAAGTGACAGTGTCAGTATTTTTGTAAAAATTTATGGTCACACTTCATCTAAGCACCAACCACCAGAAACAACAACAAAAAAGACCTAAGAAATTGAAACAAGATAAGATAAGAGCACAACAAACTATTATTTATAATAAAATAACGGCAATAGACATTTCTGCGTGAGCATTCCGTTGCAACAAAACGCACAACGAAGCAGCTTTTAAAGGTGGAAACTTCGATATCGTAACAGAACACGCCACACGAGTAACAAAAAGTGCAAGCACAAGCATGTCAGTCATTGATTTTATAAAAGGCTTACCCATATACGACTCGAACAACTTCACACTCTTGAGCAACGATCATGGTATCAGAACATCGCAAAAGCGTGCCTCCGTTTACTTACCTACAGAGGATGTGCCTGACCAGGCGCAACTAATAGTGATGGACAAAAGGTGCGTACTGCTTAGATATCTAACTCAGCAGTGGGACAAAAAGACACTCCAGCGAAAGCGAGAGCATGGCAACGATGGCAGCAGTAACAATACCAATAGCACTCCAAACGGCAACAATAGCAAAAAGCGCCCACGCTTGGAGACCAACGAGCTCAACTAAGGCACACCCTATTCTTGTTAAGTGCAACCACTACCATTAATATATATCCCATGCTTATAATAAATACGATAAAACAAAACTAACTGAATTAGAATTACTTTTGACAAAGTTGCAAAATTCCTTCTTGATATACATTCAGACATTCCACTTAATAGCATGAGTTTGTCCAATGGTTATTTAATTCGGAAACAAATTGGATTTGACTACTTTATATTAAAGCTAGTTTAATGGTGTCCCAAGTCCTTGGGATCTGGTTTGCCGTATTGCTTCTCCCACCAGGTAACATATTCTTTCTTGCGTTGTTCACGTTTGGCAAAATACTCGGGATATTGTGCCTTCTCAAGCGGATGCCAGTAGTCGAGCATCCAATCTGGCGGGATGACCTCACGCTCGAAAGCACATCCGCCAGCACTATTAGCAACTGTAAACAAATAAAAGTGATTAATGACGCCAGTTTGTAGAAATGATTTCGCTTACAGGTTCGGGGCTGGTAATGCTTCGTCTCAAATAGCTCCTTTTGACCGGAAGCTAACAAACGCATGCCCTCAGCCAGATCCTTGCGTTTATTCTCATCGAAACGTGCTCGCATTTGCACTGCCCGGTAGCGGTAAATATCGCTAATTCCGAGGATTTTTGAATTAAGATGCAGAGTTTATTATATAATCAAACTGTTTATAATTTTAGCATTTCGTGTACATACCGACGATCATACCAGGCCTCTAGATTGCGCAGTGCACGCTTATACAAGCTGCACACCTGACGCTTGTGGGACACAATAGCCAAGGGAACTTGCGCCATGTCTAGTTGCTAAATTTGTATAAAATCCGTATTTCGCAGCTTGCAAGACAACAACTGTCACAGCTGAGAACTGTCATAAGTTGAGTGCTGTAAAACGACGTGTGAGACGTTTTTCCCAACACTATTTTGCAGTGATGCCAGACTACTTTTTGCTTTTTTTTTAAACTTTATATTTTTAAATAAATTATATATCAACATATATCAAGTAAATAAAAAACTAACAATAATCAGCCGTAACTTAACTCATAACATTCAATATACACTGAACAATATGCTCAGGTATTTTTAAAGGATGCTCTGATAGATCCCCTGTCTCTTTATCGTACATGTAAATCTCATTTAAAACGCGATCCTCATTATCAGCATTTAACGAGGACACCAACACCATTGAACCCTCAGACAGCTCTGTAATTATTTGTTCGATATCGTGCTCATTAACGTCCTCCATGCAGCTGGGACTTTCTACTTGCGCAGGTGGCTCCGAGAGGAAATCAACAATATATGTTGCATTGGCCTCAGAGGAATAAACAGTCTCGCTATCTGTTGCGGTGTCCACATCGCTTACACAATTACGCCTACCATCTTCCAGATCGATAACAACTTTTTCACATAACGTCGACGTGTCCTTGACCTCAGTGTGCCCCTCGTCCAGCAAAGAGTTAAGCTCCTGCTGCAACTGTTCAGCCTTGGTCTCAATTATCGGATCACTGCTTATTTGTTCTGTTTCGATTTCTTTTTCTCTTTTGATCGCAGGAAAAACGCGTAAAATATGCACAGGAACAGGCTGATTCACATCCGAATGCTCTTCCTGTTCCTGTTCCTTCATATTTTGTTGCATCTTCTGAAGTACCTTTTGTTTTAATTTTTGCTTAACGCTTTGCTGTTGTGACTGCAGCTTCTGCTGTTGCGGCTGCTGTAGCTTCTGCTGTTGCTGTTGCTGCTGCTGCTGCTGTTGCTGTTGCTGTTGCTGCTGTTGCTGAATGTGATCCTGCTCCTGTTCCTGTTGCTGCATCTCATGTTTCACGGTTCGACGCTTGCGCTTTGCCGATCCACCTTCATTCTGATTTTCAAGTGCCACACGACGTTTGGCCAGCGCATGTTTGCCCAGCTTTTGCTTTGTGACGTGCTCGTTCTCATATATCAAATCTCCATCGCTAAGAGTGCGCGCCGCCTTGCTCTGCTGCGACTTGGTGCGCTGCTGAAAAGTAACAAGATTCAACAAACATTGATTCATATGACACAAAGCAAACCTTTTTTGTATGCTCTGCCTGAGCCGTAACGATTTCTTGCCATTCGCGATCCATTTCAGCCCGCTCACGGTCCTCCAGCTCAAGTTGATTTTTAAGCTCCTGAATATTAAAGGCTTTTGGGTAGAGCAGCGCCTTATTAATTAGCTGTCCGTTAATGCGCTCCTCACGCTTGTATTTGAGCTTGAGGTCACGTCGCGTACGTTTAGGGAACATTTGACACATCAGAGAGAAATCGGTGCCAATGATTTGAAGACTGCGATAAAAACGAATGGTGTCATCCGATGTCCAGGTGGGCGTACGCTTGTGTCGTTTGTAGAATCCATTGTCGCCAGTTGTTTCATCCATGAGAATAAGAGATGAGTTGGCCAAAACTTTGCGAGCCTCCACCTCCGCGGTGGTTTCAATCTCCAAAGTCTTTTCATCGATAATCATCTCCCCATTAGCGTCAAGTTTTAATTGTGGCACAGGCATGGCTGTTGTCGATGCAGCTGGTTCCGTTTTGGCCTCCAGGAGCTCATCTGACGTGGGCTTTGAATCGTCCACACTGCCGATGCTACTCCCATTTGCCTCCGCCTTGATGGTAGTTACTAAAGGCTTTTGCTCCATTGGATTGCTCTCGGGATTGTAAAAGATCATGTCAAACATTTTGAATGTGGACTTATCCGGTATGCCTTTGTTAAATCGCGTTTCGAAATCTCGCTTTGCGTTAATACGTTGCTGTGCCTGGCTCTGTGTCTTGTCGCCCTCTCCTTTTCGCTGTTTGCCGCTACCTCCACCACTGTCCGAATACACAGAGCAACTGGACTCTGTACGTATTCGACCCATTCCCGGACTCATAACACCACCCGGGAAGTGTTTCGGGGAAGCCTGCACCTGCTGCGGGGTTCCACTTCCGCCGCTCATTGACGATCCACTTAAGTAGCGCTCACGTCTCGTGGGCGTGCCAGGTGATGGGTAGTCACCATCGAAATCGGCCGCCAATGGTGAGCCAACAAAGCTGTTTCGACGTTGCCCAAAAACCGGAGTAGGACGGACTCGCTGGCGAGCTTGCACCTTGCTGGGCGACATGGGAAATCCACTTGTACTTTTCTGTAAATCCATTTGTATAACATTATCTTCCAAGTCGGAATGAAATACATCATCCAACTGGCCGGCGCTGCTGGCAGCCGGCATTTTAAATGCAACTTCAGCCGGATCGTCATCTAAATGCTCCTGCTTGGGGGAAGGAACGGGGAGTGGTTCAGGTTCAACGCATGGTTCTGTATCAGCGTCTTCTTTGCGCGGCTTGCGCTTTATTTGCGTCAAGTTGGCAGTTGCCTTAATACGTTGCCGTCGCGCAGACATGGCGTCACTTTTCAATTAAATATTTATTATGCATTTACACGGCAAATGATACTATTTGCGAAACTAACGTGACAAGAACAATAGCAACAAATGCGCACCGCACGAGTTTTGACCAGAAAAGTGTTGCACAATGTCAAAAAGAAAAGAAAATATTTATAAACAGTATGCTGGTCAAGCAAAATACGTTTAAATTAAATTATTTTTCGAAAATTACTTTTGAATTATTTCAAAAATTGTATGTTCGATATTTTGCAAGTTTTGCGGCAAAAGGCTTACGAATAATATTTGCATAGGAGTATATCTGATGTTTCGTAGATTGAATCTTCGACACCGGTAAAAAGCACAAAAATAATAAACACATTGCTTAATCCAGAATAAATTCAAGTATACAGTTTATAGGGTCTGCATGCATTGTATTGGTTCATTAAGTAATTTCGAGCGAACAGTATCAACAAAGTAAAAGCTTTTTATCCTTGTCACCGAGCAAGCTATACAAATACTAATTTTTTTAGCTTATAATACAAAGCGACTCAAAAGAAAGTAAATATTAACGAAATAGTGAGCACAAACACTACTCCGCTTAATTCGAGAGTTTTCCAACACACATTCGAACAACAACAAATACAAATTGCAGGTTGCACGTTTTGAACGTAAAATGTGGGCGCCTTGATAACAAAGCAAAAGCGAACGGAATCTATATAACAAATACAAACAAAATTGTCAACAATTGAAAAAAGACAATCAAAATTATACAAGTTGAAAACGAAGGCAACAAATGTGACAGGAGGTGTGTGTGTGTGTGTCGAAATTTGAAGCGGAGGAACAAGCAACATTATAATAACAGTACAGCCGCTGCCGCTGCCCGATTGTTATGCAAGCAGCGCTGCAACCCCCCACCTGAGCACTGCAGCACAACAACAGCAGCAACAATCAATTAGCCGGTCACCATGCTGCTCAATCGTTTTGTTTCAGCCATTAAAAATCAATCGAGGGAAACCCTGCGCGCATGGAGCTATCAGTGCGAATCTATATTCGCGCAACGCTCGCGCCGGCTGCAACAGCTGCTCACCTTCTATCAAACCGTTTATGGCACTCAAGGACTAAAGCAACTCTGGCGTGTCTATTATCGCAACCAAATTCAGCCACCACTGCGCGGCATGATGCTGAGTGCTGTGGGTATTATGGGCTTGAATATGAAGAGAGCCACTAATGATGGCTTCGACTGGGCCAAAGAGCGGCTGTCGCTGGCAAACTTTGATTTGTGCCAACGTGATATTGATTTTATAAATACGCTACCTGTCAATCAGCTATGCGATCAGTGCAAGTCAAAGAAGATGAAGTATTGCTATTGCTCGTTGGGCAATCAGCGCTGTAAGAAGGGCGGTATCTTAGTGCCAAACAAAGTTGACCCGAAGACACTGAAGGAGGAGGCTAGCATAAGCAACTGTCACAAGTCAATGGATTACGAGTCGCGTGCACCAGGGGGTCAAATACGCATACAGGCACAGGAGGATCGCAACTGGGAACCATACTTCAGTAAGAATGAATTCAGCATATGGCGGCGCGAGGAACGTTCATCGCTATACTCATACAAGGTGTATGCACGTTTCGATGATATTACTGCCGATGACTTTTTGCATGTACAAACGGATCTGGATTATCGCCGGCAATGGGATGATACGGCACTCAGGCTTGAGTTAATTAGCGAGGATCCAGTGCCAAACAGTAATTCACATCTCATCTACTGGGAAATGCAATGGCCGCGTCTGTTCGCGAATCGGGATTACGTATATTGCCGGCGTTACCACAAGGATGATAACAAAAAATTGATCTTTATTTGCAGTAGGGCTGCCAAGCATACCACATATCCAGCTATATCGGGCAAGGTACGTGTCACTGATTACTGGAGCCTGATGGTCATTAAGCCATTTCGTGGTTTCCATGAACCGGGATTGCACTTTGTGCTAACATATTACGACGATCCGGGCATACCAATTCCGCAGAATATAAAATCGTGGGTCACGCAAAAACAAATGCCCGAATTCCTTACCAAAATGTATGTCGCAACCAAAAACTATGCATGCTCGCGGGCCATCAAGATGAAGGACATGTTCAATAGCTTTACCATAATCAACGATGAGTATACGGCAAATGAGCAACGCGGCAGCTGGCTGGGCAGCCTCAGCCGTCACAGACGTAAGATGAACAACGGTTCCGAGGTCGATCGCTGACAGCTGTGCTGAGCTGCAGTTCCTCCAGAGAGCAACTAACAAATAACAATAGCAACAAAAATTTAAAAAACTAAAAAAAAAACCAAACAGAAATGCAAAGTACAGCAAGAAATACCAACAGCAATACAGCTCCTTATCACATCTTATGTTGTAATTCATATATAAGTATATATATAGGTGTATGTATATACATATATATAAACACACCTCAAATAAGAACAAAAATATTGAGTAATAGGGTTCATCTAGTTTCTAGATATTAACAAATTATTTCATCATCTATGCAAATGTGCAATAAAATACCATTCGCAACTTGGAGGCATTTAAAATGTTGAATCTTCTGTGCCACACTAATGAAATCAATTATAGCTACAAACATGTACAATATATATATATATCTATCCAAACATATATATATGTATATATATATATGTTTAGATGTATATAAATATATATACACACGTAAATTTAAACAAATATATTTATATGCTGATTAAGTCTAGAACATTGTCTTAATAGAAATTACTGCAATCACACATGCATTCGTCCAAGCAAATTTGAGTAAACTAGTCGGTAGTACACGACTTGCAGATGCCCTGTATCTCGCGACGACATGCTAATTGATACATTCTACTAAAACAAACACCAACAACACCAACCCCACAATTTAAACTGAGTTTTCATTTTTTTTGGGGAATTGGGGAGAACAAATGATCTGTGGGAAAATTATAGTGTCACACGCCTGATATTTAGGAACACTTATTCAAAAAATATACAAAGCTTAAATGGTTAGAGGGCTACATGAACTGCTGGTAAGAATTACAATCTATGGAAGAGAATGCGAGTTCCTCATTTTGCGACTGCAATTTTATTGATATCCCTGCCAGGAGTAATAAATGTGATAGTAAATAAGTTTAACGCTTATGATATATAATAGCTATATATTTCAGCATTGCAGAGTCCGAGAAGTTATAATGGAATTGTACGAGGTACTCCTATACAATGTACAATGCAAGATGGATAGTAAAGTTATTGATATAAAGATAGCAAAAGAAAAGGCATATACAATTTACAACATTGAGTTTATAAATAATTTTTTCTTATAAATTAGCATTCGGCATACCGAAGCTGAGAAACCCTTGCAAAGTTGTAAGACAAAGATCAATGTTATAGGAGGCATTAAAACCCAGTAAATATGTTAGTCAACTGCCTTGCAAGAGTTTGAAAGGTATTAATTGTAAATAGAAAATGTATGTTAAGAGATTCTATGATTGTTCGGCCACATCAAAGCTCACTATGTTCATTTGGGCTGGGTGGGTTTTTCATATAAGCTATGAAGTCTTTGCTGCTTCGTCCGCCTTTGTATTCTAGCGTAGTTTTGAGGTACGAAAAGTATATGAAGGTGGGATAGCCGCGTACATTATACTTGGCGCACAGCTCAACATATTTTGTACAGTCGATGGCAACAAGGGCAACACGCGGATCATCTTGCAGCGCATTTGCGGCAGCAGTAAATTCTGGTTTTGTGTGTTTACAGTGCCCACACCCTAAAAATCAAAGTTATAATAATTCCATTTGATATATATGCGAGTCACTTACATGGAGCATAAAACATGACCAAAGCATGCTTCTTGCGCTTTAGTATCGTTCTGAAAGTTTCATCGTTCGGGAATATCACCTCAGTGCTGCCCTCCTCGTCCTCCCAGTTCTTTTCTGGCGGTGGAGGCGGTGGTGGCTCTTTGGGATCGATCATAAATTCGACTATTTTGGACACCTCGCGCACGTTCACGTCGAATTTGTAAACACCATAGGAAAAGTATTTTACAGTCGGATAGCCCTTCACCTTATATTTTTCGCCAATGGCAGTCTCCTTAGTGGCATCCAGAGCAGCAAGCATACCAGGAACATTCTTCTGTTTCATCTCGAGCGCTGCCTTTTCGTATTCGGGTTTCATGTGCTTGCAATGACCACACCAGGGGGCATAAAACATGACCAGCGCTGATTTTTCATCCTTTAGAACTGCCTCAAAGCCCTGCGTAGTCAAATGAACAATTTCTGAATTTGTATCAGCCGACCAATCCGGTTCCTTCGGCTTGGGCGTCGGTTTAACATTTGGATTAAGCATGAAGGCCACCAGCGCATCCTTTGTATTCTCGCCCTCGTAGGTGAAGCGCATTTTTCCGTTCTCGAAGTAGATTAAAGTGGGAAAACCTGTAATAGATTGTAAGCATTATCAACGTCAACTTAAGTTATTCCATGTATTGACAATTACCAGTTAAATTAAAAAGCTTGCGCACGGGTGCGTTTTCCTGTCGCTCCACATTCATGGCAGCCAACAAATATCCACCATGAGTCTTCAGTTCGGTAGCAGCTTTACTGTAGTCTGGCTTCATGCGCTTGCAAAACCCGCACCATGGCACATGAAACATGACTAACATAGGCCGGATATCCTTCCGGACATGTTTTGAAAATGAAGCTCCGTCATTGAAGTGCAATACATCGGCCCCAGCGGGATCCTCTTCCCATGGCAAATCCCCTGTCGGATCACGCATAAAGGTGACCATTGATTCAGCGGTCAGCTGACGATCGTAGTCCTTATGATAGTCGCCGTCCTTATAATGGCGTAGTATGTAGGATGAGGGCGCAACCTTAAGCTTCTTACACAGTTTCTTGCGCTCCTGGTTGGAACAGTCCACGTACAACATTGTTCCTGTGCCGCGAATCACATCAGCCGCTTCCCGGAATACTTTCAACTCTGCAGCAGCCTCTTTCGCGCTGGATACATAAAGAGCTAGTACATTGTTCTTAGTACGAATCAGTTTCTTAAACTCCTTGTAGTCTGTTATGTCTTCCTGCACAGCGGAAATTTTCGATTTGGCGGCAACAAGTGCGAGCAGCAGAGTCAGCAGCATAAGCCGCATTACAAATTGACGGTTGGTCCACATTATACTTTCACATTAAACGGAATATGAATAATTAGCTAATTTAACAATACATTTAGTGTGTTTAACTAATGTAATAAATGCATTCTTTTTGTTTTTTTTTTTTATAGACCAATAATCCAAAACTTAAAATGCCGATGAAGACGTCAGCGCTGAATGCAGCGTTGCCACATCACTTTAATGTTTGTTGTTTTTAACAAAACTTAGGTTTACACGTAAATTACATAGCGTAGAATAAATTAATATTAAATGTATAATAAATTAATAATACATTAAGACATGCTAAAAAATATTTAATGTATATTGTGTAAAAATAAAAATATATCATATATAAGTATATTAATAAGTGCAATCCACTTAAAGAGTTCTTAATTTAACATTTTAAGTATTTCTTGAACGAGTGCAAGTTGACCGCACAAACGGGAACCTTGATAAATGGAATACACAATGCAGCGCTGTCAAATATACGTGGCAGGTGGCAACTCTAGTCCACAACTCTGACACATTAACAAGAGGCAGAAGAAGCAGCAAGTTTTTTACAATCTCGCCGCAGTGTATTTAATTTTGATTAGCTGTAGTAGGATATTATTAAACGCAAAACTCTGTCAATCTAAAGATGCCCCTCAAATTGGACATCAAGCGTCGTCTAACGTCGCGCTCGGACCGTGTCAAGTGCGTTGATCTGCATCCGGCCGAGCCATGGATGTTGTGTGCCCTATACAATGGCCACGTACACATCATGAATTACGAGAACCAACAATTGGTCAAAGATTTCGAGGTGTGCGATGTGCCAGTGCGCTCCGCTCGATTCGTGGCCCGCAAGAATTGGATAATAACCGGATCGGATGATATGCAAATACGTGTCTTCAACTACAACACGCTGGAGAAGGTTCATTCCTATGAGGCGCATTCGGATTATCTGCGGTGCATCGCCGTGCACCCCACACAGCCCTTGGTGTTGACCAGTAGCGGTATGTTCAACAGTTATCAAGAATAACATGTCTGACTCAAAAAAGATAATATTCCCTAGTCTCGTATTTTCAAAATAATAAACAAACAATGGCATGACCTCCATTTCGTAAGGTGTAATTCGCATGAAGATTTGATATAGCTAGCAGATATATAACTATAGTGGACTCCACTATTATCTAGTATACACATCTAACATTACATGATAAATATCTTTAACTAATTGTCCACGTATGTTCGACAATCTCATAATTGATTTCATCATCTTGTTGCAGATGATATGCTTATCAAATTATGGAACTGGGAGAAGTTGTGGGCCTGCCAACGTGTCTTTGAGGGTCACACGCACTATGTCATGCAGATTGTCTTTAATCCTAAGGATAATAACACTTTTGCCTCAGCATCCTTGGATCGTACTGTTAAGGTGTGGCAACTCGGCTCAAATTTTGCCAACTTTACGCTAGAGGGTCACGAAAAAGGCGTCAATTGTGTGGACTATTATCATGGCGGAGACAAGCCGTATTTGATTTCTGGCGCCGATGATCGATTGGTCAAAATCTGGGACTATCAAAACAAGACCTGCGTCCAAACACTCGAGGGACATGCACAAAATATTTCGGCCGTCTGTTTTCATCCCGAGTTGCCAATCGTGCTGACGGGCTCTGAAGACGGCACCGTTAGGATTTGGCATTCAGGTACCTACCGCCTAGAGACCTGTCTAAACTATGGCTTTGAACGCGTGTGGACCATTGCCAGCATGCGTGGCACCAATAATGTGGCCCTGGGCTATGATGAAGGCTCCATCATTATTAAGGTCGGCCGTGAAGAGCCAGCCATGTCCATGGATGTGGTAGGCGGTAAAATCATATGGGCCAAACATTCCGAAATGCAACAGGTTAAGTGTAGCATTGCTTAGAGATTTAATATAAACTAATTTATGACAATTTGTAGGTCAATCTTAAAACAATTGCGGATGGCACCGAGATTAAAGACGGCGAACGTCTGCCTGTCGCTGTCAAAGATATGGGCGCCTGCGAGATCTATCCGCAGACCATAGCACACAATCCCAACGGGCGTTTTGTGGTCGTCTGTGGTGATGGCGAATATATCATATATACATCAATGGCATTGCGAAACAAGGCATTTGGGTCGGCTCAGGAATTCATTTGGGCGCTGGAGAGCAATGAGTACGCGATTCGTGAGAACAATGGTACTGTGCGTCTGTTCCGCAACTTCAAGGAGCGCAAAAGCTTCACACCTGAATACGGCGCCGAAAGCATCTATGGTGGCTACTACTTTGGTGTGAAGACCTCATCAGGTCTGGCCTTCTACGATTGGGAGTCACTACAATTGGTGCGACGCATTGAGGTGCAGCCACGTAACGTATTCTGGAATGATAGTGGCACTCTCGTTTGTCTGGCAACCGATGACTCCTACTTTATATTGGCCGTGGATACTACACAAATTGCCAATGCGCTGGAGACAAAAGAGGGACTAGAGGATGATGGCGTAGAAAGTGCTTTCAATGTGCTCGGTAAGCCAACAATTATGGGTCTTATATAGTTTGCTTTTGATCAGCTTTTACTTTGCTTAAACTGTTAAACACAATTCGAATTTTTCGTTTTATTTTCCAGGCGAAGTATCTGAATCGGTCAAAACCGGTCTCTGGGTAGGCGATTGCTTCATTTACACTAATTCCGTGAATCGCATCAACTACTATGTAGGCGGAGAGATTGTAACCATCTCGCATTTGGATCGCACCATGTACTTGCTGGGCTATGTGCCCAAGGACAATCGTTTGTATTTGGGCGATAAGGAACTCAATGTGATCAGCTTCTGTCTTCAGTTGTCTGTGTTGGAATACCAGACGGCAGTGATGCGTCGCGATTTTGAACGTGCTGATCTTGTATTGCCCACCATACCAAAGGAGCATCGTACACGAGTAGCCCACTTCCTGGAGAAGCAAGGCTTCAAGGAGCAGGCACTACAGGTCTCCACCGATCCGGACCACAAGTTTGATTTGGCTCTGCAAATTGGCGAACTAGATATTGCATTGAAATTGGCGCGCGAGGCAGAAAACTCACAGAAGTGGTCGCAGCTAGCAGATGTTGCGTCACGCAGAAACAATATGGCCTTGGTGAAGGAGTGCATGCAGAAGGCCAATGATTTTAGTGGACTGCTTCTGCTCTCTACTGCCTCGGGCGATGCGAAAATGCTGGAGGAGGTGGGTGCAACTAGCTCTGCACAAGGTCGCCATAATATTGCATTCCTTTCCGCCTTTCTCCGTTCCGATGTGGAACGTTGCCTGGAGATTCTCATTGAGACAAATCGCCTGCCCGAAGCGGCGTTCTTCGCGCGTACCTACTTGCCCAGCCAAATGTCGCGTGTTGTGGAACTTTGGCGCGAGGAGCTAGGCAAGGTTAACGAAAAGGCCGGCCAGTCGCTGGCCGATCCCACGCAGTATACAAATCTCTTTCCGGGCCTGGGTGATGCACTGCGCGTGGAGCAATATCTGGTTGAGGAGCGAGCACGAAAAGCACCAGCCCGTCTAGCTGGACAGCTGCCATTAAATAGCGAGCGAAATCCACTTGACGAGCTGAATGCGGCCGAGCAACAAAGTGGCGCTTTTCAAGTGGAAAAGGAGAAACCGGCGTTTGTCCCGTCGGCCTTGCCAGCAACAGCAGCCAGTACAAAAGTTGCCACTGTTCCAACCGCTGTTGCCGCCACTGATGATGATGATGAAGATGATGATGATGATTTGGAACTGGAGATTGATGGCATTACGTTGGATGATAATATAGATACGACAGATGTTAATCTGGATGATGATTTTCTGAGCGACGATTAGGTGCGAAAGCTATTCAAAGCACCCGCTGTATTTGATAATATGCATTAGAAATATCGAAAATTCTTTTGTTGATTCACTAAAACGCGCTCCAAATATTGCGGAATCAATTACTAAAAATTCCACATAAATCAACACAACCCACACACATACACAATTACAAACATAGAACGCTGGCATTCGCTTTTGATTTGATAGAATGAATGTTTAACGTGCATTAATTATACAAATTAAAAGAAAATATATATATATATATGTATAATGTACAACAATTATGTAGCAACCACTTGCAATAATAAAAAAGAAAAATTTAAAAATATGGATTGGCGCGCTTCTTCTTCTTATCGTTTGACATTCCGAATTTGGACACAACAGCGTTGCCACAGGGCAAGCTGTCAAATTAAATAAATACGGCAACACAGAAGCATCACAAATACATATATACGCAGATATCGTGTGTGCGTCTGGATTTTGCTGTATTTTTTATTTAAGAATGAATTATTAATACAGAATTAATAAATTATTATTAAATAAAAAACAGCACAAACCCGTCAACCAACCGTAAGTACTGGCGCATCTAGAATAGACAATTGCTGCCGCCAGTTTCGGTCGAATTTAGATAGAACTTATTGATTTTTTCCAAGCAACGTTGCATTTATTTGCAGATACACCAAGTCTATAATTACGTTAAATATGGAACCAAAAAGCTATCATGCCCACGAACACCACCACCAGCAGCAGCAGCATCCGCATCAGCATCAGCATCAGCACCAGCACCAGCAGCATTTGTATGAACAGCAAATGCATCTGCAACACCTCCACCAGCATCAGCATCTACAACAGGAGCAACAGCAGCAGCCGATGCCCATGCAAGCAGGTTTTGCACCGCGTCGTCAATATGACAACATGGGCAATTCGCCTGCTGCCATTGCGGCTGCCTGTTTGTCCAACGGCGCTGCTGGCGGTGGCAACAATTCGATGTCCAAGCCGGCAACAATGCAACAGCGTCCAAAAATGAAAAAGGAGAAACAGCTGCAGGCGCTGCATCAGCAACAGCAACATCTGTCGGAGCTGAGCGGCACAGGCAGCACCGGTATGCTGCCTTCTGATGAGACGCTGAAGTTTGTCAATGACACGGATGCCAACGGGCTTGCCATGAAAACGCCCGTTAGCATCCTGCAGGAATTGCTAAGCCGGCGCGGCATCACGCCGGGCTATGAACTGGTCCAGATCGAGGGGGCTATACATGAGCCAACGTTTCGGTTTCGGGTCTCGTTCAAGGACAAGGACACACCTTTCACGGCAATGGGCGCTGGACGCTCCAAAAAGGAGGCCAAACATGCAGCCGCTCGTGCTCTAATTGATAAGCTCATCGGCGTACAGCTCGAGACACAGGGCAATTCAGCAGCCGCAGCAGCAGCAGCTGTTGGTTGCTCTATGGCGGGCAGTGGGGGCGATGGCAATGCCAATCTCACTGGCAGTGGCGAGTAATTATTTGTTTGCAAAATTTGTCAATTTAAATAGCTTTTAATATGCAATTTTTGTTGGTCTTTCTTTTCATCCCTTTTTGTTTTTCTATTATTTTTTCTTCTTCTCTTTGCTCTTCTAACAGCGGCGGCGACAAGATCGTGGGTAATCCCATTGGCTGGCTGCAGGAGATGTGCATGCAGCGTCGCTGGCCGCCGCCATCGTACGAAACGGAAACAGAGGTTGGCCTGCCGCACGAGCGACTATTCACAATCGCTTGCACCATATTGAACTATCATGAGGTTGGCAAGGGCAAAAGCAAGAAGATAGCGAAGCGTTTGGCCGCCCACAAGATGTGGACTCGCCTGCAGGAGACGCCCATCGATGCGGCCAAAATCAATGACAGCCTCTGCAGCGAACTGGAGGGCGATGTGAGTAACTTATCGCTTGTAAATGCACCAGTGCAGCTGCCGGTAGAACAGTCGATCAATGCAAAGAAAACACGGTTTTACGAGCGCATCTCTCCAGCTTTAAATATAACTGATATTTAGAGATGTTTAGTGCTAGCCGCTTGTGCCTTTTCCACATTTCCTGCTCAACTGGCTAACTACATTTTCTGTCTTCCATTTGACAATTCTAAATCAGTTTACTAAGTTGTCAAGGCTTTAATTTTTCTGTTTGTTTGCCTTTTGTTTTATTTTTGTTTTATCTTTGTAAACTGTTGTTTGTTTGTTTAACTGAATTTGAAATTTTCGACATAACTAAGAGCAACTACTAATTTGACCAGTATACATTAATTTAAGCAGCTTGTATTCCAACATAAGTGTGACTTTATTTGTAAAATGCTTGTAAATTTTATTTAGTTGTATACAGTAATTGATTGTGCATAGATGACTGTATATTGTTATAAGTTTTGAATTCTTGTTTGTTCAGTAAAATTATAATAATTTTGTATTTTCAATTTTGAATGTATATATTGTTTCATCTCAAGTTAGCTTTTGAATTTGCATATTTTTGGCATGCGCTTTTATTTGAATATTATAAACAAACTATTTGTTAATAAGCCCAGTCGTCTTTGTAGTTTTGTGTCTGTACATTTAATATGATTTTTTTCTCATCTAGACACCTTTGTGGTATATTTCAAGTCACGTTCTTATCTAGAAACTCTTGTGATATATTTCAAGTCACCATTGGCGAGAGTTTGTGCATATTAAATGGAAATGTTGCGCTCTTATTTACAGCCCCGCATTAACGATCATTATTATGGTGATTTGAAAGATATCACTGTGCCAACACTGACCACGCTACACAGTAATAAAGTGTCCCAGTTCCATAAGACATTGAAAAATGCGACGGGCAAAAAACTGCTTAAATTACAGGTAAATCAAAGAGCTGCTCAGATCCTGTACAGTCTGTTGTCGCGCTTAGTACAGGCTAATTCGATGAAAACCGAAATACTAAATGCATTTATATTTATTATCATAATTGTTTGTGTTTATTTTTGTTGTTTTTGTTTGCTCTTGTGCTTGCAGAAGACTTGCCTGAAGAGCTCAAAGATTGACTACATCAAGCTGCTTTCAGATATTGCTGCCGAGAATCAATTCGAGGTCACATACGTGGATATTGAGGAGAGGACTTTTAGCAGCCAGTTTCAGTGCCTGGTGCAGTTGTCCACATTGCCAGTCGGCGTCTGCCATGGCACTGGGTCAACGGCGTCGGAGGCACAGCGACATGCAGCTCAGAATGCCTTGGAATATCTTAAGATTATGACCAAAAAGTAGGCAACAATAACTGAAATAGCAAAATCTGAACGCACATAACGACGAACGATAGTATGACGATGATGATGATGAAAATTGCATATGTCCTTAGCCCCAGACCCCGCCCCTATTTTCTGTTTACCATGGTTTAAAGCAACAACAACACTCAACATTCAACATTGTATTTAATATTTATTATTATTATTGTTTTGAGCTTAGTTCCGATGTGAGTTTATAGCTAATCTGTACTATTCGCAAATCGTAGATATTAAATACCTTGATACGAATGCACAAGCAACCAATTCTTGTTGATTTACATCCAGATATTGAGTGCGCTGAACCGAAGACCTAACCTTAAGAACAATAAAGTAATTATCATATTCGCAACAGTTTTTCAGGGAATGTTAAAGATGTACCCACTGGCTTACCTACCAATAATGTTGCGACCTAATTCTAAACGATCAATGACTAATTGATTAATAAATATTTATTAGACATTTATATAAATTCAGAACTAATTGTGAAATGTTATTTTACGGATATTTAAAGTATAATTAATTTAACAACTATTGTACAAATTAAAACAAAATGTAAGGATTCGATTCCCATTGAGGACTGTAATGAGAATCTAAAATTGTAATAAAAAATTATTTAATAAAAATAACGGCGTCTGTTGAAATGTGCAAGTTCTAGAGAGACCCCCTCAATTGTTGAATTGAAGCCAAGTTGATCGAATAATAAATAATAACAGCTCTCATTTTATATGAAATAGAAAGTTATTGGATTTATTTATAGTATGCGATACTTAAGTTAAACTATGAACTAATTGGCTTTATATGTATATTATTTACATAGTTGCTGCTGCTGCCGTAGCCGTAGCTGACAAATTTAACACTATCTATTTCTTCTTACGGTCCTGCGTGCACTTGGGACAAAACCATTTGCCCTTTGGTTTCGTGGTAAGACCGACACAGGCAAAGTGGAACCACTCGATGGGGCACTAAAAATGTCCAAAATACACAAAATTCAAAAAAACGAAAGTTACATTGAATTGAATAATGGTTAACTTACATCTGGATTGTCGCAGCCAATCATCTCGCCATAAGACACTTGGTGGCACAAGCAATATGTTGGTTCGTTTGGATCCACAGGCATATCCATGACGTCGCTGGGATGAGTTGCGGCGGTGTGACAAGATTCCTTTTCCGAGTCATCAACATCCACTGCTTTCTGTTTGTTGTTGACAAATGGAAACGAATGTTAGCAAGTCTTGCGAATAAGTTGGCCTTGTAAGTGGTCATGCAAGGAGGTGAAATGTAAATGAAGGATGCAAAACTAAACTATATTCAACTGAAAATACGTTCATAAATAAATACACTTTATAGGAATATTGGACGGGGCATGAGTGCAAATACAATATCGCAATCCAGCGTCCTTTTACTACTGTGTAGTTATCCAGGCAAAATAACAAATAAAACAAAGTCAATAGTTTTGAGGAAGGAGTAACAAACGTAAGGAGACAAATGTGCATAATGTTGATGAAGGATGATTTACCTTTTGTGCTGCCCCCTTGCGGGTTTCTTTTTCTTGATTTACCTTGGACTTTTTCTTTTTGCTACCTTGACCAGCGCTGCTGCTAGCATTTAGATTAGCCCCACTGCCACTGTTCGATTGATTGCCACGTCCAGTTTCCTCATCCGAGGATGCAGGCCTTTTCTTTTTACCCGTCGCCTTACCATCTTTTGTCTTTTTACGACCAGCCTCTGCAAATGGTACATTAACTAAATAATTATAAAGCACTTTTAGCTGGATTACATACTTTTGGCTACCGCTTCTTCGGACTTGGCGCGTGTTGAGGAGGCCTTCTCTTGAATTTCACCCTCGAAGCGGGCCAGGTCGTTGTCAAGTCTTCGGATTTGTTTGTCCACCAGCTCATAGGTTTGTATAGCCAGCTGCACTTTATCATCGCTGTATTCCTTGGCCTTGCCAAATAGCGCCTTAATGTCCTCCAAGCGCTCCTTGCGCTCCTCCTCACTCATTGCACCATTCTCGACAGATAGCTTGCGCATAAAATCTTTCGCATGGCTATCAATGCTCTTCATAGCTGTTTGCGCCCGATCGTCCAATTTTCTCATCAGCTTAAAGTTCCGTTCTAGTTCCGTGGGCAACGATTCCAAGCCTGGTAATAACCATAGTTTAAATCTGTGATACTGCACTCTTATGCTTTTTTTTACATACCGTCTAAATAATTTTCTAAGTATATAGCTGAAGACATTTTTTAGGTCTCTAGTATGAAAATTGTATTGTTTTTGCGTAGGTTACAGTTTACTAACAAACATCAAGCGTCTATTTATGACGAGCCATCAGCTGGTTTGCTACAATGTATGATTAGACTTTTATCGATAGTACCTTTTTATTGTTGTACAATCGAAAACTATCGCAATTTCCTTATAATTCTTTAGATTCACTTGTTGGCATAATTTGGGTCCATACTATAAGATTGATTCATATAATTTTAGGTATTCAAGGTGAACAAAATATTATTTGAATTCACATAAGTTCATTTAAAAAAAAGCAACTAATTTTAAAATAGGTATAGTAATTGGCCTAAATATGTATAGTAGTGGGCAAAAAATTGAAAATAATTGATTTTTAAAATATTTTTAAAAAATTAAAGAAGGAAGGCCCCCGTCAAACTAATTTTGTACCATTCCTGGTACATTTGTACAACATATGTGTACCAACCAAGAATGTAGCCATCGATAACACTTCGTATCGTCTATTAAACGTTATACAGCACTGGTAAGACAGCTGCTTTTTTGCACTGGTCAACATTGTAGTCAGCGCTGCCGAGAAAAGATACAAAATGCAAAAGAAAAACATTAAATTAGGATAAATTAAACGCAGAAAATGTGCTGTCGTGCTCTAATGTATTGAAGAAAAAGTTAGCTTTAGCCCGCGGCACCATGTACAAGAAATTGCGCAAAATGTTGCCTGTGATGCGTCCAGTGCACTGGCTCGTCCTTTCCTGCATCGCAGTTATCACCTGTTATTGGTTGCTGGAGATTCGATTGGACCGTGGTTCGTTGCACAACTGCTTTTTACCAAATTAAGCTAAAACACATTTATTTACACACAGCTTTTAAGCCATTGTCAAAACTCACGGGCAATGGTGGCAAGCATACTGAGCTCTCAACTCTCGCTCACACTCTTCCCACATTTGATCATTTTGATTATGAGGACCAATTGGTGGTGCTATACAATCGTGTGCCAAAGACTGGGTCAACCAGTTTCGTGAACATAGCCTACGATCTGTGCAAACAGAACAGATATCATGTCTTGCACATTAATGTGACTGCAAATATGCATGTCCTATCGTTGCCAAATCAGGTGCGTCTCCCTGTTGCCACTATGGATAGCAGGACAACAGTTTAATTGCTTTATTATTTGATTAGATATCCTTTGTGCGAAATGTAACCAAATGGCACGAAATGAAGCCGGCTCTCTATCACGGACACATGGCATTTCTGGATTTCTCCAAGTATATTTTCATTTTCATTTTTCTCTTTTTCCTCCTATATAATATATATTTTTCAGATTTCAAATTGCACACAAACCAATTTATATAAACCTGGTGCGAAAGCCACTCGACAGACTGGTATCCTATTACTATTTTCTACGCTATGGCGACAATTATCGTCCGAATCTTGTACGAAAGAAGGCAGGCAATAAAATTGTGAGTTATAAAATGTATGTTCGTACTTTAGTTTATACAAGAATATGAATTTGTTAATGCAGACGTTCGATGAATGTGTGGTTCAGAAACAACCAGACTGTGATCCCAGAAATATGTGGCTACAAATACCATTCTTTTGTGGGCACGCTGCTGAGTGCTGGGAACCTGGCAGCGATTGGGCCTTGAAACAGGCCAAACGCAATTTGGTCAACGAATATTTTCTAGTTGGTGTCACGGAGCAAATGTACGAATTTGTGGATCTACTTGAGAGATCACTACCTCGGTAAGTTCGAATCCCTTGCCGTTAATAAACATCTACTCTAAATCAATTTCGTTTGTCGCAGAATCTTCCAAGGTTTTCGTGAGCACTATCAAAATTCAAATAAATCTCATTTACGTGTGACATCATCGAAGTTACCGCCCAATGAATCTACTATACAGACCATACAGAGGTCAAAGATTTGGCAAATGGAAAACGAATTATATGAGTTTGCACTTGAACAGTTTGAATTTACTAAGAAGAAGCTCATGCAGCCCGATAATAAGCATCTGCAGCAGTTTATGTATGAAAAAGTACGACCAAAATGATTGTATTGGAAATTCAGGGGTAGCAAGGGCAAACACCGAATTAAACAGGATAAGTTACTGCCAAAGGAAAGGCTTTAGTTTTGGAGGTTTAAACAGTTTTGTTCTGGTTATGTTTTTTATTTTAAATATGTATATAGCTTTTCTAGATCTGATCTGTACTTAAAAGCAAACCAATTCGTGAAAGACACTAAGACTTTTTAGCATTGAATATCATTGACATATTGATTGTTCTCTTGTATTACCACGTATATAGTTAGTGTAAGTCAGTCATACCATTAACACTCGATAACGCTTTCTTAGAGTTACGTAAGCAATATTTAGCAACAATTGTAACAACTTTTTAAAGCACAATATTATTCGTCTAGTAAATTGTACTCTATTGATATATATATATATGTGTAAGTATTGACAATACCAGATCTTGAACGAAACTACCAATTAGATATTTAGAGATAATATAATGTGTAAGCTTAATGACATTAATGGACTCTCGAAATGTATATCAGCTCTTAGCACTTGTAACTGAGAAACTCATCAAGTCAAATACATGTAAATTCATGTTATCCATATCAATTTTTTATAACATTTATCTCCATCAACAACTGTCTGAAAGTGATTAGCGGCATGCAACTGGTAAATTGATTACACCTGTCGATTGACCATCAGATTTAGATATACATACAAATGTGCGAATATTTGCATTCTCATGCAAATATTTTTTTTCTCGAATTTCGAACTTTGTTTAAGTCAATTTTCCTTAAATTGCAAAGCCGCTTCACTCGATCGGCAACAGCCGGTGCGAAATTCCATTGAACTTTATAAGCTGACGTAGCACGAATAATAGCATTGGCTGAACTGACTAGAAGACTGTCTGTCAGTACGACTGACGCTAAGGAGGTGCGGAACAGAAATCGAAATTGAAATCGAATTATATTTCGGGCACATAAGCGCAATACTTAATTAATTGATTGAGCTTGAGCGCACGGGCAATGAGTTTGCATTATCGTCAGTTGTACAATTGAACGTCGACACGCAAAGTTGTCGCTGAATCGTTAGACTTGGGCTCGTGTTTTTGTATTTTACTTTTAAGCAGTTAATTATGAAGTAGTGGTAAACATTAAAACTTAAAGCAGTCAATGCAAAGTGCGAATGCTTATATTTCGAGCCACTGGCAGCAGTTGTGTGTAATTTATATTATTGTTATATATACTATATACATATACATTGTATGCATTGTATATATATAGCTTCAGCTAATACTGGTTATGTGTCAGCACAGTTACACATGTACATACATACAGTCCGCACTGGGATTGTGATTCGTTCAAAAGTTCAACTTTACTTAAGACTAATGATTACACTGAGCTAAAATAATATCATACATATAACAGTTCTTAAACGCTTGTATTGTATAACAATTTAAAAAAGCCTGCTAAACTATGCATGACTGTGTGCATGTGTATGTTGTGTGTGTGCTTGAAATTAACCTTAACCCTGGCGCAGTATTCTTTGCATTTCTCCATGGTATATCAGCAACAACAAAGCGCTTAAAAATTTCAAAGTAACCAACTGTATAACAGCTAACGAAGCATGCACTTTCCAACTTGCTGACACTCGCCATAATTAATCTCGTTGTGAGCTAGTTGCTTATGTGTTTGTATGTATATGTGTGTATGTATATATTTTATACACATACTTCTTAACTAGCGCTCGGCATATGTAGCTCGTTACACATATGGGGGTATAAAACTGTTGAATGAGCAGCCTTATATTTTCAGTGCTTAAATGTGTTAAGACAGAGCTAGATCAGAGTTAAAGCTGAGTAAGTCTGAGGTACCAAATTGAAGAACATCAGAAAGTAATACGTAGTTAAAGGATATCAAACTTCAATATTTGGAATAAACTCGCGTACGTCTAAATAATTTAGGTGAGTTTCTCATTTTGAAATACTGTTATTGTTATTACGGTTATCTGAGTCGTTGATGCGTGCGCTTTTGATTCATTATGTTTTGATTTCGTTACACTTTTCGCGCCTTACTTTAATTTTTGTATTTGTTTTGTGCTGACCCTTTGCCTAACGAAGAGCGCAAATGCAAATACAAGAGTGTGAGCGAGAGAACAAAAAATGCAGTTCTTCCAACACGCTTCACAGCACTGAAAAAAAAACTATGCTCGCTGTTCCTTTTGCATTTGCATTCGAAGCGGTTTTTATTGTTGTTATTGGCGGTGGAGACTGTCAGAAGGGTCATTGCAATTGTGTCGTGTGCTAAAATAAAACTAAACGAAAGAATCGTACAATGTGCATAAAAAGTTCAACAAACGTTTGGCATTGACACATATCCAGTTCAACAGTGTGGAGCGGTTCCTGTTCAAGTGCAACGGCAAATGCATTCATTGCTGTATTTGCTGTGTGTTGAAATCAACGTGAAAACTATTTATTTATATTAAAATCCAAGCAATATGGCAACGGCTACCAGCTGCCTGCCTAGGACAACAGTTGCCGGCGGTGCTTCGGTTGCCGTCGCCTCTGATGAAGCTTCTATTGATTTAGGTGAGACATCTGAGCAACCACAGACATGTATTCATGAACGCTCGTGTGTTCATTTGTTCGCACACTTATTTTGTTTAACTTTTGTAATAGGTTTTTGGCACGTAAGGTTAAAGCACTTTTTAGGTTGGACTTGGGCCTGCCCTTGCCTCTGTACATAACTTAACGAATATAATTTTTTATTATATTTTATTTTCGCCAAGACTTCTGACCTCAGAGTTGCTTGACATCTATCTTAACGATCAGCGTGCGAGTTGATGGCCGTGGATTTTTCCCTCAAAACGTTCTTTTTTTTTACTGAATATAAAAAGGGGGAATTCTTTATTTATTTATTTTTTTTATTTATTATTTATTTATTTTATTTTATTCGTATTCAAGTTAAAATTTGCCCTTTTCTTAATTGTCATATACTAGAATATCGCATTTTTTATTTATGCTTAGTTGTTTCTTAAATGTTCTTGAGATAATCACTTCGAATAAAATAAAAATAGTTCATTCTTTTGTGTGCTACTTTTAGTCTGATTCGTATGGCAAAATTAATCAAAATTTCAACCTTAAACCAGTTCAATTCAGTTGTATTTACTAAATTCAGCATAGGCATATGTTTCAGTATATTTGTTGACAGCTATTTATAGGTCAGCATTGATAAGGAGTGCATAACCACACATGAATATTTAAAAACATCATCGAATAATAAACTCATTTGTGAACGCACAAATGAAACCGAGAGTCTGACACTCAACAACTACTGAATAGAAGAAGGTGTCACTCGCATAGGCGCCTCGCACGTGTTGGCGTCGATTAGTCAAAAAAAAAAAAGCTGCCGAAACAAGTTGTTCCATGCCCAATGGGTTGGGGTGTTGCTCGAAACGTGTTGGCCATACACAATGAGCAATGGAAATGTTGTCAAACAGGTGTAATTACTAGGTAATGGCTAATTGAGGTACACATATCACTAACATTGAACCGAAAGTACAATGCCTGAGGGTCACCCAGGCTTTTTCGCATTGTAAATGAGCGAAGTGCTTTAAACAGATGCTGCGGGAAAGACCATGCCCGTCATCAACAACTACAACGACAGCAAAGCCGCAATGAAAACCAGCTTTCGGTGGCATAATTTCCCAAATGCATTATTAGCCTCTCTTGCTTACATCTCTTAGTGCGCTCTCTGTGATCTTTGTCTCGTTTGCTCGCACGCACTTACTCACTGCCTTTCCCTTTCGCACTTGCTGGCACGTGAATGTCATGCTCAAGTTCAGCTTCAGTTTTGAATAGCGCCCCCTCCCTGCCCACACACACATACATGAACACACACAGACACACATTCTCTCTTCCTCTCTCTGTCAGTCTCATTCAGTTTCCAGTTTGTGATTCTTGGCTTGGTATAAAATCTTCGTAACGTGCTTTTGGCCGCAACAGTTTCGTCTGCTCTTTCGGCTCCGTTACACGCGTCGTCAGTCGCTTCGTCTTTTGCTTTATCCCCGATTGTATTGCAGCTCCAAAACTAGTTTTAAGTTTTTGGTCAAAGTTTGGTGTTGTGTTGTGTTGTGTGTACTATATAAATTATACGATTATTTGGTTCACAGGCCCATTAACTATTCATAACTATGTATATGCTGCACAGATTGTCGTTTGTTTATTTGTCTTTCTTGCAAAAAACACGAAACTTCTCGAAAACCCAATAATTTGCTATTGTTTTAGCAGGCCTATCTAATTATATGAGCACGCATATTTCCATTTAATCGGCTTGCAATTCATTCAAATAATTTCCAAGTCATCTAATTGCAGTTTCCCAACTGTAATTTTGCTTTAATCTGTAATTCCCATTGGCATTTAATTCTTTATATAGTAATGCGAATGCATTGAATATATAATTCGAGACGAGTCAGATCTCTCAAAGTTGAAATCATTCGAAATCTAGGCTTTATCATTGATCTGCGTAAAATCTGTAATTAAAAACTTGTTTCAATAGAAATTCAACTGGAAACCAATCAAGTAGAACGAGTTAAATTCGAGAATTCAGCTCAAGATCTTTGCTGCAAATATCTTCATGGCAACTGCATTCTAATGCCAATGTTAGCGAAACTGCGAGCTAAAGATATAAACAACGAACATAGTTATGCAGCATCCGTTATAAACTTTTCAATATTTGCATGCCGAAAGCGAATGTCAAGGTTAAGGTTAAAGTTAACAAAGACGAGACAACCGGAACGAACAATTTGGTCTGCATTGACTTTGATGCAATTTCAATGAACCGATTCGCAAGCCGGTTGTCTCTATATATAAAATAAGTTTATTAATAACTGCATAATCTGACATTTAGCGAATCTGACACAAAGCAAATAAGAGAATACGATATAAAGGCTAGCAAGAAAAGAAGATTAAACTTATTTTTCGCAAAGCTTAATAACAACAACAAAAACAATTGCAATAGCTACAAAATGAGTAAGTAATTATTAACATATATATATATATGTATAATTAATTTCTAATGGGGCCTTACATAAGCAAATAATTGAGATTAGCTATTCGAGCGTAGGGGACAGAAGCGCAGCTTCCATGTAAACACGCTTCGCGTAACGTGCATTTATTGTCATAATACTCATCTCTATACCTCTCTCTCTCTCTAGGAGTGCCCACCATGTTGTCAGAGATCGAAGCTCTGCCCTCGATCAAGCTGGGCGATTTTACGCTTCAGTTCGAACTGGGAGAAGCCACAGCTGCTGCCAAAGAAGTTGCTGCTCGTGAGCTGCGCGAATCCCCCGAACGTCAGAAACAGGCAACACAGGAGCTGAAGCGTTTGCTGGAGGGTAAGACTCTTTTTTAGAATATCAAATGAATGCTAAGATTGTAAATGACACTTCGCAAAATGTAACCCGATCTTGAGCTAGCGATCTCCAGTTCACAAAAAAACCCATGCACGCTCTACAAATAAATAATGACCATATTTAGAAATGTTGCTCAAGAAATCAATCGATCCGAAAATAGTTACACTTAATCGATATATTCGATGAATGTGTGAGTGGATGCTATAGCTTATAGTCCTCTATATAAAGTATGCACTTGAAAAACTTGTAATTATAGCTTTAAATATGTTAAAAATATAAATTTGTGTTGAATTTATAGAGGTGACTAGCAGTAATTTTAAAAATGTTAAAGATACACTTTTCTACGAACAGAGCATGTTGGAAAAGATATAGTAAGCATAGTAAACCCCTTGGAGTTAATAAGCTGATAGTTGATAAATCTTTGTTTTCCATATTTTCCCCAAATGTTTTCTAGACTTCGATTAAGTCAAACGACCCGTACTTAAAAAGTCAGTTAGTGGCATGTAGCTAATTATTAAGTAGACCTTAACTTATTTTTAAAAATTACGCTCGGGCCAAAGTCGATTTCCTCGTCTGGCCGAACGACCCCATCATTAGAGTAGCTCAGACGATAATCGGCCAAGTAAACCTAAAGCTAAGTATAAATATGCATTCTCTAACACTAAGTCTAGAGGTACATTGTCAATAGATATAAGTATAATGGTCGCTAATTTAGTTGGAAAGGTCAACGAGATCAACTTGGAATTGGTGTCATTAGCAAACAGCGGCTGGACTCTGTTCAGCAGCGCGCCAATTGAGATAGCTAATTTCTATTTATATTGTATCTCATTTGATGTATAGCTGAAACCGATCTGTACTGCCCCAAGGACAACGAGGAGTGGCTCATACGCTTCCTGCGGCCCTGCAAGTATTATCCAGAGAGCGCGCGCGACTTGGTGAGTTCTTTCATAATTTAATTTGACAAATTCCATAAAGCAGATTTCTTATAAATCATACAGATCAAGCGCTACTACTCCTTCAAAGTGAAGCACTCGGATGTGTATAACAATTTGAAGCCCACAAGGGAGGCCAACATCTTTAAGAACAATATACTCACCGTGTTTCCCAATCGCGATCAGTGCGGACGCCGCATCTTATTGCTTGAGCTGGGCAGTAAGTGTTGAGCCTTTGGGCAGTTTGATGCTATCTTTGTAAACGCTCTAAAATTATTTTCCATTTTCGCTACTTCAGAACGCTGGAAGCACAAGCAGGTCACACTCGATGAGGTCTTCAAGGGTGCCGTCATTTTTCTGGAGGCCGCCATGCTGGAGCCGGAGACACAGATCAATGGAGCCGTTGTCATTTTCGACATGGATGGCCTGAGTCTGCAGCAGACCTGGCAATTTACGCCGCCATTCGCCAAGCGAATTGTCGACTGGCTGCAGGACTCGGTGCCGCTGCGTATCAAAGCCATTCACATTGTGAATCAGCCTAAGATCTTCAATGTGGTCTTTGCGCTCTTCAAGCCCTTCCTGCGAGAGAAACTGCGCAGTCGCATTATTTTCCACGGCACCGATCGTGAGTCTCTGCACAAATACATGTCGCCAAAGTGCCTGCCCTCATGCTATGGCGGCATTCTGGAGCTGCCCCGCGTCGATGGCGATCAGTGGTATGAGCTGCTGCTCATGTGCGACGCAGAGTACGAAGCCATCAACTCGTATGGCTACAAGAAGAAGTGAGTGGGTCCAAGCCAACGGACAATGTGTACAGCAAGTGATATTCCCTCGTATACCCAAAACTCAATTAATATACATTAACCATAATATCTGTTATACGCTTGTCCAGTCAACGCACGCGACAACTGTGTCGTAGTGCTAGAGCCAATCAGTTTGCCTTAGTGTTAAGCGATCGATTCGATCATATCTGGCAGTAAGTGTTAATATTCCACAATACAATTAAATGGGGGTAAGCGTAATTATAGTCTGTTATTACTTACATATTTAATATAAAAGCATAAATATATACTAAAAGTTGAAATGAAACACGCAGTTCAATCTTCACAAAATTCACTTTATTTCTTAGAGTTTCTTCATTCGGGTAGTTTACAATTAAGTCGTTTGTATAAACAAATCACGTTTAAGTTCTTCGTTGGCTGGTTTATAAGTATAGATATAAGTGCTTTGAATGTTATCTAGATGCTTATACAAAGCAAATATTTCAAAATTAGCTACCTTTAATGTTATCGGCTTGGTCTTTGTAGTGGGAGATTATCTGTCACAAGCACATGTTATCTATAATAGCTCATTTAATTATGAATATAACAGATGTTGACTTGTAATGTCGGTTATATATATATATATATATATATATATATAGATGTATGGTCTATAAGCATACATAAAAACTTTGTATATCTTAGCCTAAAATCAATTTAGTTGTCGTAGACTCTGTGGTCAAGTCAATCGCTTCACTCACAAGGCACAATTTCTATGCACCACTTGTAGTACGGTTTCAGTTGTGGGACTGTTATACTGGAATAACTGTCATATAACTTAAGTTTCCTTAAGAGTAGCGAAACCTTTTTAATTAATCTCGAATTCTACTACAGAGTGTTCAATGTGTATTTGGTTTGTGCTGGGAGACTCTTCCACAATCAGCAACTTGGCTGGAATGTAGTGAATGCCCCTGGATAAGCCATAAAAATGAACGAGAGAGAAAAACGTAACAAAAACAAGCGTATTTATACTCTCCGTCTCCACTCATAGCTGATAATTGGTCTTTGGCGCCTTGGGCGAACTGCGTGATTGTCCGAACAGATGACGCGACATGGAGGAGGGTGAGCGCATGGCAGCATCCGCAATTTGCCCGTCACCGTCATCCGCGTCGACGACGTCAGCGGCTTTGCCCGTGCCACCGCCAGTGCAGCACTGGCGACGTTGCATCAGCCGGATGGGCTGTGTTAAATCGATGGTGTCGCCATGCTGGCGCTGCTCCGCTTCGGCTACACGCTCCATCGTTTTCCACTGTCGCAGCGCAAGGACAAAGGCGTCTGTAACATTTGTCGCCGTCTTCGAAGAGGTCTCAATGTGTGAGCTAATCCCATGCTCCGTGCACCACTGTTGCGCATCCTCGTACCCCACTTGTCTTCTCTCCGGCCGAATGTCATTCTGTGAATATGAAATGCATTACCATTACCATCTGTCAGCATTCATCTAATCGAGAGCTCACCTTGTTACCGACCACAATGAAGGGAAACCTGTCTGCCTTCACATCCGCGTAGTTGATAAACTCGTTGCGCCACAGCCGCAGTCCACGCAGGCTGTCCCGATCGTCCAGTGCGTAGCAGAGTAGGCACATATCGGAGCCGCGATAAAAGGGTGTGCGCAATGCCCGAAATCGTTCCTGTCCAGCCGTGTCCCATATCTAAGAGAACAGTTGACTTAAGTTCACAGCCCCAAGTTGTAGAGAAACATGGGCTTTATAAGTATAGAAGATAGCGATGATTGCGTCACACTAATGACTGCAGGCAGATCGCCAAAGCCCTGGCCCAGAGACAAAGCGGACTGATAATAATAGTGAGCTGATAACAAGCCCAAAAGCAAGTTCAGTCTAAAGACCTTATTGTAAGTAAACAAATGGAAATGAGACATCGGAAAGCGTGTTCCAATCGGGTGTATGCGCCCCGCACATACACTCAGCCCCGCATTGAGCTTTTACCTAAATATTCTATTCATATATATATACACATCTGGACTGTGAGATTACGCTCAGGCTCAACTTTGCCCTGTGATTCATAGCTAATTGCGAATTGGAGATTATAAGGATTCATTATTCAAAGCATTTTAGCAGTTACGTTTCAAATTATTTCAAATGTGGTTAGCAAGGATCCTCAGAAATACTGAGTGAATTAGCATATAATGATGTAAGCCTGTTCTTATCATCTATAAGGGAGTGAGCTGATTCGGTACATTTCAGAATTGCCAGGCCTCAAGGAAGTCAGATGAGCTGTGTGGCGGCTACTGCTACAAGGTAGTGAAGTACCTTCTGCAAATCTAAGGAGCAACAGTTCAACGAATTGACTCAAATCCCAAATCCTTGGAGCGACAACTATAACTAAGCAATGCGCATAGCAAGCTTAGCTTAACCAAAGAGGATTTATTGGACAACATTCAGGATACAATAGTTACCAAAAATACTAAGATAGATCAACTAAACAAACAGTTATTGAATATTAATAAAGGAATTTGAAAATAAAATAGTTTGTTCAAGTGAGAGAGGAAGCTGAGCTAAAGAACAAAGATTCTGAAATATAGAATCTGAAAACTGAAAATTTAGCTAACACTGTTTGACTTAAATAACTTGAAAATAAAATAAAATGCAAAGGATCTATAGCATCAAGCTGTATAGGAAATATAGGAAAATAAAATATCCTGGGGCGCACTCATTTGAGATATTCAGTGAATGGAGTCTGGCCGATTCAATAACAATAATCATAGTCGAATTATTGTTTTTAGAGCCATCTGAACGACGTTGATTCACTGTAAAACCGGAATCAGTCAATATGCCGAGCTTCAGTAAACTGACCTCAGCATTCTTCTTGGGTCTTGATAAGAGCTACTTATTGACGAACTTCAAACAACACGAGTTGTAAATTTATCTAAAGGACTTTAATACATAGTACATAATAGGAGATGAGCAGTAGAACGTTAAATTAAAATCATTTGGAGTTTATTCTGGAAATGCAGGCGATTCAATGGCCACAAATCTTATATGAAATTTTCAACGACTGATGAAGATCGGAGTTAGCTTGCGTTCGATGTATTGTGCTCTGGTAAGTAAATAAAATTTAAAATTTAATTCACAGCACATATACCCCACGATACCCCACATCGGAAGTAGCCAGCCAAAAACTAGGCATTGAATTAAGGTCATGGCAAATGGATTCACTTGAATCTGCTCAAATGATGATCAGACCAAAAACTACAAATTTTAATCAATATTTAAACATTGTTAAGTTGCATAAAAATAGTTGGAAGCAAGGAAGAACGGTACAGTCTGACGCTATCCTAGCTCGTAATACTCGTTCACGGTCTAAGCGCTGTCAGCTCCAAAATTTCTGAAGACATGTTTTTTGCTATTTTTCACGCCTTCGAGAGGCATTTATTATATTTATATATTATATATATATTATTTATATATTTATACAGATTTTGGATTATTAATAGATGTCAACAGTAATTTAGTTGTTAAATCTTGAGTTTCTAACTGTAAAGCTATAGAATTTACAGTCCCGACTTCCAATGTTTTCCCAGTCAGAAGATGTCAATACTTTCGTAACTAGCAAAAATGTGGAAATTTTCTTTACGCCACGCCCCAAAGGAGCTTAAATTATCTTTTTGGTGCATCGATAGAGGTCAATTGTAACTTACTAATTTATTTTATTAGAAGATAAGGGCGTATATATAATCTATATCTGTTTAACATATAACATAGTCAAATCTTTAGCACTTTATCTAAGAGCGATTCTCACATACCCGACTTAGTATTTTTCGATTTAATACGCTCCTAGTAAGCGCATAGGGTCAAATTTGATACCTTATCAAAAAAGAGTACCCACGAAGTTCCAAGACTGTAGCGCCCAAACGGTTTTCTGTTTTTGGCCAAAACGGATAAACGGACATTACACAAAACCAATATCCTTATTTCTTTTCGTGAAGGAGTATAAAGAAGCATATTCACTACGATAGTTCTTATATATTCTTAATCAGCTAGACAGGCTAGGTTATCATATTGCGTTCACAGACTATCGATAAAAATCGATGTTTATGCTTAAGGTAAGTTCTCGTCGTGCAATTGCGACTATAGAGCTCTGACTAAATTCCATCCGTAAATATATAATATGTTTATATGACTATATGTATGTCTATGATGGGTAAAGCTGATGCAAAGATCTCATAAAATAGTTATGCTTTGAAGGTACTCAAAATTAATTTTTGAACTAATTCTCAAAATAAACATTTATAAATAAAAATTATTTTTCCATATTAACAATTTTCACTTTCGAGTAACTACTGTACTTAATGGTTTATATTAGTATTAAATACTCTTATCTATTAACATTGATAACCATCTATAATATAAGTGCAATATGTAGCTATATTTTCATGCACAGTAAAGTTCGGCTTTGGGTATTCACTTTATCGGTACGAATCAGTGAAGGCCATTTGAGAGTCGACGAGTGCCGACTTCTTGTTTAATTCAAGCTCAACGAAGCGTTAATATAAAAAAAAAGCAAAAGGCTTTTGCTTTTCTGGGATTTTTATGAACAAAACAAAAAAGGTATGACTAATAAAGTTGTAAGTTTTAGTGATTTCGGCATTGAAAAAATGTCTGGAATTTATTGATTGGCGTAATTACTATTAACAATTCGAATTATTTAAATGACGCTTTGCCCCAGTTTGTTTACTCATTTAATTGCAGCTCCCTCCAGGCCATGCGTTGAATATTTATAAGCTATGCGAAAGTTGTCGGACTGTGAAAATGTGAATTCAAATGGGAGCCGACAGCATACAAATAAAAAAAGAGAAAAAACTGCATCAATAGCAGGCAAACAAGGGAATACCCCTGCTTTCCGACGGAAATGGGAAGAGCGAGACTGAGAACAAATAAAAAGACGTTCGCGTAGAATTTATATCAAGGGTTTGCTACACTACTTTACACTATATGCATATGCATACATATGTACATAGTACATACACACACACACACACACACACACACATACATATATATAAGTTACAAATATGACACAAAGTTGTCGCATTGTTTTTGTCGTTCATGCTGGACATTTTGGCTTGCTAAACGGTTGTACGTTAATTGAGCTTTGAATCAGTGTGTTTGTGTGTGTGTGTGAGTGGGGGCAGATAGAACAGATACGGAGACAGCTAGTACGCAGCTCAAGTGTCAGCGGAACTGTTAATGCAAAACAACGCAAAAAAGCAGAGAAAAAAACAGAACAATTTAAACTTGAACTCGAGTTGGAATCAAAACAAAAAAAGAATGGAAATGCGTTGAATTCGATTTAAACCTTGCAGCACTAAGCTCACGATATGTCAATATGTGAATCATCAAATTGTACCACCACTCCACCCACCTGTAGTGTGTACTTTTCACCGTCCACAGTGATGTCCTTATTCATGAACTCCACGCCAATCGTATGGAAATTGTTTTCCTCATACCGATTCGATACGAACCGTGTGAGCAGCGCAGACTTGCCCACACCTCCGTCGCCCAGTATGACGACCTTCAGTAGTTTGGATTTTTGCGGTGGGCGCATGTTTGTCATTTTGATAATTTCTTTTTTTTTTTATTATTACTTTATTGACTGTAGTTGACTGCCTCAATAATTATTAGATTGTTGTAAAAACTGCGCAGCTAACAATTTTATTTGTTTGTAATAGTCATGTGGCTCTTCTTTGTGTCATCAATCACGATATTCGCTGCATTTCAAGCAATTAAATGCAATTTTTAGAATACATAACAAACTAGCGTGCCTTTTGAAAAAGCTAAACAATTAACCGATCAAAAAATTGAACACTCAACGCACTCGCGCCGCTACGCGCCGCAACCTATTGGACCAACAGTAAGCTGTCAAATGACTTAATGGGCAGAAATGAACGTGTTCACGGAACTTGTGCGCTGTTAAAAATGTAAACAAATGTTAAATGTAAGTAAAAAACTAAGTCGGGTATGCGGTTCCAAGACGCTACGAATGTTAATTGAAGAGAACTACACTATTTAGATTTATTTGTATATTTACTATTTAGAGGATTTTTTTGTATATTTGTTGTTGTTCACTTAATGTCAAATTGTATAGAATGACTATTTTTTTGTTAAATAAATTATATTTTAACTTTTTTTAAATGAATTCGGTAATCAAAATGCATAAATATTGAACAATCATCGTTTGGATCTATTCAATATCCTGTCCTGAAAATATGTGTAAATAACAATCTTTAAATTCTTCATATTTTAAGATAACTGAGATGTTACTTATACTCAAACAACGTTTAAATACACTTGGCTGATCAAGAAACATATACTTAATTTATATACAATTATGCTAGGATAATTTTTGCACAGCTTTATTATCCTCATCCCATCCTCAATAAGAATGAAAAGTATAGAAATAAATAATCGGCAAAATGTTTCACATCGGCTTCTGTCTTCTCCTATATAATACACTATGTAATTAGGGTATTCAGCCCTTGATAACTGCAATGGGTCGCATTTTAATACACTTCTTGCTAATGCCAGCGGCATGGCAGGTGTCCACGACGTCAGTGACATCTTTGTATGCTTCTGGTGCCTCTTCCATGACTAGTTTTGGACTAGCAACGCGTATGGCAATGCCCATTTGATCCAGTTTCTCCAGCACTTCTTTGTAGTCCAGATTACGACGCGACTTAGCGCGTGACAAAGCGCGACCCTGTCGAACACAATTATAGTTAAAATTGTATACTATTAAAGATTAAAAGATGTTAAGGGCCTACCGCGCCGTGGCAGGTGCTGCCAAATGTTTCCTGCATGCCGCGCTCGGTGCCGGTCAAGACGTAGCTACAGGTGCCCATTGTGCCGCCAACGAGCACAGGTTGTCCAGTTAACTGGTAGTCAACAGGGATCAGTGGATGATGTGGCGGGAAAGCGCGCGTAGAGCCCTTGCGATGCACTAGTAGCTTCCGCTCCTTGCCGTCCACAATATGGTTCTCCACCTTGGCGATATTGTGCGAGACATCGTAGATGACGTGCATATCCAGATCATCGGGCGTGGTGTTAAACATCTTGGCAAAGGCCTGACGCGTGAGGAAGGTCATCGAGCTGCGATTCACCCATGCAAAATTGGCGGCAGCAGCCATAGCCTTTAAGTAATCCTGGCCTTCTGTAGAGTTGATGCGCGCACACGCCAATTGGCGATCATTCGTTTCAATCTTGTCGCGCTTCATGGCCTTTTCCATTTCGACGAGTGCATCTGTGGCCACTTGATGACCGAAGCCGCGACTGCCCGAGTGTATCATGACAACCACCTGACCCTTCTCCTCAATGCCCATTTTCGAGGCGCTCCACTTGTCGTAGATCTCGTCCACCACTTGAATTTCGGCGTAGTGATTGCCGGCGCCCAATGTGCCCAGCTGAGGTAGGCCACGCTTCTTGGCACGCATGCTCACCTTGGCCGGATCGGCGTTCAGCATTCGACCATACTCCTCGCAATGCTCTTTGTCCTCAGCCCAGACGTAGCCCTCGCGCAATGACCAATCCATGCCCATTTCAAGGGCTTCCTCCAAGTCGCGTGCATTCATTGGTATAATACCTTTAGATCCTACACCCACTGGTATATGATCGAAAAGCGATTGTGCCAACTGCTCCTTCAATGGCTGCACATCCTTTTCAAACAAATTGGTGCGTAGTAAACGCACACCGCAATTAATGTCGAACCCTACGCCTCCAGGGCTGACCACTGACAACGGATCATCCATGTCAAATGCTGCCATGTTGCCGATGGCAAAGCCATAGCCGGAATGTATGTCCGGTAATCCGATTGAGCGGCCGACGATGCCTGGCAATGCGGCCACATTTGCAATCTGCTTCACGCCAGGTAGAAAACCACCAACGGCACCTGGACGGCAAGAGTTCTTTAGCTCCTCCAGCATGAGCCGCTCCAGGCGGCTGTTCACGTAGAAGACACCGTCCACATTCATATTGGGCTGGAAGCCCTTCTTGATACGCCAGCAGTTATCATTGATCTTCTCCAAATACTTCAGCTCCTCAACGTAGGGCCTGACCACCATTTTGAGCAGTATGTAGGCAACGTTGTGTATAATATATTTCGTAAGTTTCTGTTTTTAACTTAGTATTGCTTATAATAACAACAATTTCGTCAGAATTCGCAATGCAGTGCCGGTAAATGACACACTTAGCGCACTTACAGCTGGGGCCACCCAAAAAAATTAACAGCTGCTTAATTAAATTTTGTTGCAATGTTAAATACACAGTTGCTTAGTAACTATTATCGATTACCACCACAATTTATTGTTCTTCTAATAAATCGACTAGTTATGCAGTAGTAATTATTCGTCAACAAACTATTTGAAAATAATTGTTTTTCAATAAATTCACATAGGTAGCTAGTGAAAATATCCAGTATTTTTAATGAGAGGCGGTCCATATATATCAACTTGATTACTCTTGTATATAGCAATAGTCAAAAATGGAAATTGTTGATTAATTGCAGTAACGTTTAAAAGATTCGTTCCCATCAGCCAATTAATTTTGAAGACGTGCAGCCGACTAAACAGTGATGTATCCAGACCTTCCACATCCTTGTTGTTTAGCGCCAGTGTCTTCAGTTTTGTTGCCGACGTTAAAATCATATTCAATTGAGTTAAGTCCTCCACGTCGCAACGACTAAGATCCAATTCGAGAAGCAAAGGAGCCACCAGGTGGATCACATTTATATAGTCAGTCGTTATATTGGCATGTTGTATTTTGAGTGCCTTTAATTTGCCGCTCTCCTTTGCACCTACACAGAGGGGTTGCAGAATAGACAACACATTTTCCGGTCGTATGGAATAGCCTACATTTATGTTGACAACTTCCACGTATTGGCCAAGTATTTGAAATTGATTTTTGTCATATTGAGGCGGAAAACGCATGGAAAATTCAATGTGACGATATCTGTGCAGCTGCCGTTCGATAGCATTGTCGATACGAGGATGAACTTTTCCCAAATTCACCATTAACTCATCCAGTGTAAAATATCTGAATACATTTGCTAAACAATAATCGTCTAGGGTCAGCAGCGACACGGAAGGGGCTGCCATGTTGAATGTTTACTGAAACGAGCAAATTGAAAATTATCAAATAGGCGCGCAAGTTATCGATAGTCGGTCAGCTGTTGGACCGTGTGTGCATGTGTATGTATTGTTTATGTCTGCGCTGTCTACGTGTTTGTGGTCGACGCCGCTCCAAAATTAAAGTGAATCATATAAAACTCGTCTCCAACTTACGCGACACTCGCGAGTAGCGCTCACTGCCATTTCAGCAAAAATATTTTCAATTCCAAACGCGAACGCGACGGATAAAACTTCGACCAGTCGCTGTCGACTCTAAACTGCTGTGTGGTTTTTGTTGTTGACGCGTTGTCGCGGTACAGGAAAAAACTGTTTGCGTGGATCAAAAACTTAAGTCAATTAACTACATTTGTGTCTTGCTTTAAATATTCCTATTGGAATATACATCGTCTAAGTGTCTGTATCAGGCGTGGCACTTACGAAGTCTGTTATTCGTATAACCCAATTGGAGAATTGATCACACTCACACACGCACACAAATACGTAAATTTTGCCTGAACTAGACTACCAGCAAGGCAACGGAAACAACGAAATGGATGATTTAGGTGAGTGTACACAAATACTTCCTAATTTAATAGCACCCTGTATTTAAGACAGGGTGAGCCAGTAATAATGTTGCTTAATGTTGTTACTGCTGCTACGTCAAGGTCAATTGTTGTTAGCGGCATGAGCATACATAGTTAATTAGCATTCCATACGTGTAGTTGGTGACAATGGCCGGTAGATGGCGATTAGTTCTTTGAATTCCTCTTACAATTTCAACTAAGAATCTTAATCTTATCTAATTTGGCTGCCTGGTTAATCATGTTGTATGACTAGCAGACTTGCCCAATCAGTCAGTGCATAGTGCCATGAACGTAATGTTATGCTCATACATACATACCTAAATACATAAAACCGTGCGTTTTATAACATATACTATAAGTATATATGTATATGACAAAGCTCTAATCTTATCGCAGCTTATGGATACTTAAGATCCTCGCCATTGCATTTTTTGCAATTTTATGATTTATACGCATTCTTTGAAATCAAAAGCGACGCTGTAATCATTCACTTGCGTGCATATTCAAATGATTAACACTGAATGTGAAGTTTGCTTTGTAGCCAGGTATTGCGAATGATATGAGTTCGTTGAGGCAGTCACTTTTTAAATGGGATTGCCATTTATTTGCTTGTATTTCTTTCCACTTAAAACCATACACACACATGCAGACACACACACACACTTTTAGTCATCATCAGCCGAACTTCGCGTATCGTCTTTTTGTTCGCAGCTGCCCTTGTTGGTTGCTATGTATTCTTACTTTATTTTCTTTATGACACAATTTCTCGGCTGTTTACTGCCTGTTGCGCTTGTTGTTAATGTCTTTTGATAAATATACACACATACACACTCCGATGTACAAGAGTGGAAACATTCCTAAGAGTTGACTAAAGGCCACTCATACTTATTGTGTGGAAAATCGACTAAGTTGACAGCTCACTGGAAGTCTACAACTTAAACGCAGCTGATTGCACTCTGCCCACGCACAGTGGTGCACTTATCAAAATGAAAGCACAAATTTCATTCATCATACGAACGGCACTGTGCACTGTCTAGCCTGTCGTTTGAGTGGAGTGTGCCCACTTTATTGATTACTCCCGTCAAAGAGGCTGCCCACTCACCACACGCAACGTCTGGAGTCGGGTTGCGTGTGCAGCGTCGTTGATATGTCTGATCGTCATAATGTTGTTTTTAGCGGATGCTGCAATTCACCGCTGTGAAGATCACAGTGGTATTAGTATAATGTTTTGTACATCAAATAATCAGAAAATAGAAGCCATATCAAATAGTGAGAGAGATGACAGGTCACAGATTAGTTGTCATGATTCAACTTTTGTTTTCACATACCGCGAATGGCACACTGTGAGCTCCACTGTGAGTGCAGATCGCTTGACAGTCGTTGTCTGTTTTGCTGCTAATTCCTTCTTTTGCCTTATGCCTCCCACTTGCGGCTTTCGTTTTGCGGCTTTGTTGCTGTCGCTGAGACGTTGTCGTCATAACCTCATCATCACGACTTGCTGCAACCGCAGTCAGACGGACGCTGGCAGCAGAGTGAAACAAATGAAATGAGCAACTTTGCGTTTGTTTATCTGAGCTCTCTCCTTCGCTCTATCTCTCTCTCCCTCTCTGGCTCTTTTATTAAACTCTCTCAAAGTGCGCGTAGCGCTCATGAGAGCAGCATTGCGTTTGTTTTTAGTGAAGCCTCAATGCTGCTGCGTTTGTGGTTCCATTTCATGTTCCGTTAGTGTGCACAAGCGCCAAGTTCTATTTCAGTTGTTTGCGACGCTTTTGCTTAAACACGACGCAACGTGATGTGCGCGTTTCATTCGGTTTCACTCGCGTTCGTCGTTCATAATAAACGATAACAACAAATTATGAGACATTTGGACAAAGTGCAACAAATAAAAATAAAACAAAAATAAATAAATGTTAATGTGTTAAAGCACAGCGTTTTGTAAAATCTGTATCAATCGAGCAATCGATAACAACAAAAAGTGTCAATAAAATCGATCAAGTGCTCAATGTGAATCAAAATACTTTCAAAAACAGCCAAACCAGCAGCACAAAAAGTCAATGAAAAATCGGTGGGTTTTCCTACTACATCAGATGGCATAGCGTGGGAAAATTATTTACTTAGGCTGAAGTATTTCATAGCAAAACTAGATAAACCATATTATACTTGGCTAAAAAGATAATAAAATATAAAAGTAATGCGAAGATAAACCTGGGCTGCGATAAAAAAGGAATTTCAGTAGTCCAACAGATAACACAAAAAGCGTCCAAAGAAGAGACACAAATCTGTTCGCACAATAGATTAATGAGCCCACTGTCACTCAGCAAATCCCGTGAACATTTCGCTAAAATCTTCGCCGAGCTTTTAGAATTTAAATTTAAACTAATTATGAAGCTAATTTTTAGAAATCGAATAAACAACTAAATAAAGAACAAGATGAAAAACGAGAAATATTCCTAAATGTGACACGAGATTTGAAATTTGGCTAGCGCCATTAATTTTAGACTTGCCCGACAATCGGATTATAATATACAGATGTATTAAAAATTGAGACTAATGCCGTGGGCGTGGAGGAGGGAACTATGTTCTTTGATTGACTGGAAAATGTGTGGAAAACAATAATGAAACTAGAGCAACGACGACTTTCACTGATATATAAACATATGTCTGTGCGTGATCTAGTCAATATGTCATTTATTTTAACTGCAAGAGCAGTTTGCATGGAACCTATGCACCCAAAAGGCGTTACATGTGTATTGTGGAAGTGCTAATACCCGACGTAAGGGTATAACAGCAATTATAACCTATACCAATTATGAATATACGACATTTTACACACGTATTGTAAGCACTTGAAATATATTGTAAACAAAGTCGCTTTCATTACGAATGAATTGTTGTTGTTACACTCAACAATTGGGTGTATTTATGTATGCATATGTGTGCCTACATATACATCTATATATATATATATACATATATATATATATATATGTATATATGTGGATCATCTAACGTCTCATGCATGTAATGCACTTATTGGAATTGCTTTCGATTTGCCGCCAAACCGAATTCCAATTAGTTACAAACAATATCTCTGTATCTCTTGAGTGCCACACACACATCCCTCTCCCACTCTGGCTCCCCTTCGCCCACGCCCATGTCGACATCCACTGCCTCTGATCAAATGTTTGTGCAAAGCATTAGCTGAGCTGAACTGAACGAAATAGAAGAGAAGTTAGCACCTTTTTGTTGGGCATAGGGAACGCCGTCAATCCCCTATCTCCTCGCTCAGTCGTTTGAGTACAATGAGTTCATCGTTCAATTTGTTAGCGTAGTTCGAGTCGCGCAAGTTCTCGTTTTCAATCACCAAATCGATTCTTATCTCCAAGTGCCGACTCATAAAATTTCAATTAGTGCGACGTTGAAGGGAGCAGCTGAGATGTTGCCCTGCTGCGCTTCCTCTTCTACTCTGCTCTCTCCAGCTGGCTTGCTCTCTAGCTCTGAGCGCACAGAGAACCTTTGCTTTTATCTCATCTCTGAGTATCAGGGCCACCCACATCATAGTCGGATCTCTTCAAACTTAAAAATAAATGCCTAGAATACTGCGAAAGCGAGTTATTTAATATATGCATGTAAACCTAATTAATAAACTTAAATCAGAATTGCCTTATCAAGTTAAGAATGAAACGGGAAGCGTAGTACTTTCAGATAAACCTGACTTAATATCTGGAAATATCAATCTAGATCAATCAAGATTCGAATTAGAAAGTTAGATTCTTAATTATAAATGGAATTTAAATTTGTTGTCCAATATTATTTAATTAAAATTCCTAATAGAAAATGTTGATGTATCTTAAATTAAGATTTCCTTGTATTATTTCTTCGAATAGTTGATATAAACATCGATTCGATCACAGTTTTTTGTGTTTTCCAATCCTTGTTTTGGACAGCATATAAAATGGTTTTATAGCGGCATAAACTGAACTTATTTATGGCCCATAGAAAGGTCAGCATGGATCCCCCACGTGAATGTAAAATGTTTTTTGCTTTACGTTTTCACCTTTGGCGTTTCAGGCAAGGTCGGCCCAACTTTTATGTACTTACCTATCAAATATTCATCTAGTATTTATAGAGAGATCTAGCTATCGTCTGCGGCGTCGGTCAACAAGAGTCCAAGTCCATTGAGCACTGGCCGCCCGGCGCTGCTCGGAATTTCCTGCGCCCAAAAAACTTAAACAAAAATGAAATCATAAAAAATCAAGTTTTAAATAACCGACAATTGAATACCCTTGCAGAAATATTTTATTTTTGACATGTTATTCCTAGGGAGTAAGTTTGACTCAACAGCTCATGAAAATGAACTGGTTCGCTTAGGAACTATACGCGTTGCTTAGAGTTGAAGAACAGTTCATGAACCATATGTTCCATTGAGTAGTTCAGCAATATATGAGCTTTGCATTCATTAGAGCTATTTAACAGCGCAAAAGGAACCACCGAATAACTAAAAAGTTCGAATGAACCAATTACTGGAACTTAAGTTCATGAACTGCTGAACTAGTAATAAAGCTGTTTTTGTGTGATGAATAAACATATTTCTTTTATAAATTATAAATATATAAATATATATATATATATATATTTTTTTTTTATAAATAATAAATTATAAATTGAACTCAAGTTGTGGGACACAGGGCCTATATAAGGCACAGACAAATTAAATATTTTAAGATGACTTAACTCAACTTTTTAATTGGCACTAATTGAAGCTAGAACTAGAACTGGAAAACTGGAGACTGAGCAGTAGATATTTAGACAAATAAAGAACTGGAGTTTAAGATAAATACAGAACTAGATAACTTAAGAACCAGAAATCTATAGAGCTACAGATCTTTAAAACTATAGAACTAAGGATCTGAAGAGCAATAGGATAATAGACGTAGAGAACAATTTAACTGTAGAGAAATGCAGATGTAGAGAATTAGAAAACTAGATTTATATGAAGCTAGAGAAATAGATACTTATGGAGAACTGCATAATTAGAGTGCTTTAGAATAAAATAATATTAACTAAAGAAATAGAGACTTAGACAACTAGACTTAAGAATTATATTTATTTATATTTATTTAAAGATGAGCGGCTGGAGAACTAGTTAATTTAAGATCTTGAGAAATTTAGAACTTGAAAACTTTAGGTCTATATAGCAACAGATTTATAGAACAATTGATAAAGAAAACCAGAGAAGAAGAGAACTAGCGAGCTATACATCTAGACAAATAGAGCTCTATAGAGAACTAGAGATTTGGCGATATACAAAAGAAGACAACAAGAGAGCTGAGAGACTAGAAGCAAACAAATCGTTTCAGATCCTGATATCAATCTAACAAATAGAGATCATGTCTAGAATGATGTCTTGTCCTGTGTCTAAGAGTTGATATAGCCTCGCCTAGGGTATGCTAATATATCGTGCCTTTGACTTTTAAATTTAGAACTGGCAAACACAATCGTTAGTTATTCTGCTGCTTCGTCTTCTTCTTTCTCTCGTTTCTATTGTGGATCCGTTGCTCTGTTGGCGTCTGCCCCGCGCGAGCTGGAAAAGCGTGTGGAGATATCTCTGGCTACCTTTTTGGCAATGCACTGCGGAAATGTTAAGGCATTTCTACTTTTTCTACTTTATTTTGTTTTTTAATTAATTTTTGGCCGTTAGGTGAATTCGCTGCGCTGCCTCTAGTCGAGGCGAAAACGTCGCCTGTGAGAACTTTTTTTATTTATTTATTTTTAGTTCTCGATCATGGCGTTGACGTAATTTGGCAACCTTGATTCCCCGCTAGCATCCAAACCAACAACAACAACAACAACAACAACAAGCAAAACCTGCTGCTGCGTTGATCATTTTTTTGTTATTCTTCGTTTAATTTATGTTTATTATTTGTTACCTTTTCCAATGTGTCGCTATTTGTTTGGACAGATGCTGGTCGTATTTTCTTTTGGTATCCAAATGGCTAATAAATCAGGTCTTATGGCATCGTCGGATCAACCTGATCGCGTGTCATCCGTGGGTGATCATCACTTATCAAAGTCTCATATATCAACCAAAATTGCATTTCGAAGTCCCACTCACTTTTACTTGAAGCATTTGGTTAGCTCTGGATATGCCAGAGGCGGGCTGCATCGAATCAACATTCTTCATCTGATTTTGGATCAGAAATGAATTGCTTAAATTACTTTCCAAATTAAAACTAATTTTCTTTTGTAATACTTCCTGTTAGCCAATTCAACTCTGGGCAGCTTTAGAGTTAGGAATATATTGGAATTGGAATTGGCTCTGGAAAATGAACTAGTGAACTTATTCACTTGCTCAGTGAACGTTGAGTGATGTATGATTCTCTGTGACTCAATTATTCAAGTGATCACGAGTGATTCATAATATTCAACAGATGGTTACATTCTATTCAGTAGCTGCGAATGAACGAACCACGAATATTGTGTTCCTGAACTGCTGAACTAAATGAGCTAATGAATAAAATCAAAACGATTGAGCTCTGCCTTCAAATAGAACTAGAACTGTTTAATTGCTGAACTAGTTTCCTTTCTGTCAGTCGCAGTTAATAAGAGTTCACTCTTAATGTGAACTAAATGAACTGATATTCAAAGATATTAAAATTGAACTAGATCTGTATGCTGAACTAGTTCCCTTTCTCTCAGTTGCAGTGAAAGATTGAACTCTGTCATCAAATTAAACTAGAACTATTTAAATTCGGAACTAGTTCCCCTTCCTTCAGTCGCAGTTAATAAGAGTTCACTCTTAATGTGAACTAAATGAACTGATATTCAAAGATATTAAAATTGAACTAGATCTGTATGCTGAACTAGTTCCCTTTCTCTCAGTTGCAGTGAAAGATTGAACTCTGTCATCAAATTAAACTAGAACTATTTAAATTCGGAACTAGTTCCCCTTCCTTCAGTCGCAGTTAATAAGAGTTCACTCTTAATGTGAACTAAATGAACTGATATTCAAAGATATTAAAATTGAACTAGATCTGTTTAAGTGCTGAACTAGTTCCCCTTCTAGCAGTCGCAGTGATAGATTGAACTCTGTCATCAAACTGAACTAGTGCTGTTTATGTGCCGAACTAGTTCCCTTCCTCTCAATAAGAGCTTGCTCTTAATGTGATATCCCGCAGCTCCTATTTGTAGCATTTAGTGAAAGGCCGTGGCAGGGGAAGTTCTGGGCCAGAACTCTTGACAGACAAACGGATACCGAATGACAGCCAAACTCAGCACAAACAAAGCGACAAATCCGTCGACGGACGGGCCTCGTATGGCCAAAAATAAAAATGCGCTCGGGGGGAGGAGGAGGCAGTCGATGCAAAAGCTTTTAAATATATCATCCAAGTGCATTGGGTGGAACACTATGAATGAGACTATTTAAATAATATAGCAATCTGTTGGTATGAACTTTCGATTTTTAATTGACTTTTGAATGCAGCTGAAGAGCAAAGTGTTATATATATAAAGAAATCAATATGGATAGAACAATGTATGGCAAAATAGATCCTGGAGCGCGACAGCCCTATCGCACGGTGCGCAGCAAGGGTATCCAGCCGGGCTGTAAGTATTGAAGCAACTAATCCGACTCAGTTTCCAGCTCACAGATAAAGTGCAGAGACGTCTCGCATGGGGCGTCATTCATTTGAAACGAGCTGCTCGCTCTCCAGAGCTCCACGCAATGCTCCACACCGCCAATGTTGTCCGGCTGGCCGGCGGACCAGCGAAGGAACTGGGCGTCCTTGCCCGTTGCCTGCGATGCGTATACGCCCGGTATGGCCAGCTCATAGAGCGACAGCCAATAGCTCTTAGCTGGATGCAAGTGGGCACTGAGCGCCAGCAGCTCCTGCTCACTCTCCAGGTTGACCAGAAACCCGTTAAGTTGGCGGCAAAGATTGCCCGCGTGGAACCAATTCACACTCAACGATTCCTCAATATAGTAAACCTTGTCGCCGATCAAAGTTAGATTTGCCACAGTCGGTCGCTTGATAACTGCTGCGATATATCAAAAGATTTGCTGGAGTAACTTAGTTAGCTGTAGCTGCTTACCTGCGTCAATGGGCGTGGCGTTGAAGCCCATAGCACCCAATAACAACAGCAACAACAGCAGGAAATATTTTTGCATTTTCCGCCTTAATGTCTGCACACTTGAAGTAGAAATTTGTGACTAAACTAAATGTTCACCATACGATTTGCGTGATAAGTAGGAAATATGATAGTAATATTGATAACTAACTTAAGTCGGCATTGGCAATCAACAACAGTGTTCACTCGCAATGTAGAACGCTCTGGAATTGCAATTGTTGGGCTGCATTGATTTATAAATTATATGAGTATATATACATTAGTATATATATATAAATATATGATTTATTGCCTGCTTAGCGAGTGACCACTGTACCTAATTGCCATCAGCTGCTTGATAAGTTGTGCAATATTTGTGTACTTCCCCTATTTGCAAATAGAAATTTACGCAATTCGCTGTTCGCAGCTATAAATCAGAATTGATCCATGTCAAACTGATAGACAGGCGAGAAGCAAGTCAAATATAATATATACTCCTTTCACTCCTGCGAACGCGTCTTAAAATGTGAATAACAAAAATATCATTTCCGTTTGTACTATGCTAAGCGCCATCTATACCTCATTTTATGAACTTGCATTGCCTTTGCATACCGTTGCATACTTTTAAGCACAAACAATTTTCAGCTTAGAACTTTTGTAAAAGGAATTTATGTTTTTACGTGCTGCTCGTTCACATTGTCAAAAGAGTAGATAGGTTTGACCTGGAAGCAAAAATCGTTTCTTGCGCAATTACTGTTTCCTTTATCGCGCACAGCATTTGTAAAATACTTTGCATAAACAATTGAAGCCATACAAAACCGTGTGACGTAACAGATGAAATTTCTGTTGTCTATAGATCGGAAGTTTTCGTAAGTGTAACCTAACAGACAATGCTTTGGTCTGCTGTTGATTCCCTGTAAATGCAAGAAGCGCAGCTGAAAGGGAGTAACATTATCAGTTTCGTAATAGCTGAGTATATTTTGCATGGGGTGTAATATTATAATAAAATTATGTAAGATATTAAATTATTTTCATAATTAACTACCAAAACAGGGTATAACATTTTAAAAATGTCATATCCTATTACCAGAAGTGTAACTGCATCTCGTTTCTTCTGCTTCTTCTTTCTGATACTCGCTCACAAAGTAAAAGGAGCATATCGATTTGATGAAATATCTTCTGCTAAAGGAAATCAAATGGATACAGTTTTATTTCAATTTTTTAATCAATTTAACAATGTTTAAATATCGATTACAACTTTCATTCCTTGGGCCAGATCATTTGAACAAATGTAAACGATACGATATAGATACCTGTTTCCTTCCCTATGCAGCCTGATATTATATTTATTTTATTTACAAGTTCTTTGAGCTTAAGAGCATTAGCTAATTTTTTCAGTTCTCAGATTGTTCTTTATCTACGTTTTTACCTGTTCTACAATATTTTCTTTGTTAACTATTTCTTCCCTCACTTGAACTATTTTTTTTTTCAATTACTTTATTTTCGCCATATATAGTAGCTTTTGGGTTGACACTTGCTAACCGCAGTTGAAATAATTTTAAACTAAATTCTGCTAAAATGCTCTGAATAAAGTAGGCTCATAATCTCAAAATCACAATTCTTAATGAAGCCCAGGTTAAAGTTGAGTCTGAGATTAATCTCACATATAATTAGTATATTATCAGTGTATTCCGCTTCTATGTTATTGGCAACAACAATTATTTATAATCTATATAATATAATATATATATATACATCTGATCTAATTTGATCTGATATATGTATATATATACATCTTCATATGAATATGTCTTCTAAGCAAGAACTTTTATATTACATACTTGCAAATATAATCGATTAAAATCGATCAAACTTATTTCTGAAAATTTGAACCTTCGAATTTACTTACCCCGATATAGAAAGTTCACTAAAAGAACTAGCGTCGTGGCATAGGGTATTTGTTAGTCGAGGCATTGCAGCTTGAGCTTTTTTTCGTTTACGTGTTTCTCAATGTTCGTAATTACAGTTCACTGAGAACCAATACACTCGCGTTATTAGAGATTGCATCAAAAGTGAAGTCCCATCTAGTCAGACATTGATTTGAATATTTTGAATTCAGTTAGTAATTGAACGTCGTGTGGTTCTCATCGCAGGTGCAATTGTGCAATTGAATTTTCTATTGGAATCATGAGAGTCGGTAAGCAACACTGTGGCAATCTGGAGTCGGGTCAGGGAGGGGACGGAACGGAACGGGCTTACTATAGCGACCCCCACGACGTGGTTCATTCATTAGATCATTTCATTCATTCAGCGTCAGCTGAAAATTGACATTCAATGTGGGCGTCGCATAGTTTCTGCTGCTGTTCTATATTCGTATAGTAGATATAATAAATATCTATATAGGTGTGTCTGTATATATTTATATTTGATTGGTGATTGTGTAAGCGGTCTTAATTGCTAAGCTAGCTGATTCAATGTTAAGCCAACAAGCCTTGATAACGTGAAGTTTGACCAGATGTTGATGCCACGCTTTGGGATTATAATTAAGCGTTCCCTTGTCAGACCGGAAGCTGGTTTCGAATAGAAGTTCTTCGACAATAGTTCGGAACCAGTTCCGTTTGTTCACTTGTCACTTTATAATCTTTCCCATTGTGTTGCAAAATAGGCAACGCAACTTCAGTTGGAGACAACTCCAATTTCAGCTTGTTAACCTTATTGAACTGCCCGCCAAAAATCTGAGTAATAAATTGTGGATCTCATCGTCGAAACAGACGAACTAAAACGTATAAAAAACAACTCGCTGTCAAATTAATACAAAATAATCAACAAAAACACTTTTAATTTGTTGCCGCTTGACGTTTGCTGTTGCTTTTTGTTTTATTTTGGTTTTGTTTTTGTTGTTGCATACTAATTTTAGTTTTGGTCAAAGTCAAGTGACTCATCGGGGCCTAAAAAAAAACGCACTCAAAGTGTGCGGGATTCTACTCGGCAGGTGGCGCCTCTGAGACAAACGCCCACAAAGATAGCCTGCGGCATGCACAAATGGCAACGTTTTCTCAACACATTCGCTGTACAACAAAACGCAAAAGTGTTGTAATCAACAACAAGATCAACAGCTGCAGCAGCACTAGCACCAGCAGCAGCAACAACACCAACAAATAGACACAAACACATGCCCAATTGAGTTTGAGCGAGTTTTCCCACCCTCTCTTGAGTGAGTTGTGCGCTGCACATTGGGGCAATGTAAGGCAAATGTTCCGAGTAGGCAAATATTTTTTAATGGGGAATTCAGTAAATTATGAATATTATTTGATAAAATCAAAATATATATTTATATGCATAGAAAAGTTGTATATATTTTAGACATATACATAGCGATAACTTGCTAAATGTTGGTAGTTTCTAAATACAACAGATTTTAAAGTCAATCGCCTTAATAAAAATTTCCAGCTATTTTTGAAATCGTGTAACCAGTGTGCGCTGCTGCTGTTAGTCTCGCTGCTGCCTTAGCTTCAGCAACGGTTTTCGTCCGGCATCTTGTTCAGTTGCTTTTAAGATTTTGCCGAGCGAAAAATAATTTTTGGGTGATCCGCTGCGTTCCTCTGTGCGTAAAAATCGGCGATCAATTGTTTGTGTAGAGCTGTTGGTATTTGTTTTTTGTGTGTGCGCCCGCCCATAGCATAATATTTATACTTATTCGGCTAAGTGTGTGCGTATAATTTAATAAAATCAGCGAATTTCGATCATTGAAACAAAAACAACAGCAATAACAAAAGCATCAACAATTCTGAATCACATAAAAACGAAAGTGACAGCCGCAAGCTGCAAAAATATGTAACAACAATGTCAACAGCAATTGCCAAAAGCCATATGACGCAGCAGAAGCTGTGAAGCTGAAGCAGCGTTGTCAAGAGCATAACATAAAACAAAATACAACAACAAACGCAAAACGCAGCAATAACAACAATTGAAAATGCGCGTGCTGCTTGACCTGCTCCACGCTTTGCGCTCGCCCACGAATTCGCTCTCTTCCTCTCTCTGTTTGTGCATTAAGCAAGGCATCGTTCGCCGTTATAACAGCTGTCATGTGTTCGAATTCGAGTTTGGCTGCGACTATTGTGAATATGACTGCACTCCCACCCTGTTGTTGTCCCCACTAAGCCTCTCTCTCTCGTCCATGTTGTTCTTTTTTCGTTTTCTTGTTTAAACTGCAATTAAATAACTTCGATGCGATGCTCACTCAATTGGTGCTCCCTCTCTCAATCTCTTTAGTGGCTTTTAATTGATTTTAATTGCGTTTTAATGAACGCTACTTGACACAAATGCCAGTTAATAGTTGAAAATTGTCATCTTCGCTGCATTTTGGTTTGATATTTGATGATATTTTATGAAGTTCGAGAAAAAAAACTTTACAAGAAAATGGAAATTGAAAAGTTCATCATACATATATAAAATGTGTATAAAAAACCTTTTTAATATAACCTTTTATACGTCATCAATCACTGAGACTAAGCCATCAATCCGTTACACATATTTAGCTGATCTTTTCTTGAGTCAAAACTAACAAAATAAGATTTATGTCGATTTCCGCAGCATTTGCTTTTCTACATAAATCGTATAATAATTCTTTTGGCCCCGCAATCTTGATGTTGACCCACTGAAGCGCGACGCTCTGATAACCCTGCCAGCTCTATTTATAGTGAACTATCCCCACTCGCCATCTGGTACAGACCATATACCATATATATATATATAACTACATATATGTCTGAATATATAGACTCTTCTAAAAGTCAACCACATGTTCGAATCCTCATATTGTTTTTCACTTTTTTTGTGGATCGTTTCCTTTCGAATTATTTTTAAGCAAATTGCGAAACGATTTGCCATTTATCAGATATTTTCCAAAAAGTCTTAAATATAGATCATCGTACAGCAATAAGTACCTACCTTTTGATATTTTCACAATCAATTTTCTGCCAAAAAGTCGCGTCATAGTCGTTTTCCCACTCATTTGCTTTTATATAACTCAAAGATCGCACTCAATTTGAGTGGAACTCGTACATGGCCTTCTCTTTGCTGGCATTGGCCCAATTGCAGGTGGCACTAACTTTTGAACCCAACGCTTAGAATTGATGCCAAACTATATGTATATATATATATATATATATATATATATAGATATATATATATGTATTTGAATTTGAATATATAATATATATGATACATAGATATATATATATATAAGCTCTGCCCGATGATTTGTTTGATTTATTTTTGGGTATTTCAGAGCTGATGTCTTAATCGCTAGCTGTCATGTTCCATGTTCGACAGTGTTTTGTTTTCCATTCTCTTTCATATCTTAAGTTGGGTAGGTCAAATGTGTGAATCGCTTACAACGTGCAATATTTTTGGATGCCTTTATTTTGATTCCGTGTAATCTAATCGATTCTACACGATAAAGAGACTTGAACAGTTCAACAAGTTTTATCTAGGTTGTGTTCGATAATCCAATTGAATTTATCAAAACAAAAAAAAAAATAAGAAAACTTAAAGATCAGTTCAGCACTTACACTGTCCTATTGTGAATATGTTTTTACTTCTCAAAGTTGTATAAATTAGAGGCAACTTCTATACACAAAATAAGCGCACAAAAAGATTTGAAAAATGTAGAAATATCGAAATATCAATAAAATGTAAATAATACTTAAAAATAAATTTTACATGCTTCGAAATAGGGCAGACAACAACATGTGGCTATTGTGTATGTGTGTCTGTTTGTATATACGTGTGTGCGTGCATGACAGCTCTTGGCTGGGTACAGGGTATATACTGGCCGCGCACACTCGACCAAAACACGCACTTATGTTTGTTTGTTGCTTTTAGTCAAATTATAGCCAAACATAATGCAAACAACGTTAATGTGATCAAATATGTCTACAACGAAGCACACACACACACTCACACACACACACACACCCTATATATATTTATATTATAATCATATATGCGATATTTCGTGCATTGGCGCGATTTTTAGCTCGTTCGACTAGTTCGTCCCACGAGAAACATATCAAAAAACAAATGTATAAATGTATTTGAAATAATGTGTGTGTAGACCTCGTCTACTGTTCGATCTCTGCCACACCGGCTACACCCTCTGCCCCCGCTGCCGTCCCCTGCTACCTTGCTTATGTCCATTTTGAACGTGGTGTGGGAGTCGTGGCTTTTTGGCTCTGCTTTCCGATTGAGTTTCCAGGCAGCTTGGCAACTAAATTTCAAACTCACAGTTTTGTTGTTGTTGCTGTTGAAATATGCTGAAGCTACGAAGACATTTCTATTAAAGGAACTAATCGAATCGTTTGTACCTCGTTCAGCATCTGCATCGATTTTGGCCAAATTCCTATTCGGGCTAACTAAATGTCTTCGAAACTGATATCATCGTCGTTCCACAGCACGCCCCTCAACGACTGCTTCAAAGTGGGCGCGTTTGAGAGACGTTTGGGTAAGTCCACAACTGACAAGTGCGTGACGAACTATCATATGTGGGCATAGCCCAGACAGCAATGAGAAGCTCGAGTTCAAGTTCAAGTGTAAATGGTGAAAGTGTACAAATACTAGACGGAACATTATAAATGACATGTCAAAACTCTTACAAAAACACTTCGATAGCTTATAAAACATTTCGAATTATGCACCTGAGCAGAAACCTGAGCAAATTTCGTTTGAGAAATGGAAAGCAAATGCGTGTTTCATTAGAATTGATTAAAAGTTAAATTAACTTTAGCTTTAACTTTTTAACTTTTCGTTACTCTGCTCTCTATAAGGAAAAAAAGTAACGTCTACGGTAACGTAATTGTCAGAATATTTGCTATATGACACGGCCCTAAATGGGCGTAAAATTGTTGTTCCATTAATAGAGAAGGTTAACAATAAATCTCTAGAGCTTTAGTAGATATAGATATTTGCGAGTTGCACTTACAATTATATATTAGAAATTCAAGTATTGACTATTGGTATTGGTATATATTGATATACCCGAATTTGTAGAAAACAGCATATATTCAGATTTTATTTCATCGATCTGTAGAGTATCTAAACAGTAACTCACAATGTGCCAATACAAATGACATTTTCAGTTCCAGCTCTGAAATTGTGGAAGATACAGTTTTATCCGATTCGCCACGCCCCTATGGTCCCATAAATATCCACTATACATTTTAATATTTAGTTTTTAACACGCAGATATGTTCCAATTGTGAAGACTAATACTTTCTCACATACCAGACAATATTTCCAGAGCTGCCACGCCCCTAGTAGGTAGATAAGTAACATCTTAACACTATCTTATGATACTACCCAAATTACAAGGGTCCACCTTCAATGACATCAAGACAAAACCATTATGCCCCTGCACTTCTTGAATGAGTATAAAAAATGATAATGTTTCATTAATGATCTGCTTTGATTAAGAATGTGGCAGTTAGGCGCGACCTACTGCTTAATACTTCTTCACTTCTTCTTCTGCTTTAACTGCTAGACAAAGGATGTAAATGGTATTTAAGTCTTCAACTTTTCTAGTAATTAAATTTCTAGTCATTAAATTTTGAGCTAATAGCTGTCAGACTATCAATGACACTGTCAATTACTATGGCACTGTGTACAAGAATATATAATGCATATAATCTGTCGATCTGTAGAGGCTCACAACTATAACTGCTGTGCCTTGTTTTGGTGTTGTGACAGTATTCATAGCTACATCCACTATGTACATATTTGTAGTCAGTGATCAGTGATCAGGCCGACTCTGCGAAGTGTATAAATTCTGATTAGGAGCCAGGGGAGCCTTAGCCCTGTCCGTATATACGAACGTATCGTTCTGGGAACCTCCATGAACTAGATACCCTATATTAGGCGCATATCAAGTTTATTTCAAATAATTGTTTAATTTTTAATTATTAATGAAATCGATTAAAAATATTTTAGTTATTAAATCATATCCCTTAGATATTTTTAGAGTGGCCAAATTTGCACATAAATTTGTATATACTTGAAATTTATTTCATATTTTGAATTTCAGTTTCAATAAAGATGAAACAATATGTAGAAGACTTCATATTTCGGGATATTCCATTATTACGTTTGTTTATAGCATAGATCTGGAAATCCATTAGGAGCTTGAAACACGCAAGTCCGGCAATTGGACTCACTGATCAAGTTTCTCTAAAATAATCTATAACTCTCCGTTTCAATGCTAATAAACGTTATGGAACTTCAATTTTTCTTACGTCTTTGGAACTAGAATCATTTGCTATTTTGCTGATTTTTGGTTGCTAAATCTTGCCCTATAAGGAACATACATACATATTTGTGTAGACTAATATTTGGCTTAAAAAAAGTGGGGAATATAAAAAAATGAGCATTCAACAATTTATTCAATAAGAATTTCAATAAAAATTATTAAATTGTTAAGTTCAATTATTGAATTCAAAGCTTTTTAATATATTATTCACCTTAGTTAAGACACAAACCCAGTTAAACTATAAAAGCCCAAAAAATGAGAATTTTCTTTAAGTTTTTAGTCTTGCTTGAATGCGCCGATAACGCGAATAAGCTCTGATATTTCTTATCTGTAACTTTTGGCTAGATATATGAGTGAAGGCAAGTGAATAATTGTTTGGACAGCAGCTATCAGTTGCGCTATGCGTCAGACCAGCAACGTTTAGGCCATGGCTAACTATGGCGATTACGATAATCTGGGTGGCTATGGAATGTGCCACAAGCGTCTGGTATCCATATTGAATGATGTTTTTGTCTTATTCTTGCAGATGCACTACTCGCCGACTTGCAGAACAGCGTGCCGGGCCAGCAGCCACAGCCGCAGTATGGAATTGTTCAGTCGAAGCAACAGCAGCAGCAGCAGCAGCAACAATTTGTAGATAACACGCCCGGCTATGGCAGTTTAAGGGGCAAAGCACAACAGTCGCAGCCGCAACCGCAAGTGGTAAGTGGCAATGGCTTAGAATTGATTTCAGTTCGTTCATTAGCTCCTTTGTTTTGCAGTATCAGGAGCATTACAGCGTGGAAACGCGCTCACCCACATCAGCCGAATTCAACGGCTCCGGCCAGCAGAGCAATGGCTATCAGCATCAAGGCAGTGGATCGCTGCCGCGCTCCGGCTATACGAATGGACAGAATAGTTCTGGTTTGTCGGAGCTCGATTCGCTGCTGCAGGACTTGCAGAATGCGCGTTACAACAACGGCGGAGTGGAGCGTAAGGGTGAGTCAGATGAAACTATAAGAAGTCACCGTCTAACCATTGTCCACATTGCAGCCGAAGTTGAGGTGCCAGTTAATTACAGCACACCCGTCTCCAAATACAACACCTTTAACAGCTACGCTTCGGTGGAGGATCGACCCACTATGGATAGCTTACTCAACGAGCTGGATAACGCGCATATTTACGCTGTGCCCAACGGGTACGTACTCTGCTCGTATATAGCTCTAGTTGTATCTCAATTTTGTCTTTTAGAACTGCACATAAATCGCCTACGCCCGGGCGACATGTAACTATCACGGTGCGGGAGACTAAAACCGAAAAACTTTCGGGTCCCGATGGACCAGGTACTGTGCGAAGTTTACTTTAATACTCTACACTGAACAGACTTACTCAAATCATTCTTTTTATGTAGTTGGTTCCATTGAGGAGCAAATCGTGCAGAAGAAGGATTCGTATTCGCCAAATCTTGCAGCACCAGCGCAAGTTGCTCAGCATCAAGGTTACACATCGCAGGCCACCAAGGAGTTGGATGACTTAATGGCTTCTCTGTCAGAATTTAAGGTAAGTCAATATAACAACATCAGAAAGGAATGCGAAAGGGATAAGGCCAGGATTGCGATAGTGCCCTTAACTATGTTAAACAATCAATTGAAACGACTGCGGTACCAGATCATATAACCCAAGTATCCAAAGTAGAGTTGTTATAAATTTATGGAATAATATGAATAGTAAAGTTCAATTATTGATAAACTGAATTTTCAAGGTACATAGAGATGTCATATACATAAATTAGTAAACCTTTTTAAAATTTCCTAAATATCATAATTTTAATTTTGATATAGTTTACAGACAACTGTAATCTAGTTGGCCAATATTATTCCCAATAATATTAATATACATATATTATATTGTGTATAGAAAAAAGACGAAATATTTTACGGTATTTCCTATAAAAGCGCGATTGATTTAGGCTCAAACTGTTTTTCTCAGATTCATTTCAAAATTAATAAACTATCGGTATATTATACTCGTTTGTGACGCCAAGAGTAATTCTTTATTTTTAGATTTATATATATTTGATAACACTGTATAAATTTCAATATTTGGTCAGTTTTAAAAATATTATTATATTTAAATACGCTTCGAAATTCTTATGCTTATGGTCTTGTCATTAGTTGGGTAAATTTAAATGAACTATTTGATTGGGCCAACCAATTCACTACCCACTAATTTCATTTAAATGAATAAAAATTTAAAAACAATTGAATTGGTATGAGTGTGAAGATTCGTTGAGTGCACTTGCTAAACCATGATCCACAATGCAGTTTCAAGTTTTCCAACTCTCAATTATTCCTCATCAATTGTTGATTCCATAAAAGTTTTCCAAAATATTTATTTATTTGAGTAAGAGATTGTATCGTGCCTATCGAATTTCATTTTTAAAATCTTTTAGATAAATATAGAGTTCATGTTGCTCGAACTTTTCCATAAGTAAAGCTTATCGATACCCATAAAGAACTCGCCTTTCGCATTTCCGAAATCTGGTCGATAGTCGTTCCAGATATTTGTTTCTTTTCATTTGCAGTCTGATGTTATAGATTCCTTGATTTCTATCTCATTTCTGGGTATTTTGATTTTAAGAGCATTAGCTAAACTTTCTGTTTATATTTCAGAATCTTTGTTCTTCAGCTGCGCTTTTATCTGTTCTATATAATATTATGTTCTATAATCTTATTTTTGTTATTACTTCCTCTGTCATTTTTGCTTTATTTTCCAAGTTCCTCTATTGTCACATTATTGTTCTCTTTGGATCTAATGTTCAGTAACTCTTTGTTGAGTTGATCTATCTTAGCATTTTAAGTAACATTTGCATCAACCAATAACTCCTCTTAGGTTAAGCAATGTTTAGTGTAACTGGCTGCTTTGAGCTGATTTTCCTTTGACTGAACAAAGGCAGCCTTCAGCAAACGAGGGTTGACTAAGCTGAAACGTAAGACATTCTATGCAATGCTAGCCGAGGCACTACATTTCTGAAATATGCATAGATAATACTCTTAATTAGAGAATACACCTAATTAGCTAAGCAACTTACTGCCTTATCCAACATCTCTATTTTTATTCTATCAAAGCAAGTAGCAATAGCTTTCGGAATGAAATTATAAATCGCACTCAGTTGCAATAACTCTAAGACTAAATGCTGTTGAAACCCGAACTGAATAGAGCTGCGTCATATTATTGTTCTAAAATTTCCTGCCAACAACGTTATTATTGTATTCCTGTATTTCCTGGAGAACTCTTGTTTTCTCAATAAGTACTTGACTACTGAATTTGAAAATCTTTGAATGAATTATGAAACATAATTTAAAATTGCTAAATTGTATATAATGTTGGGCTGTATATATATATACTCGATCAACAGAATTGAATTGTTGAATTTGTGAATATAGAATTAAAGATTGATTTCAATTGATTAAATCAACATCGTAAGAAGGACTTCATTGATTTATATAATGAGATAAATATATTGATACACAATTTATCGTTAATTATAAATATTTTGGACCAAGTCGAGCTGATACGTGTCTTCATTTCATTGTGATAATAGGGAACAAATTATATATATCATATATAAAATATATCATATGCTAGGTGGGTTTACATGATTGTACTTTTCATGATTATCTATTAAAAAATGGATGCTCATTAAAAAATGATCTAGGTACAGGGTATATTCTAGTCGATACTTTACGCTTGACTGAAGCACTTGATTGTTTTCTATGTTCCGAGGCAGCAAAGTTATTCACTTTGACATTTTCGCTTAACAGAATTGTATATGTAGATATATGAATGTATTATATATTTTATATTCTATTTGTAACATAAAATCTCGTAAGCCTCTACATATTTTTGGCACTAACTAAACGAAACTCAAACATTTGTTGGGCTTCATCCGCATTTGACTTGTTCAGAAAGGTAATAAAAACTGTAAAATGAACAAATTTATCATGTCAAATCGTGTGACGCATATCGCTCAAGCACATCTAATGATATACACGTTCCTACGTATACCCCTACCTGTACCATATCTGTATATCTCTCTCTCTCTCCCTTGCTCGCTTTCGCTTTCTCTTTCTCGGTCTGCTTGAGTTCTTGACTTTGACTTATGTTAATTCAAATTGAAGGTGGAACTATGAATTGCTGCATAAATTCATATACTATATGTTACGGTGGTCTCTAGGTGCTCAAATGATTGTCATATTTGAGCGATTTATAGCATCTAGAGGCACATATATCTTACCATAAATACTCAACTGGTATCTCTAGGTCCATAAAACAATCAATCAGTGATCATAAAGTAAACAAAACTGTTGCGCTTATTGAATCGCCATATGCTCAACTAGCTGTTTGCCATTTGAATGCCCTTAAAGTAGAGGGTATTATAATTTCATTATCAACTATGTAACGCATAAAGGGACAAGCTAAAATCTGTTTTTGACCAATGGAAACATTTTTGTTGATTTCTCTGCTAGTTGAACTAAACACATATAAAATCAATTATATCTAAATTAATCTCTCGTATGATATAAAAGTATATATATTTATATAATCAAATATATATAGAACATCAAATAACTATTTTCTGTAGTTCAGTGTGCTGCAAGCATTTCAAGACTGATTATCTTCGGTGCACGCTACAGTTAATAATCTACGAATCCTTTTTATTATTTATCAAATCCAATTTTAATTCCAACTACATCAAATAGTTGATGGGGTATTTAAGCATCTGTGGCTCGTTCTATCTCTGTTGATTATGTATTAAATTTTTGGGACTTATATTATTTTTCCGCATCTCGTAGTTCGGACATTTGTTTTTAGAACTTTCTGACAGTGTGCACAACGGATGGATGATGATGATATATCTTAGCAGATGTGCTCTGCATTTTGTTGTCATTTGTTTTTTGTATATTTTTTCCCGTCTAGCACGCGCTCGTTCCATATAAGCCAACAGCGGAGCAGCCACAATAATACAACAACAGCTGCCCAGTTTTTTGTTCAAGTATTCTCCATATTGTGTGTCAAGGCCCACAGCTATTCCCACGGAGTACATAAAGTGTCTGTCCTTGGCAGCTATACGATTCCTTGTCCGACTAATTAGCCTGAGTGCATAATAAAGCAGTGGCAATCCATTAAGTGTTAGACGGACTAAAGTGAAACATGTCGTGCAGAGGGCAATGTATCTGAGACGAATTATAATATATATATATACATATATATTTGAATATTAAATATCTCGATCTATTCATATGGGGCACATGCCGTAGCTTCGTTGTTTAATGATTATTTTAAAAACAATCATTTTACCGTACAATCGCACTTTCATTTGTGTAATATAACTTATTGAAGAGTGTTTCAGCCTATATATCCTGATTATATATATATCTGGGGATAAAATGTGAAGAAAATGCTTCCGTTCTGAACAATTTATATCTGCTTTCCTTTGAAGCTGGACTCATCACAATTAGCTGAATTTTCAGTTGAAAAATATAAAAATAATATAATAAATAATTAAGCAGTTTTTAGTTGCTCGAGATTATAGATCATATATTTATTCTGGACAGTTCAGTCGATACGTGAGAAGAGCAAGTATTTAATCTAACATTATTCGTATCCATCAGGATACTCATGAAAAATACGATTTTTACTCATTCACAAAATTGAATGAGTATATTGGTTTTGTGCAATCTAAGCTAAAGACTTGAAATTTGAAATATATATTTGTGGTAACCCTCGTCTGATAGTGTTAAGATTTTTTCGAAACTATTTCCGGTATATGCGAAACGCTAGTTGTAGTGTTAAATACTTAAAATTTGGAACGAATAATTGCGCTGACAACACAAGATCAAAAAGATATTGTGGCTGTATCTACGCCAATTTTGAGCGTGGAAAATCTGGTTAAACTGTATCTACCGCAGTTTTGAGGCTACAAATTGGGCATACGAGTTACTGTTCAGACTCTTTACAGGTCGACAAAAAATGACATGTCGACGCCCACTAGCGGAGAGCTGACATATGTTACATATGTTACATTTGTTTACTATTGCCTCTAATATTTTGTTGACTTTATTCTCAAGTTCCTTTATTGTTGGCACATTTTCGGTGTCTTTTGATCTAATGTTCAATAGCTCTTGGTTAAGTTTATCTCTTTCTATTAATATTTTTGTAACTATTTAATTTTGAATGTTGTCTAAAAACTCTTTAAAGTTTTTATAGTAGTTTCCAGATATTTCGATTTAGATACACTTCAAATAATTTTAGCGTGCTGAATAATCTGAAACTCGAAGCCTGAGCGTAATCTCACAGAATGCGAAACTCGGTTTCTTCTATGATCAGACATCAAATGTATATTGCGCTAGGATGTTACAAATGTAATATTGTACCCAATATCTGATATCATAAATGGGTAAACGGATGTGATTGAAGTGTATGTCGGAGGTAAAAGTAGAGGCGGGGGATTTTAAAGTTTTGTTGTTGACGTAGACATTGTTTAGCCCTAGAAACCTGTAATATATAGAATATATATTCTATTATTACATAGCAGAACAGTAGGAATGTTTAGTAGATTTCTTCTTAATATTAAGACTCGATTGATATTATAAATGTATCAGCTGAAGAGTTCTCCTCGCAAGTTAGGGTATTATCTAGTCGGGGACTTTCGACCATTTAAATGCAAAGCGCAACTAATACAATTTCACAGTCACTTGTTATAGAATGACGGCTAATAGATATAAATATATATAATTATTAATTATAATATATATATATATATATTTTTTTTTATATATATATATATATTTTTTATTTATTTAAATATGTTTAAAGGAAATTCTGAATGTGAAACTCGAAGATAATCTTTTCAATTTTGGCAAATTGCGTTGAAATGCAATTAATTTGGCAGATTCCTCGGCTGTTGCTTAGATTACTGCTAGCAACTAATTAATAAATAATTAATTATATTCTCTTTTTCTCTATTTTGTTGGCTGTTGTTTGAGGGTCGCGCCTTAGAAGGTGAAAGATGGGGGAAAGTGGGAGGCGAGTATGAAAATTGCAATTCAATGTCATTGACGAAAGATCATAAAGAATATCTGAATATATATATGAGTGAGTGAATGTGTGTGTGCGTGTCTGTGTGTGTGTGTGTGTGGCCGTGTCTGTTAATTATTTAATATCATTTTCAATTTTTGCCATCGCTGCGAGTCTTGGCGTGTCCGTGACTTTTGTTGATATGCCGCAAAGAGATGATAAATATGAAAATGAAATTGGCTTGTTCTAAGCAAGTGTGTGTGCAGCATGCGTGTGTGTATGTGTGTAAGGCGCAAAAAATAAAATACACGAGAAATATATAAACAATATTGCACACGGCACCTCAGAACTGCTTTGGCTTTTGGGCACTTTGTGGCGCTTGGAGAGGGGGTCGCTGGGCGCCCACACGGCACTGGCAGTCAGTTGGTAGCGCCCCCACCAGTTGCCACCGCCACCCGGTTGGGTCACCACTGTCAACACATTTTTATTATTATTTTTATTTTTGATTTTGCTTTTGGCTTTTTTGCTCTGCTTTTTCATTGCAAATCATTTGCATGTCTATTTTTGAACACGTTTTTTAATATTCTTCCATTTGTGTGTGTGCGTGTGTGTGTCTATATTTATTTCTCTCTATATATATAGACACTATCATTTTTATGCTCTTTTTCATTGCCGCCCCGAATTGGCAATCTGCTGTCTGTCTGTGCGGGCTCTTTAGCGGCTGTGCCTGCCGCACTGTAGGCGTCTCTGTCCCCATTCATAAACATCGCTCATTGATCGAAATTTCCTCTTGGCATCTTCCTGCCCCAAGTAGCTGCCCCTGCCCCTACCCCTGCCTCTGCTTCAGTAAGCAACTCGACTGCATCTCTGTTTTGGCCAGCGTGTGCCAAACGTCCCTCTGCGCTTTTTATGGGGAAATCCTGTTGGCCAACTGGCCAGCTTTCAGTTTTATAGCGCCGCAATGAGCTTTTGATCACAGACGTATCCAAACATTGCGTTCTTTAAATAGCAGCAAAAAGCCGTCAAAGCCAAAGGAAAACAAGAAATTAACCAAATCATATTAACAAAGGTAGCGTAGCGCGGGTTACTTCAGCAATGGGCGCTTCCTTATTGAAAATGCTTATTGAATCAATTACTTATTTTAAGATATTGTGATTGAGTTTAGAAATCATAAATGTTGAATGCTTCAAATCGCAATTTTTTATATATTAATATTTATTTGTGGAGGTATGCAATTGAGTTTGCGTCTTGATTTTACGCTTGTTTGTTCAATTTGTCACTCGGTGTGAGTGAGACAAAGATAGCTGTTGCTGAACGCAGTCGCAGCTGTAGCCAAGTGAGAGTGAGATGGCTATTGAGGTCATTCGAACCGGGTCGTTGTGACTGTCAGTGGACGAAGAGAAGCGACTAGAATTTGTCAATCTGAAAATGCACCAGAAACTTGTCATAGTTAAAAAAAAATCTGGCCAAACTGACTCAATTTGCGACATATATATGTAGATGTATATATTTATTTTCGTATTCTACAAAACTTGAAAGTTAGTCTCATAAAAAATATTTTAATTCAATTCCTATGCAGCACATTAAATTAAAGAATAGTTTATTTTATATGCACTTTATCGTTACTTAAGTTAAAAAACAATTGTTCAAGCTCTGAAAGTGAAAATACTTGCTGTGTATGGCAGGCTGTGCCGTGCTAGCCATTATTTGAAAATGTACTCGATTAACTTGCGCATATAAAGTCTATTATTCTTGTAATATCGATTGTTATCGATATGATAATATAAAAAATATAAATATAAATCTATGTTTAGACTGGATTTTTTTGCATACTTAAGACTGTAAAAGCTGAAGATAGCTAATTTACCGTTAAGTATGGCAAAAATTGTGACTATTTCAACTTTTTTAATCACCTTAAATTTGAGAGTAAAGAAAATTAATTAAATAGTTTTCAAGATTATATATATATATATATATATATAATATATATATATTATATATATATAAAAAATATATATATATATATATATATATATATTTATTTATATAAAATATATATATATATATATATATATATATATATATATTTATATATTTTTTTTATTTATAGATATAAAGTTGTCTATATAAAACTCGCTTCATTCACTTAGATAACAATATGATGCTTAGCTTTGGGCGCCTCCTGCTGCTAAAACGTCACTGGTATTTCTAGTTAAATAGATAGCCAAACACACACACGCCCACACACACACACACGAACACAGACACAGAGTATAGCACTCAATTAGGCGTCTAGGTTAGTTTGCTTATAGACACAACAGAGCAGCAACAGAATAAAAAAATATATATAAATATGTATATATATATATATATATATATATATATAAATATATATACATGTGCTTAGTTTATGAAAGAAAATTGGAAAATTGAAATGGAAACTCGAACGACACGCCGAAACAGAAACACAAGTAAAATTCGTATACAAATTTAAAGAACAGCTAAGCAGACAGACAGACGAAAAATGAAAATATAAATTGTTGTTGCTGTTCTTGTTGTTGTTGTTGTTTTGGTTTTTGTTGTTTTTGCTTTTGGTTTTTTCGTATTTTTGGCAATGAACAAAAACTACGTCAACTAGAAATGCTGCTCAGGCGCGTATTTATGAGAAGAGCGTCGTGCGCAACGAAGCACACATAAGAAAAAAAAACACACACACACACATATATACCAGAAACTGTAGCAACCACAACAACAACAACGGCAACAAATTTTGTTGTAAGAAAATGTTGTTGAGGCGCGTCTCGAGGAAAAATAGCAAAAAGCAAAAGTTATTCTGTTGGCGCGCGCATAAAATTGAATTCAGTCGAGCCGAGCACATCGAGCAACGACGTAAGAACACGGAGCGGATAAGCATGGACATATTTTGGCTGTTTAACTAACATCCCATATTTATATATGTGTGCATATTTGTTTGCTCTTGCAGGTCAGCAGCAACGGTAGCAACGGTGCATACGATCAGCAGCAGCAGCAGCAGCATTCGACGGGCCCAACAGCACAGCAACAGCAGCTGCAGCATCATCAGCATCAGCATCAACAGCAGGTGACGGACTACGCACAGCCAAATCGGGGCACACAGCAGCAGGCGCACCTGACGCAGACGATCGAGGAGACGACCATAGTCGAGGATAGCCGCGAGGATCAGTTGGATTGTATGCTTGGTAATTTGCAGGCAAATATGAGTCGTCAGGGAGTTAACACAGTGCAGAAGGGCTGCTGCAATGCATGCGAGAAGCCAATCGTGGGCCAGGTGATCACCGCCCTGGGCAAGACCTGGCATCCGGAGCACTTTACGTGCAACCACTGCAGCCAGGAGCTGGGCACGCGCAATTTCTTTGAGCGCGACGGCTTCCCCTACTGCGAGCCCGATTATCATAATCTGTTCAGTCCGCGCTGCGCCTACTGCAACGGCGCCATTCTGGACAAGTGCGTGACGGCCCTGGACAAGACCTGGCACACCGAGCACTTCTTCTGCGCCCAGTGCGGCCAGCAGTTCGGCGAGGACGGCTTCCACGAGCGGGACGGCAAGCCCTATTGCCGCAACGACTACTTTGAGATGTTTGCGCCCAAGTGCAACGGCTGCAATCGTGCCATCATGGAGAACTACATCTCCGCATTGAACTCGCAGTGGCATCCCGACTGCTTCGTCTGCCGGGTAAGCAACTACCATAGCTCGCACTTATCTGGCTACTGTGCCCTCTTTTTACATCTTTGTTCCATTCTGTATGCGATATGATATTTAGGATTGCAAGAAGGCTGTGCGCGGCAAGTCCTTCTATGCCATGGAGGGCAAGCCAGTTTGTCCGCAGTGTGTGGGCGTCGATGAGGAGGAATAGGCGTCCATCACCCAGCAGTAGCGGCAGCGGCAGCGGCAGCGGCAGCAGCATCAGCAGCAACAACTTGTTGAAGTTCAGCAGCACGAAAATAGCCCCCGTCCGGATACAAATTGTATCTACATAAAATTGTTTACCCAGCGGCAGCTGCGTCCCACTTTCTGTCTCACTCTCCCTCTCTCCCTCCCTCTCTGTCGCACTCTGTCCCATTCTCTTTGGGGGCTATTTTCGTTGAAAATGTGAAAATTCTTTTTAATATTGTCGGGGCTCAGCGCTTGCCTCGATTTGTTGCCACCTGCCACCATCCAGCAGCAGCATCAATAACAACAACAGCAACTCAAGGATCTGACCCCCCCTCTAGCTTCTGCAGGGGTCTGGACACGGCTGACCACCAGGCAACTGGGCGGGTCGGCCATGTCCGCCCCTTTATTATGATGGCCTAGGCCATGGCTTGCGTCCCTGTTAAGAGTAACCCCGCCCCAGTCCCCGCCCCTTTGAAACTGTTGAACTTTTCTATATGCAATTTAGTTGTAAGTTTTTAGGTATTTTTTAAATTTAAACATTTATGAAGCAATATTGTAATTTGTTTTTGTAAATAAAATTTAAATAATTAAATTATATTGAAAATTAAAAAAATACAACAAAATGAAAAACAATAGAAAACAACAAAAACAAAAAACAACAAAAACATGCAATGAAAAGTCTTGGCAAATGGATCTGGACTGTGTTGCTCTTGACTACTTCTAGTCCCAGTTCCAGTCCCGATCCAGCCAGACCTTGCCGCAGCTCAAGATCAGTGTCAATATCTTTGACCTTGATCTGGAATGTCGCCTGTGCCACGACCTTCGATTGTTGTGCTTGTTGTTGTTGTTGTTGTTGTTGTTCAGTTGCAAACAATTTACACTATTGCTACATAGATTTTCGGATTAGATTAGCAACAATACCAAACATCCCCATCATAGTCCCCTTGACCCCGGCCGCTGGCGATCGAAACTATTTTCGTTGCTGACGTTTCGCTCACAAATATAAAACACAAACAGAATTAGCAAATGATTTCGAGTGTATATAAATGTGTATAACAATTTGCTTGTACTCACGAGCACTTTCCTATCGAAGCAGCCCCAATAATTCCCGTCTGTCTAGCATAAGTAATCTGTGCCCCCTGAAGGAGTTCAGGTTCAGGTAAAAGTTTGTTATTTATTTGTCATTTGACTAAAATACGCGGCATGCATATCTTTCAAATTGTGCATATTTATAGAAACTCAAACAGATTCTCTTTCAAAATTCTTTGGAAATTCCAATTAAATATTTCCTATATATCAGCGCTAAATTTGGATGCCGAAAATTCCGATTTCTGTTTATTTCGAAGCAGTTCCATCACTCAGTAATTATTTATTGCAATGACAGCTTCTTGACTCTTGAGAACTCCAACTCTAGATCGTTTTCTATTTGAACTGAATATTGAAAACATTTGGCACTCGATCAAACTTTAAAGATATATCGTGCCAAAGAACACCTTTGTTTTATTTGCATACCTTAACCTTAGGGTCAACATGAATAGACTTTTAACAATGTTTAAATCTCAGATTATTGCTGTCTTCATCAATTCCTATTAAGATTATCTCTGCGTCTCTCACTGAGTTCAGCTTAAGATTTTTCCAATCTTCTCCAATTAAGAAGCGACTCTATCGTCCATATCCAAATTGTGTAAATAAGAGAACTCTTCGAAATCTTATCGACGGATTACATGAACCTAAAAAGGGTTCATTCCACACACTTATGTTTCATATATCTTCCTTAGCTTAATATTGTTTTTTTCTTGGCCTTTATATTCTTTTCAGATGAACTTCTCATGACCTTTAATTGTTTTTTCAGCTAGCTTTAATCGTTCGAGCTGCATTTGCCTTAGACTTTAGCTGCGCTATTTCAGAATCTTTGATCCTTAAAACTAATTCTAAATTTTAAGTTCTTGATCTTAGTTCTAGTTGACTCTCTAAAAATTTGATGATTGCTTTGAGCCTTTGTATTTTAATACTTAGTCCACTTAGCCATGTTGCCTTCGCGTGCACAGAAGCAGGACATTGCAGAAGTTGTTTCCCTGCTTTGTAGCCGTAGCCTCCACACTCAACACATTCAACTTCCTCGATTATAGATTGAATTTACTATGGATTACTTCAAGTGATAAACTTAAACTTGTGTTCTCACCTATTACCATTGGCAGATATACGAATACACCTGGAAATAGCTTTTGCTATATATACATTTGATATATAGCTAACTCGTTGCACCTATGATCCGCATATAGTTGGTTGATAGAGGCAGAATAGATTCCATATTCTTATGCTCAGTCAAACTTAATCGTCATCTACAATTGTTATCAACATTTTCCCCACTCTGTCCTTGACTTAGCTTGAGGTAGAGAATTTTCAAATTTCAAAGTTATAGTAGTCTTATTTAAATGTTTTAATCTGTGTCTGCTGTTGTGACTGATCTTAAAGAATTTAGTTATTGAGTACCATGACGTTGCCTAGCTAAGTACATACACTCAATTCTGTTCTCAGCCCGTTGCTGAAGTATTTATTTATTTATATATTTATAGACACATTTCAAAGATCTAATAAAACATTTGAATTTAATCTTGCTTTTACAAAAGTAAAGTATAGTTAGATTTGGATAAATTGATTTATTGATTAGCTTCCTATGTCCACATACATCTAAAGCTTGCTCGTGGCTTGCGCAGCAGCCTGGTGCAGTGCTTAGGGTATCTACGAGTTGTTCACATCCGCCAAGAGCAGTTGCTATTATTGTTATAAACAACAATGAAAAGCTTTTTGTTTTTAATATAATTAATAGTTCTATAAAAAGAACAATCTTAATCGAAATTTCATATTCAGTTTTAGTATTTTATAAATGTGATGAAAGTGAAAAGAAGAAATTGAGGAGAAAGCTTTTTAGTAAATATATATATATTCTGAACTACTGATATATATATTTCTATATAGCTATACATCGTATCAAGTAGCTCGAACAAAAATGTTCGCTTTAAAGTCCATTTCCAGCTTTGCATTATCCAATATTATTTAATTGCTACCATATATTATAATCTATATATATATATATAAATTCGTGCAGTTATCTAGCTCTATATATTTCTATATCTATGCGTTTCGACTTGGCGTTTAGCCAAAAGCGTGCGCAAAATGTTATTGTTAAAATTAATGCGATTTCTTCTTCTTGTTGCTGCTGCTGCTGCTGCTGTTGTTGTTGTTTGAGAAATGTTTTTCCAAAACAAAATTCAATTGTCGCAAAATAATGCCAAATTTGAATAGCTGCTACACAGTGTGCACACTGGTGCAAAAGCGTCTGTCAATCGCCATTTCAATATTTCGCTTGGCACATTTGAGACTCAGCATTTTCGAAATTGCTCGCTGGCAGCTAATTTATGAATGTAATTAGCATTTAATTTGAATTTGAGCAACCTGCAGAGCAGACACCTTCGAAAATAGATCAGGCCGATGGCGCAGTTACACTCAGCCTAATTGTGCCATTAGGTCGAAAATTATGAAAACTAATATAGATGAATATCTTACATTTATTTATTGTATTTTCTTTCTTTCTGTCTTGCAGGACTGTCGGCAACCGTTCCAGGGTGGCTCGTTCTTTGACCACGAGGGCTTGCCGTACTGTGAGACACATTATCACGCCAAGCGCGGCTCGCTCTGCGCCGGCTGCTCGAAGCCCATAACGGGCCGTTGCATTACGGCCATGTTTAAGAAATTCCATCCGGAACATTTCGTCTGCGCCTTCTGTCTCAAGCAACTGAACAAGGGCACGTTCAAGGAGCAGAAGGACAAGCCCTACTGCCACGCCTGCTTCGACAAGATATTCGGTTGAGCTGGGCATACACATACACATACACATATATATACGTGTGTGCTGCATCAACTATATACATATATAGAGTTACGATCCTAATATGCTGTTGCTTCTTCTTTTTTGTACGATTCACGTCACTTCAATGTACCGTTACTTACCTTTACGAGAGTTCATCTGTGCTTTGTATAACCGAGTCAAATTAGTAATTAAATTAACACTGGACACACGATATACATACGTATATCAGATCAGATCAGATCCGATCAGACCAGATCGGGTCAAAATAATCAATTACACGACACTAATACCCTGCCAATTAAATGGCGCAACGATATTTCTGCCCTTTCAAAATAAAATTATTACGATAATGCATTTTCAAGGCCTTTATTTTTGGGAAATTAAGGGAAACCCAAGGAATGTTATTCAAACAATATTCCTTAAAAAATTTAAAAATGTGAAATTTTGGAATAGTTTTTAGCTTTACAGGGATGTCAAAAATAAATGGGATTATAAGTTTGAATTGGAATAAATAAATGAAATAATCATATATAATATAAGCTACAGTTATTTTATAACCGTATTTTAGGGCTTTCTACATTTTTTAATAAAAAATCTTTTTTATCTAACCAACTTGTATTAGAATAAATTAAAAAAAGAAACAATTAAAATTGTTCACTATAATTTTGGGCTTAACAATATTTATTATGAAAAGGTTATCAATTTACTGAAGTTTGATTTACGATTAAAAATGCTAAGTTAATTAATAGCAGCTGGTTGCTTGGCTTAGCGAAGACACAAACCCGCAAGCATCAGTAGCTGGCGGAACACTTCTGTTTTCGTATTGTATTTGGCTCTGCTACAGTTTTAAATGCTCTTGCAAACTGTGTGTTTACTCACCATCTGCGGACCTTTAAATTCACTCTCCCACACTCTCTTGCGCTCATGCATGCAAACAACTATACAAGCGGACACACACACACACACACAGAAATGGACAGAGAATTATTTTATCTGGTAAAGATGCCGGCCGGCAGCTCGATTGCCGACTCGCTCGCACTTGGTGCTTGACATTGAGCTCAGCAGCCTGCGTGCTCGCGCCAACTTATTAACTTGTGTGTGAATCTAACTACCAGCGCTCCCACATTTCTGTGCATGTGTGCACTTGTGTGTGTGAGCTCGGGCTTGTGTGAGTGCGCGTCGCTCCCTATAAACACGGTAGGGTTCGCAGCACGAACGCTTGTTGTGAATCAGTCAGCGTCAGTCTCGCTCTGCTCACTCACTTCTCATCTGTTGGCTGTGTCGGTTGAGTCGGTCCTGTTAGTCGCGTGGCCCGCAGCCCATTGCAACGTTTTTACTCGTTATTCGTTATTCGTTTCGTGCGTGACTTTGCTCTGCTATCCAGATCGTTTTATTCGTCTTAATTGTCCGGTCAACTAAACTGATTTGCCTACACTGTCTGCAGTTCCACTGCAATAAGCAAATAGTTGTGTCGAAAGCAAAAGCCGGCAACAAAAAAGAGAGTCAATCAGCAGGAAGCTCTACAGGTTGGTGAATAACAAACACACATACACATACACATACACACACCACACCACACAGAGAAACAAAACAATACACACACACGCATACTTATATGGAGTCAAGTATGTGTGCATTATATCATTCGACTCTTCGTTGCATTCTCTACAAAGAACTGTTTACAAATAGTTCTCTTTCTGTCTTTTTTTGCGCGGTGATGTAATATGAGCTCTTGTTCAAGTCCTTAACAAAACAAACAGTGTGTGTGCGTGTGTGCGTGAGTGTGCGGTTTGCACTGCGAGTCATGATATCATGCGGTGGTATTCTGATTCGGAACCCAATCAGAATCTAAGTCCGAGTCACGCATGCCACCCGCATTCGCTGTCGCGAGAGCAACAACAGAGCAGAGAGCAAGGAAAAGAAAACACAATTAAAGTTTATTTATGCCACTAACACACACGAACCAATTGCCCGCCAGACTCTCAAACTGTCTGCTTGTGTATACGTGCGTGCGTGTGTATGTGTGTGTATGTGTGCACCAAACCAATTTGTCAATGATTGCGATATGTAAATAAAAGTGAAATTAACAGTTGCAGCTATTATTATTCCCTCTTATTGTTGTTATTGTTGTGTTCGCAACTGCTGTTGTTGTTGTTATTGTCATTTAATGCCAATTGCTGCATTTAAATTCATGCTTAAATTGCATTGTAAATTCATTTAACACACACACGCACCCTAGAGCGCCCGTTGCAGTACCCAGTACAATACTCCCAAAACTGTAAAGCTATTTGAATGTTTAATGGGCACATCTAAGGCGATAGTTGGCAACAGTGTGTGTGTGGGTGTTCAATTGGGCTTAACACGCAATTCCGATTACTACCGACTGATTAGCCATACGAGTGTTTAATGTGTAGCGATTTGTCGTGGGTCGCACTTACATATGTCATGTACGCTGACAAATTAGTCAAGCACATGTTAAGCTCTGTGACAACCCGCTTGCTGTTTTGCAGCCCTACTAGTGGCTCACGCAGTTGGACAGCCATTGTGCTAACTGCAAGCGCACCAGTGGCTGCTCAACCAATGCAGCATTTGCATAGCTTATCAGCACGTAGCCAACACTGGTTCAACCAACCAAAGCTGTGGCTGCTCTGATACCCTTTAAAGCAAAGTCGGCCATATGCCCACCATAGAAAGAGTTGCGTCATTTCTTCTTATGAGCCCTAATCAATCGATACATCACACTCTTTCCTACCCCAATAATTATAATTTATTAACTGATTAATTTTATTTTCTTCGCCTCGACAACAAGCCGAAGGTCAGGGTCGCAAACGCGACTATAAGAAAACTATTCATATTGCTCGTGTATATAGCTATTAGCACTTATCGGAAACTGGAAATTGAATGAAAATTTTGTATAATCAAATTAAATTTATCGGCAATGCTTGATAAGGCTAATACAGCGAACTCGCCAAAGATAATGACGAGGTTCATGGGCAAAGTGCCAGTCAAGGTCAACGATTAATTATAGCCTTGAGAAGTCAAGTTCAATCTATTTCGTTCAGTTATTTCAGTTTAGCAGTTATTTAAAATACTCAGTGCCAGAGTTGCATTGGTCGGTTACTCAATTCGATTCTAGTTCACTAGTTCAGATGAACATTTTGTTTATGAGCAGCTGAGCAACTCAATAGAACTTGTCGTTCATAAAATGTATTAAATGGAACATGACTGATCTCGCCACTGATCAGTTTAGTGGTTCTTTGGATTACTCTTTGAAATGAACATTTTCTGAACCAATGAATCATCTAATCACTTTAGTAGTTCATTTATATAACATATTAAAAATAATAGAGTCTCAAGTGGTACTGAGTTCAAGGGTATAACGCAGTCGCCATTACCCGCCCCACTGTTGTCTAACTTTTTTTCTACTTTTGTTATTGCGTGAATTTCGTCTTCGACTGACGCACGCCCCTTTTTCCGTAGTCGAACTCAAGTACTTCTCGCCTTTGCTTACAAACACGGATATACACAAGAAAAGTATATATACAAATATACATACATACATATTTATATATATATATTTATGTATTTACGGTCTATTTAACGACTTTTGTGGTTGTTTGTTGTCGCTGCTGTTCTAGGCATTCGCTTGAAATTTTTTTTTTTATTTTACAATTTTCTTCTCTCTTCTCTCTGCGGCCTTAGTGTAAGCAAACAATTGAATATGACATCTTGTATGTCGACCTAGTAGTATACATTTGTTATGTTTCATGTATCTTTTGATCTGTTGAGTCTGTCAGCTGTTTACGCGAAATACCCTTTAGAGACCGAAGGCAAATGGCGTTGATAGTGGGAATAGTTAAGACCACGAAAACCCCCATTTGCATACAATTTTTAGAGCTAATAAATTTAATAATTTAGAGTTAATAAATTTGTATCTATTCTTCAGCATTAAACGTAATTGGATTTTAGATCAGGAAAACAAAAGATTAAAGCAACTGATATTCGCACAGACCATTTCTAACTGGGAAGGGTATCTCTAAGTCAGTCACGTTTCAGAAACTACTCTTTGCAAACCTCTTCAACACATTAAGTATTCTCTTTTAGGCTACAGATAATGTCTCATTGGGGCACTTTTGGAATATAAATCAACATAAAAATGTGAGAGAAAGAGGGAGAGAGAAAGAATGCAATATTTGAGCACAGATAGAGAGAAAAGCTTGTGTGCATATGAAAGAGAGTGCGTGAGAGAGAGAGTGAGTTTGCTAATTGAGCGTCTCAATGATAGAGTTGAGCTCTCGACAATCCATAAAGATATCAAAATATTATAATTTGAAGAGCTTCGTCTGTCAGCTACTTCGTCTTATCTTCTAATATTATCTGCGACTCGCGCTAATTGTTTATAAGTTCCACGGAATTCATTATGATATTTAGATATTATATATTCAATCAATATACAGTGGAACTGATATCCAAAATGATCACTACGCACTATACGGAGAATAGCTTTTGCTTTGACTTTTTGAAAGGGAAATTGAATTGAAATAATCATTTTTTTGATATGTGCTATTTCTTAGAACGCTGTAGTATAGCATGCCATAGTATTTAGCTTATAGGTAATTAAACTTACAACCTATAGACTTCCAATGTGCGTCATTAACTTTACCGTTATGTCGTGTGTGTGTTACCAAGGCCGTTCCCCATTTCCTTTCCTTGTTGGCTTTGAGTGTGGTTTATGCCAGTTAATAAGTGAAACAATTAAAATTAAGTTTATAGCCTGATAGGGTTAAGTGTGTGGTATAAACATTCTTAGACACTTAAATCAATTCAGGCTCTTGTGCGGAACACAGCGCGTTTATCGCACACTCTTAATATTGCGATTCTTTATTTACGTTTGCGCTTATCTTCAATCAGTTTGCACTCTGCTCGAGGGCTGTTGTATATATTTGACTTTTGGATTGAGGTTTATCACAGTTGCAACTTGTATTGGAAGTGATCCTGAAAGTGATAAAGAAAGATTTTATTATACCTTCCTAATTGGTGGTATGGTTATTTAAGATGCTACTGTAGGGTTTCTGTATTTGCTCTAAGCATGAAGCAATCGCTCTCAAACTGTGGCTTTTCACTTGGGTTAGCCGTGTTACAGTTGCCCCCAAACCTGCGGGTGTGTCAAACGGGTAATTGACTGCTATATTTTCCCGTTAACCGATTTACTATGGCTTCAATAGTATGCGGCTTAAGTAGCTGAAGTGCTCCACTTAAAAACAGTTGAATTCTAATTGGACAACGATTAACAACTCAACTCACCAGATGCTCATTCACTCTCATTGCAGTGAAACACATACAGAATGGACAACGTGGACACAAGTTTTATACCCGATTTGCCAACGGGCGGAGGTCTTGCAGCTTACCGCAAGCGCGCCAATTTTGATTGGAAGCGTTTGCGCTTGATCTTCGAAACGGAACAGGCACTGCGCATCAAGGTGAGTAAATGCAAAGAAATTAAACTAGCTAAAATTAAGATTTAGGCGTAGGGAATACAGGGTTGACGTATTGTATAAAAAAGCAGGTGCACGACGAAAGAAAGACTTAATGAGAAATAACAAATTAAAAAAAGATAAATGTATATGACTACAAATGAATTTGCAAATAAAAATGTTTAATATGAATGCAGAAATTTTTATATGGTGTTGAAAGTCTTGAAATTATACTGACAATAAACAAAATGTTGCCAATAATCTAATAAATAAAAGAATGAGTTAGGAATATAAAATAATATTTTATATTCCAATTTAATACCAATTATCGTTGAGTTCAATTTCTCAGCTGTATTTCTCTTTGTTATAATCTGCGATAGAAACCCCTCCAATAGAAGAAACTCTGATTCCACACAATATGTGTGTGTGTATCGTATTGCTAATATGACGTAATATTGTAAAATTAACAGCAGTCTGTTTTCAAAGTTTCCCAATTCGTAATTGTCCCCCACTGCAGTTGCAGTAGTATTAGTGTGCGGCTGTCGCTGAAAATTTAGCTTAGCTGCAAGATTCTCATTTCTAATTTGCGTCCTGTAGAGAGACAGAGAGAGAGAGACAAAGATAGCTGTTGCTGAACACAGTATCGTGTGTAGTTGAGTGAGAATGAGATGGCTATTTGTACTTTGCGGACAGAGTCGCTGTGAATGTCACTGGGCGAATAGAGGAGAGTAGAAATTGCCATTCTGCAAAAACATATTTCAACTGATTCAATTTCGTTTTTTCCTACCTTCCTAATTATATAGTACAATGTATGGCGTCGCCTGGAAAGTGATCCACTCTTTGCACACGCCTCGCGAACACTGCCGATGGACGAACAGAAGCGCCTGGCAGCGATGCAAGTGAATCGCATGAAACATTTGGAGCTGGTGCCCAAGGAAATCGAGAATCTGAACTTCTCGGAAAAGACAAAGTATTTGATGCACATCAATGAGGCACTGAACAGCTACTCACCCAGCCTGTCCGTAAAAATAGCTCTGGGAGTGGGCCTGTTCAACAATGCGATTAGGGCCATGGGTACGGAGAAGCATACCAAGTATATTGACGCCGCCTGGAACCGAGAGGTGATTACTTGCTTGGCCGTCACGGAGGTCTCGCATGGCAGCAACACAAAGCGAATTCGCACCACCGCCACCTACGATCCCAGCTCGCAAGAGTTCGTCATCAATACACCGGACTTCGAGGCGGCAAAGTGCTGGGTGGGCAACCTGGGCAAAATGGCAACCGTCGCCATGACTTTTGCCAACCTGATTACGGCTGACGGCGAGAACCATGGACTGCATGGATTTCTCATACCTATTCGTGATCCGAAAACATTGATCCCATATCCCGGTGTCCTGGTCGGCGACATTGGCGAGAAGAGCGGCCTGAATGGCATCGACAATGGCTTTGTTGTCTTCACCAACTATCGTATACCGCGCGACAATCATCTAAATCGGACGGGCAATGTGACGCCTGATGGCGTCTACGAGAGCGTCTTCACCGATCCCGGCCAGGCACTGGGCGCCGCACTAGAGAGCTTCTCGGCGGGACGTATTGGCATCATGCAGGAGTCGGCCAACACCCTCTGCAGCGCGGCCGTTATTGCTGTCCGCTATGCGGCAGTGCGCAAACAGTTTGGCCCAGAACGTGAGGGCGAGGAGATGCCCATCATCGAGTACCAGCTGCATGTAAGTGAAGCCATATATCTCATCCAGCGTTACTCTACTCACTACTAAACCCTGCTCTTCATTCGCAGCAATATCGCATCTTTCCCTACTTGGCTGCCGCCTGTGTGCAGAAGATTGCAGTCGAGGAGCTGACCAACACGTATCTGCAGATTATCGCCCGCTCCCAGGCAGACTCTAACGGATTCGATATACTGGTAGGTGTAGTTGCGGAGAGGACAGAAGTCTAAAAGACACTCAACTCTTAAGCAACATACCATGAAGTCTACGTCATGGAAAATTCCAAAATGCATACTTCACTTATCTTTTATTACTAAAGCAGTCCAGATTCTGTATAGAAATCAGATATTGGCACGCCAAGTACAGGTCGGGCTCTGCTGTCTAGACCAATTTCACTCAATCTAATCAATCACAGTTAACATAATCAAACTAGCTATATAAATGCATGACAAATGTCAACAGGCAAATCGATATACATAGGTATAGTATATATAAGTCTAGCTATTGCTAGACACTCTGACTGAATCTAAGGTTTATTACTTGTTTTATGATCTAATTGAACTTATCTATTGGCTGAACAAGAGTGATACTATTTGCGATAGCCATGTACCAGTTGTGGTACTCAACAATATTTACCACTTAATCATAAATTCTCTTAAACGAATAGTTAAAATAATTTTCGGAAGTTTCGACTCAAGTTTTTAGCCATAAAAAATCTCCGTGAGGTCGATCGCACCGTTGAAGCCCTTCAGCCTTAAGTACATTCAGTTCAATCATAAGCCAACTTCCCGAGGGGAATTGCTGCCAAGTGATGAAAATAAAGATTCAAAGAGTCGATTTGGCACTAAGGTGCCCACAAACCAAATCTTTTAAGATTGTTTGTTGTTAATCTACAACGATTGCTAGTTACTTATACTAAATTCAATATTGTGACTTAGTCCATTTTCAAATTGTAATGTAATGGGTTTCAATTCGTTTGCAGACTCAGAACGCTGCGGAGATTCATGCGATTATCTCGGCCTCGAAACCACGCATCACGTGGTCGGCACGCGACGCCATTCAGGAGACGCGCGAGGCATGCGGCGGTCATGGATATCTGCGAGCCTCCAAGCTGGGCCAGATGCGCAGCGATCACGATCCGCTGTGCACCTATGAGGGCGATAACAACGTGCTTGGCCAGCAGGCATCCAATTGGCTGCTGCGCCAGTGGGGCGCCAAGGAGCTGGAGTCGCCAATTGGCAGCGTGACGTTCCTGCAGCGTCGCGAGACCTTGTTGCAGCTGCAATTTCCACAGCTGTTGCGGCAAAGTCCATTGGAAAGCTGGGAATGTAAGCAAGCGAACTGAGGCTAATGAACTAATTGTTGACAATAAAATAAAATTCGGCTTTTCTTACAGTTGCACTTAGCTGCTACGAGTGGCTGCTGTGCCACCTGATGTCCCACACGACCGCCCACATTACGCATCAACTGGCTGCTGGTGTCCATCGCTTCGAGGCGCGCAACAACTCGCAGGTATCGGGTGCGCGGGAGCTATCGCTGGCCTATGCCGAGTACTTTGCTCTGAAGAGCTTTGTGACCCACGTGAGGCAGCTGAGCCTCGAGGAGTCGTATGCGCGAGTGTTACGCGTGCTGTACGATGTCTACGCCATGTGGCTGCTGGAGAGCCATATGACTACATTCTACGTGGGCGGTTTTGCCGTTGGCGGCGACTTTGCTGCTGCCGTGCAGCATCGCCTGCTGCAGAGTTGTGCGCAGCTGAAGGACATGGCTGTCAGCGTGGCCGATGCCATTGCACCGCCGGACTTTGCCCTCAACTCGGTTATTGCGCGTGCTGACGGTCTTCTATACGAGAACCTGCAAAACGAATTTATGACCAACGAGGGAGCCTTTCAGCGCCCTTCGTGGTGGCGCGATGTGATTATACCACAGGGCCAGGAGAAGTCCAAACTTTAAGCGGCTAGTGGACAGTCGGCCATGGGCAGTGGATAGAGGGCAGCAAGACGTGGAGGGACAAGTGCCTGGGCAGGTCGATCGGTCGGTCACCCATTCTAGCTAAATTAGTAGCTTTTGTTATATAGTCATATCGTATCCAGGTATTACCTCTTATACATACCATATATAGAAGTTCGATTAGCATCGTTTGAGTTAGTTTCGTGAAGTACGTAAAGTATTAACATCTTGACACCTGTCTTTTCTTTCTCTTAATATTTGACATGTTTTCTGATTGGCATAAATCAAAATGAAATTACTAAACAGTAGGACGCAAACTGAGTGAACGACATCAAAATTATCAAATCACTTATAAGAATTTGAGTGAAACAGCGAGTTTCTTTAGTTGCCCAAAGTATTCCCCATTCCCGATGTTGACGCGAAAACTATCAACAGTTGTTCCTATCAATCATATTTCAGTTAAACTGCAAATACTATATATATATATATAAACATATGTAGTATATATTAGAAACTTAATGTTTAAGATTAAAGATGTTACGAGTTGTGTGAATAAAAATGCATAAGATTGATTGCAATTTGTTGTTGGCGTCTAATTAGCGAAGCCTTTGACTGAATTATTTATGAGCCCAACTAGAGTTGTGTAAAGTGGTCCATAGTTTGGGGCTGCGAGCTAAACAAAAACTGCCTTTTGTTATAATTAGTCGGCTAAGCAAGCATATAGACAGCATTTTACATATGCACACACACGCTCGATTGTGGGTGTGTGTGTGTGTGTGTAGAGTGGGCATCATTGGATAGTGTGCAAAGGTGCTGGTCATTGTGCGATCGGCTTGGTGTGAGCCCCGTTTATAAGAGGACCTGTGCTTACCTGTTCCAACTCAGACGTGGCCAGCTTGCCACACAGTAAACACGAGCTACCGTTCGCGATCAAAGTGAGTGAGTGAGCGGGATCTGCGCGAGGGAGCTCCGAGCGTAAGCCGCGAGCGGGATCTGTGAGAGGCAGCTCGGAGCGTGAGCGGGCAGAAAGAATCGTGGCTAAGAATCATAATTGTCTGAGCAACTCAAGCGAGTCGTTCGGCTCTGACACATCATATCAATTCGATCCAATGACTGAACAGAGAGAGAGTGAGAGAGTGAGAGATGTGTTAAATATAGACGCTTCGTTTGTTTTCATAACTTTTGCAAATCGGCGACGCAGTTCGATTTGATTTTTTGGGCAGAGTGTGAGTGACTGAGTGTATACACAAGCTAAGCTAGCTGTGGGAAAGGGCATCCGTGCCTGATAAGGCAGTAAAGAACACTAAAGTCGACATTCCAAAAGACATTCAACCCAGAGCACGCCTTGGATGAGGCCAAATCAAACAGAGCGAAGACAACGATATCCATTTAGCTTGGGCCTAACTGCGCGAATTTCCGAATCATATGTTAATTTCGTGACTGGTTTCTTTGTGAAGAAAGCTTGGCCATTTATTATTCCGGTATTCAGGCAAAAAGAGTCTAAATATGGTGGTCTAGCCACTCGGGCGGGTAAATCCGTAATTTGCTTAGAAAAATCCCCCCAATGAACCATAAACAAGAGCTGTGCAAAAGTGAAGTGCAATAACAAGATATTCTCAGACCTCTCATAAACGTTCGACAAGTGCGAACAGAATTGCGAATAAAGAAGCTTCGAGCCTCGAATCGATGTGATGTACAAAATGCGCACCAAATTACGCGGCGCTTCCAAGAACAACAACAACAAATGTTTCTTAATTGTAGAAAAAATACAAAACAAAATAGTAAAAAAGAGCAACCAATTAGTGAAACCGGTTTAGAAATCTCCGGACAAACAAAACTCATATAGAAATCAATTAATTTACATTTTGGGAATTTCCGCTTTGAATTTGGTGATTTTCTCACATGTGCCGCCCCCTCGAATACCCGCTCTCTCCCACTGTCCCCCGCCTCTGCATCTCTCACTCCCACGCCTCCTTTCTCTCGCTATTATTTTTGAGAATCAATAATTGAAAAGTCGTGTAATTGCAATTAGACGGATTCTTATCAAATTTAATTGAAGGTTACATTAGGGCACGTGATGGGCGCAGAAATAGGTCCGGCTTAGGGGGAAGCATTCATTGCAAGAGCATTACAGAGTCGACTAGAACACAGCTTCGTAGTAGTTATTGTTTTCTTTCTCGAGTTAGGTAAGCTCTGCTAAGTCGATGCCGACCTCCCCAAAGCTAACGAGTGAGAATATAGACAAACAATGAGTTTAGAACTGTTTGTGATTTGCATAGATCGAGAATTACGAATTATATAAGTGAGACTCATTAATGGAAGATGAAAACAAATCATCAAACTCAAGAGCAACGTCTACAACGGCAAACCGGATCGCTTACAGCTTCGCCGAGACCTGTTTCTGTCTCACATTTAATATTTTATATTTGTTTATTTTTCATTTGTTTACTTTTTATTATTTCCAGCTAGAATCAACCGAATTTTTATATGCAAATAAAAATTAAGAAATAATATGTGGAAACTTTTGCTAATTTGTATCGTCATGAGCGCATTATACACTGAGGGCGATGCTGCATCATCGGGTGAGTACAGTGAATACTTAATATATATATCGTATAACCCATCACAAGTGTGTCTGGTTTCATAGAAATTATGTAACTTAGTGCAATATGAGATCCTCGTATATAGAGTATAGATACTTGAAATCGTGATCGATCGTAATGTTTAAATGTTCAAAGACACAAATAAAATATGAAAATCATAAAGGAAATGCTATCAATAACATATAGTTATATTAATAAAATAAGCAAAAATAATATATAAACTACTTTTTTGGAGGTAATCACTCCCGTTGTGTTCCTTCCTCTTTCTTGAGCTGCCCCTCACCATCGATCCTTCAAGGCCTTGCCGTTCTAAATGCTCTAACTGACTACCTTCTGTTGTCCTTTTTGCTGCAGTATCTGTTCAGCATAATCATAGATTCCTCTTCAAGCATCTTTGTCTTTGCACATTTACTTTATTAGGATCTTAACTGTGACTTCGGAGATCACTTCTGCCAGGTAGCTGCTTTCTTGTAATCACCTATCCAACTGTGGTCTGCATAGTTTGCTTAATTTATGCAGTTGGATTCGGCACTTTTGTCTAACTTTTTTAGGTACTTTCGAATTCATGGATTTGGTTACATAGAGCAGAGAGCAATTTTGTCAAATAGAAATACAGCTTACCTTGATCTAGCTACTCTTAATAAGATTTGCATTTCTTTTACATCTCAATTGACCAGGAGACTATACGCAGCTGTCGCGAATCATTGCTTATGAGATATATATAATAAAAATAATATATAATAATAATAATAATAATAAAAAAAATAATAATAAAAATAAGAATAATAATAATAATTATAATAATAATAATAATAGTAATAATAATGAAAATAATAATAATACTAATAGAAATAATAATAAAATTAATAATAATAATAATAAAAATAATAATAATAATAATGAAAATAATAATAATACTAATAAAAATAATAATAATAATAATCATGATAATAAATATAATACTATTGCCAAAAATAGTACAAATAATGAAAAGGATCATAATTAAATGTAATTAAAATGATATAAAAAATCATGAAAGTGTTAATCATTATTAAATATTATTGAAAAAAAGAAAATAATATTATAAACTATTGTAGCTATGAGATAAAACAGCAAAAGTCTCGGACTGTAAGCCGGATCTTCTTAGTTCAGTTGATGAAATGACTCAAGCACAGTCAGTAAATCATCTTTCGCATGAACTTATAGTATTAACTGTCATCAATTATAATGTTAATTACAGTTAGAAGCGAACGTGAAATCGATTGCTTTAATGATCCATTGTTGTTAGGGATCGACAGCTTGAAATGGGCCAAAGTACGAGAAAGAGTTGGCAGACTCACTTCATATATTCAGATGCTGTGATTAATATTTTTATTTAATTTTCTATTGCAGGCCGGAAGGTGTCGCGCCGTCGTCGCGGCTATGCGGGTGGGTATGCAGGTGGCTATGCCAGCAGCGGCGGCGGAGCAGGTGGCTATGCTGGCAGCTACAATGACTACGATGACTACGGCGGCGGCTACTCATCACATTTTGGAATCACGGATCCCTACCTGTTCCACCAGCAGCTGACCAACCAGATTCTCGCCCAGAACTACGCAACCCAACAGTGAGCATTTTGGCCAGACTTTTCTATACAAATGGGTGGTGTTTTTGTTTTTATTGTTTTACTGGGGTATGCTATGGGGGCCTTGGTGGATGGATGTTAACAGCGCTTGCTATCTATTCTTGTAGAGCTATAACGGGACTGGCCACGTCGGGCGATGCGGTCGCATCTGCGGATGCGACCATAAGCGATGATGACACGTAATTACACAGCTTTCCTATCTCACTTTCCCCAACACTAATCCGCATGCTTAGATTGTGGCCGGCACAGTAGCTAATTGCAATCCCTGTGCTTGTTTTTGACAGCCGCATCCAGCAGCAGATCGCCGCCCAGCAGGCCTACCACGACAATGTGGTGCGACAGAACAGCTATAGAGGCGGCTCGGGAGGCTCCTACAACTCGCACCGCTATGCACCCAACTATGCCCTGGCTTCTGGCACCATCGGCTCCAATGGAATCAGGCAAACTGCCTACATCAGTCCCGCTAGTGCGGTAAGCGAATGGCTCTTGCAGCTGGCTAGAGCGTGGCTAAAGCATTTCCCTTTTCCACAGGCAACACCCAATATTGTGAACCGCTTCGGTGGCCCCAGCAGCAGCGGTGGTGGCGGCTTCAAGGGCGTCTCTGTCTCCTCGTTCAGCAGCAGCAATGGCGATGGCACCAGTCGCCGTGGTGCACAGACAACCATTAACGACAATGGCAAGGTGACCTCCTACTCGGTGCACTCTTAGGGTGGACCCATACCCAGCCCAGATCAGAGCTTAACTCAACTCTTGGTGTTTAGCATACATATTATATAAACCATACGGCAGCTAATAACTCTCTATTTATATGCTTTGAACACACAAATACACACTCTATATATATACTTTATATATTCCAAATTGTAAGTGTTTCTCATTTAGGGGGCTTCACTGTCACAGGCAGGTTTCCAACTTATCAGTTTAGCATATATGCTAACGAATGCTAACAAATCTCTATTTATATATCGAGAGCACAAAACGTATTTGATATATATGTCATGTATTTGAATTTGTTACGGAGACTTTACTGTATTGCTAAATTGAACACTCACTCACAGGGAAAACCCCGAGTTAATTTACTTGATCCTATATAAATTTCGTTAGTTTCTCCCTTATTTGGGCTTTGTCAATTATTTATTCTATTTGCCTTTCTATAAATAAATGAAATCAATTATATATTTGATATAGTTAAGCTTTCTCATTTAAAGGTGCTTTACTGTAACAGGTTTCGTTTATTAGAAAGTTTATGTTTCTTTCAGCTTTCTACTGATAATTCCCGTCCATTTGCATGACAAACATATGCAAATTTTTATGCCATTTTGTTTTTATTTATAAATTGAATTTATTTTATTTCGCGACCTCTACAATTTGGCAGATAATAACCTGAGCAAAGTTTATCAGGCGGCACAGGAAATTGTCTCTGTGTAGGTTATGGATTTGTCTCATTAAGAACACAATTTATGGCATCAATTCGTACGGACCATATACATATAGGCACTATATATAGCTGGCCTCTTCGTGGCGACTCTAGTCAAAGCTAATGTTCAAGATGCTACGAATTGAACTTGAAAAGCAGAAGGTTTTCCCAGAGCCCGAGCACTGCTTTTGTGTTCAAGGTATTCGAGTAGCGAATCGTCCAATTGGGAGAGGCTATTCAAGTGGTAATCGCTTGGAACTGTTCTGATTAGCATTTAGCGGAAGCAATAAAGCAAAAGCTTGTGTTTGTAAACAACTTACATTATTTTTATTTACAAATCAACCGAAAACCGATTCCGGGAAGTGCCACTGTGAATCCGATTCGAAACGAATGCGTAAAAGTATTCCAAGCGCCATGAAATCTCACTCAGGTGATTCCCATCGCTGACTGCAAACGAAACTGTTTAACAGTTTCTAAAACATTCAAAGAGTGTTTTCAGTTGATCACAGTTATAATAGCATACTCCTCAATTTTGTACTATCTGCTAAATCTTGCAATATATATATATATATATATCCGCTGACTGCTTAAATCAGCCAATGATTTTCCTATAAGGGACTGCATATTGCATGCATAAAATTTGAGTTTAACGACTCTCAGCTGTTCTATAAAACAGTTGAGCTTATTTCTCTACATATATACTACTACTACATATAATGCTTACATATATATTCTTATATACAGTGAATTTGGGAACTATGCTGTTTCTATACACAGTTGGTTTTAAATATTTGATTATTCTTCATTTTGTGGGCATAGCCAAAAAAAAAAAAAAATAAATAAATAAGTTTATATAAATATTGTTTATCGGATACGTTGTCTTTATTGCATTGACCATGATTTCTTCTGTCTGTTACATTCATTTTAACATAGCAAATATATCCAGTTAATAAATTTTCGTTATGATTTTGGGTACAAAAAGAAGTTTTCAAATATATTGTCCCAAAATCGTGCAGGCAGGCAAAGCTGCTAGTTTCTAAATTTTGTGTTAGACAGACAGACACAGAGAGGTCTATAAATATAAATATAAATATTTATATATATATATATATATATATATATATATATATATATATATATATATATATATATATATATATTTATATATTTATATTATAGATATATATATATATCAGATTAACAGAATTTTAATCTTAGACCGTTTAATACGACAATAGAATACAAATGATGCTTAAGTATATGCTTAAATATATGAATAAATAAATAAATATTTATTCAAATATATTGTATAGAATCTCTGTATATGATTATAATGAATATTATATAATAGTATCAAGTGAGCAAGTTATTAATGCTAACTTTCAGAAAACATCTTTATGTTACTCCTTTATGATATTAGATATTTTTGTTATAGCTGCAATTGCTTCTTAGTTTTGTTAGTTGATGATTCGTAATAAACTATTACAGGGTTAACTTGATTCAGAGAAAAATCGGTCACATTTGTTACTTGAAAGCCCAAGTCCGCTTTGATCTCTCTCTATCTTTAAAGTTGTAAGCAAACTGACTGAACAGCCTGGAATGGACTTCAAAATCCGAAATATAAAAAATCTGTGTATTTATTCCAGAAACGAAATAAAACGAAGCAAACGAAATTAAGTGATCGATTCTAATCGATGATAAGCAAATGGATTGAGCAATCGAATACAAAATCGATAGACTCGTACTGCGCCTGCTAAACAGAAATATACATTCAAAATTTCAAGCCGTTGCTTAATTGACTCAGCTCGTCAAGCTGCTCAGAAATATATGTACTTTATGGGGTCAACCACGCCTCCTTTCGCCTGCTACATGCATTTTCGCTAAGTCATTGTGCCCTAAGCACCCATTTTCAATGGGTTCAGCCTAAAGGAAAATAGAACGCCTAAGCTTAGACGACTGAATATGCCTTCACCTCGCACAGAGAGCAATAGCTTATAGTCGCTGTATACATGGTCGATGCTCTAATGCCAAACTGCTTTTGTCAATGGCCTGTACTTGAATATAGACGCAGTCTATATAGGTATGCATATGGGTCTGTGCATGTATTATAACACAACTGTACATGGCAACTATGTACATAGATTTCAAGGTTTCGGCACGAAAACAATTCATATCAGCTGTCTACATAGATGTGTGTGTGTGCGTCTCTGTGTGTGTTTGTGTCGCAATTACTTTCATCACTGATTTAAATAAATAATATTAAAAGTTTCTGCACCAATTCCGAGTTTAATTTCGTAGCATTCATATACGTAGCACACATTATCTGTGCTGCCCAATGGCAAGCTCTCTAGGTCAAGAAGCGATCTGTTTTAAGTCCGAGTAGAGCTCGCTGTTATCTATAAGTGTCTGGGCGGCCTGTTTGGTTTTTAAAGCGCGCTCCCATCGTTGCTATTCATTAGTAGAAATTCAGGCGCGGGTCTCGCACGGTTTTACGCAGTGGCAAACAATTTCCAAAAGACAAAAAACAAACTCAATATGAGATCTATGTTGGTGCTGGCTCTGTGCCTGGGCGTGGTCTGTGCAGGTAAAGAGCTCCTTTAGCCATTCGAAGTGTTGAAAGTGAAAATAAAAAAAAAAACAGAAAAGATCCTTCTGATCTATCTCGCTCTCTGTCTTCCTCTCACACTCTCCTACTCACGCTTGCCCCTCTCTCTCTCTCTCTCTCGCACACTGTTTCCGCTGACGTACGACACGTTTACAAATTATTTCTGAATGAACTTTTTACACAACACAAATTGTGCAACGTCTCGTTGCAGGCATGTGTCGAGATAAGAGATTAGAATTTTCCAATTAAAATTTCGATGAATTTGCTGGAAATGAAATGAAAATAATGCTGTTTCTTTTTCTCTTATAGATTTGGAACACAGGTAAGTCGATCACAGTTGCGAGACGATCTTTGAATTAACATTAATTTTGGTAACCAATGTTTAGAAGCAAGCGGGACGACTTCCATAGTCGGTAAGTGCCGTGCGGCGATATTGAAGATCTCATTTTATGCTTGACAAAAATTGAAATTTCCAATTGGCAACATGGTACTAACCCACCCAAAATTCAAGAAATTTGTGAAAAAAGCACTAATCAATTTAGAGACTGAGCAACAGGAATATTGTGCAACAGACTTCGTGCTTAAAGCTGTTGCATAATATTCGTCCAGTCAGACGTCGCCTTGATCTAATTAGATTTCACCCACAGCCACTATAGCGCCCATCAGCAGGCAATCGAAACGGCGCGTAGGAATGCCTATGGCTCGAGTGGATACGGCTCCAGTGGATTGAGCAGCTATGGAATTGGTGGCAGTGCCGATCTGGCGGTCGGTGGCGGAGTGGGTGCCTCCCTGGGCAACCTGGAGAGCTCCTACGATTCGGTGGGTGCCGTCGAGGGCGCGGAAAGCAGCAGCGGCAGCGTAGGCGGCGGCGCTGCCTTTGGCGCCAACAATGCGGCCTCTTATGGGGCACAGAACGCGGCCTCCTTCGGCTCGAACAGCGCCTTCTCCTCAAACTCTGCCTTCCAGACGAGCCACAGTGCCAACTTTAATGCCGCAAGCGCGCACAATGTCGGCAGCAATGTGGAGTTCTCGGATGCCAACAATGCTGGCACTGAGGTCAACTTTGGTGGTGCCGGAACGACCAACTCCGAGTCGCTACTCTCTGGCAATCTGCAGGCACCTTTGGCTATTTCAGCTCCTGTTGCCAGCGGCGGCAATCTTGAGTACTTGCACCACGAACGTGTCGTGTCCAGCGCACCACAGCAGGTGGTCTACACTGTGCCCGGCGGCTCCCAGAAGTATGTGCAGCATGTGGAGCGCGTGGTGGAGCAGAAGCCTTCAGTGCAGTATGTACAGGTTGCCCAGCCCGCTGGCACCTCCGAGCACTACTATCAGCGCAAGGTGACGACCACCGCCTCGGCGCCACAGATCATTCAGCAGCCTTCGGCTAGCTTCACCTACGGCTCGAACACGGGCTCCAGCTTTGGCACCAACTCGGCCTTCAAGGTCAACCAGAATGTCGGCTTTGGCAGCAACTTCGGCCACCGCTCGGGCGCCCAGTCCCTGTTGACCGCCGGCCAAGCCGGAGGCATCAGCTTTGGCTCCGGCAGCTCCCAGCTGCACCAGCTGATCAACCAGGCCCATCAGACAGCCAAGCAGCAGGCAGCCAGCGGCAGCTCGATTAGCACCGGCGCCGGTCTGACCAGCGCCAATCAGCTGCAGTACGGCGGCTCGAACGGCTTCAATTCCAACTACGGCTACAACTCAGCGAGTTCCCTGAACTCTGCTAGCTCCTTGAATGCGGCCAGCTCTCTGAACTCTGCCAGCTCCCTGAATGCTGCCAACAGCGGCTCACTCTTGGGTGGATCCCTGCTGGGTGGTAGCACAGGCTCTCTGCTGAGTGGCTCCCTCTTGGGCGGATCCTCCAGCAACAGCCAGCTAAATGCCCAGAGCAACTTCGGCTTGGGTCTTTCCTCTGGCCTAACTAGCGGTCAGCAATTGTCCGGCGCAGGAAACATTGGTGCTGGCATCGGTGGCAACAGCGGCTACCAGACCAAGCAGTGGGAGAAACAATCCAAGTGGTCTTCCCAATCGGAGGTATGCCCCAATTAGCTCTCTGCCTCTCAAAGCAAAGCAAAGCTCACCTTTTCTCTTTGAACTCCCCAGTTTGACTCCGATGGACATGTCAAGAACTACAAGGATCTGGCCACCGGCGAGAGCGAGAACTACAATGTGAACGGCAAGCAGTTCGGCTACAATGCAGCCACCGCCTCAGTTGACGACAACGGCAAAGTGAGCACCTACAGTGTGCACTCGTAAGATGTAACTCTCGACTCATCTCTTTCTCTCTCACTCTGCCTCACCAAGAATAGTAGCATCAAATTTCTAACTTCCGCGTTGTAGACGGGTCAACAAAATTGTTAAAAATAAAAAACGAATTTTTAAAATACATAAAAGAATTTTAATTGCCTTTGATTTATGAGGGTAACTCGCACTTGGTCACTTCTGACTAGAGCACTTCAGCAAAAGGTCTGCTTATTCATTCAATTAAAGAGCTACTCTTAATCTGCTTCTATTTTATGAAAACACTAATGAAACGACAATGTTTTATATTGATTTAAAAGAAATCAAAACAGTGAATTTCGTTTTTCCTCTTTTCCTTGGAGCATGTTCAAAAAAGACTCTTTTAAGGATAGACCAACGCATCGTATGGACAGAATTTGAACATTTTTGAGGTTGATGCTGAGCTTTGGGAAATCGCAAACGCTTCCTTCTGCCTGTTATAAGCACTCAGGCTAAGTACATCATCTGGGATTCTACCTCGTATTGATAACAATTTCCTAATCTTTTCTTATACATATTTCCATGGAGTGCGCTAAACAAAATTTCTTAGCTGGAGCCAATAAATTAGTTGGTGCAAGCTAGTGTAAGAATATCTTTGGATTGAAAACTGAAATGATCTATAATTGTGAGCATAATCTATATATATTTGCATGCTCATTAATGGAGTTAAAGAGTCCATTGATTGCAATGTCTAACCGTCTATGTCTACCCATGTTTATCCGACAGTCCGTAGGAAAACAGACCGTTTTCTGTGTTGTCCTTGCATATCAAGAATGCCTTGTATATTGCAAATTTGTAGAGCCTTAGTCACAAGTTTTGTATACCTCTTGAAGGCGTGGCAAATAGAAAAATCTATAACTTTCAAAAGTTTTGTAGCTAAAGATAAAAACTTTGGCTGTTTAGTTACTGCAGAATCCTTTGTAACTTCTTTACCACAGAAGATGAATTTTTATATTATAGTACGATAGATCATATCATATTTATATATATTATCTACACATACCAATGCAACAAGAAGCAGAGAAATAAATTTTTCTAATAATTTTATTTATTTAATTGATTAAGAACTTGCAAATATCTGGAATATAGAATTTTCAGGAGAAGGGTTGCTCCAACTTGCCATCGATGTGGACGGCTCGACCTTTGACCACTTCCCTGCTGGGAGAGTCAGCTTTTCTGCTGCTTTTGTTGTCCCGACGGGCTCGGTAGTCGTAGGAGGACATGCAGTAGCAGGGCTTCCAGCTGGGTTGTCGCTGCAGCTGGCTCTGCTCATGTGGCGAGCGCTCCGTAGTCCACACGGGAACGTAGTGCGTCCAGGTCTCGCCGTTGCGGTAAATGCTGCCACTGGTATCATCGGCGGTCGTGTAGACGTGCTGTGGATAATACTGGGGATAGTAGTCAGCCGGGCTTGATCTGGAGCCACTACGGTTGCTGCCATCGTAGCCGCGATGCTCGCTGGAGAAGTTGGGATTCCATTGGGCTTTGGGGTTGCTGGGATTGCTGGACTTGTGCTTGGAGTCACGGCTGCTCGAACGACCCTTGTAAATGGGCACGCTGGCATCCTCTGGCATGTGAGAAAGTGAATAATTGATTGCAGTGAAAGACGAAGGTGAAAGTGATGCAGGCGCCCGCTCACCTTTCTCGCCCTGCTGCTGTGCTGAGCTCGTCTCATTTGCGTCACCCTCGGCCGTAATCTCGAACGTGATGTCTGTGTGAATGCCCACACGTTTCTTGTGTTTACCCAAGTCCGTTATTTCGACGCTCTCCTTGGATTCTATTTGGGTAGTTTGTTTTGGTTAAAGTCTCATTTGATTTGCCCTTTGCTCTGAGCCAATTTAATTACCTTTCGTTTGCTGCTGTCCATCGCCCGTGTCGACTGTAACACGCACGCCGTGTATCTTTGGCCGATTGCCACTGTTGCTTCCACCTCCTCCGCTGCCATTGCGTCCAGAGCTCTGATCATAGCCAGCGTTGCCCTGTTGCCCCTGTCCCTGTCCCTGTCCCTGGCCCTGTCCCTGGCCAATTATAACTGGCACTCCAGTTTGGTTGTTGCTATTGCTGCCATTCTCCATGTCATCGAAATCCAGCTTGGATGACACTTTAGTCGACTGACCTGGTTACGGTGCATATCCAAAGCGCGTCGTCGTTGTTTGTTTTCGGTTTAGCATAGAAATTAGATTTAGCAGAGAAATTTCATTTAAGTTATGCAAACACATCGACTTCCAATACCCCCGCTTCAGCCTTAACCACGCCCCAAAAGGAACATCAACGGAACTGGAGCGTATCTGAAGCTGCCCGCGGCGAGAGCATCTGTAAGTGGAGCAATTAGCTCACGCTGACTTATTTATGGATATATCTCGCTCTCGCTCTCCATCTATCTATTGCTCTCCCCCCTCTCTCTCTCTCTCTCGTTCCCTATCTCTTGTAATCGTACACAGTTGACTGCCTCTCAAGCGGTCGAGGCACACTTTGACCACTTTTAATTGCACTTCAATATGCAAAGTTTGCTCTGCTAACTAAGTAGATTAAGAATGGGTTGCTAACACAGTTGGATTCAGATTGCATTCCCTTTGATAGTTTTTATATATTTATTGAAAATATGGAAGATATCGTACTAGAAAGTAGTTAGTAGTAGCCGTAGATAGCAATGGTATCATCAGCCTGAGTCTGCCTCTAAATATGTTGTTTCAAGTAAGGCGAGCAACGACTGCAATGGCTATGCAGCTTAAAGATTCTATAGAGGAATGTAAAAAAACATTATTTGTCAAGCAGCAAAGAGAGAGAGAGAGATAGAGATGGATATAAAATATTTATTAAATATTAAATATTTATTAAATATTATTAAATAAAATATTTATAAATACTGTCAACTGAATTGAAGTCATATTTGAAATATACTTTAAAATAGAAATGAAATTTCAAAGGCAATTCCTGGCAAAAATATTTGAAATTTTGTTAAAATATAGTTTAAATACATTATTTAATTTACGTCAAAAAATTGAATGATTTTTAATAACTTTTTAATTTGTTATCAAGTTTTTTCAGCATTGTTCATTGCAAGTCCATTCACCCCTTTGGGCAAAATTTGCAAGAAATGTTTTGTTATAATATTTTTTTTTTTGGTTTGGGGTACGCGAAAATTCCCAAAGAACTGGAAAAGCCCACGGCCGTGCATGTTCAAACTAATGACTAATTGTGAAATGGGCAAACATGAGTCAAAAGCCAATTTGAGGAACAACCTTGGGCGCAATGATGAGTTAACAGAAAGCAGCAGAGCCATGCCAAAAAGGCCACGGATCCCGGCAACATTTCACAAAAAACTGTTTACAGATATTGAAGAAGTTGGGTATCTGATTGGCACTCGCGACACGAGATCTCGACTTCGGGGGTGTTTTCAGTGGAACTTGTTGAAAACTTTCGAGCGCGTCTTATGTGCGCACTTAAAAACCAGCGAGAAACGACTAAAAAATATCGCAAACGCAAACCGACTCAAACCGATTTCAAATATCTGCCGAGATTCATTAAAAAATTAACTAGCCAACTGTGCAGTTGCTTCAGACTCTGTTTCAGTTTCAGTTTCTGTTTCTGTTCTAAAGGCTGACGTTTGAGCTTTTTTAGATAACATCTTGACTGGGCTTCCAACTGAGTCGCTGAGTTTGTTACCGGACTGCACTTGAGTTGCAGTTGAGGCTGAGGCATCGAGGGGCGCCGCAGCTTATGAACGTAATGCGTATAAAGACGTTACCCCCACCTCCCACCTACCACCCCCTGTCGCCCCCTGCCACTTCATTAAATTGCCCGTAATCGGCTGGCTGGCATCTTTTGTTATTGTTTTTACTGAAGTTTCCGCTGTCGTACGAACGAGTATGTATCTTAAAGATCCCATTGTGTCTGTTGAGTTGTTTTTTGTTCTATCAGAAACTGAATTTTGTTTTTGGTCTTGGCCGCAACGCTCTCATCGTTAATCATGAGTCGGAGATTCGAGCAGCTACCACAATTATATTTTGTGGCAATTTTGACAGCACAAACGATTATCTTCATTAGCCGCCGGACCATCAAAGTGGCAACCAAATCACATTCAAGTTCAAGTTAAGGCTTCAGCTTTATTGCGTTGCGATTAACTGATCCCTCGGCCGCCCTCGCCACAACCCCATCTGCATTAAGGAACAAGATGAGCTCCCAGCCCCATTTGTCAAAACTTGGATCGTAGCGCACACATGTTGGAATAATAATGTCAAGCCAAACAAATGTGTGGACCATAAATTGTGCTATTCGATGGCGAGGACTCTCTAGTTTTTGGCCCTGCTCCTGGGCAATTAATTAGCAATTGCATTTGGTGCTGTCATTACGTGTGATAATTAAAAGGGGCCCACGACTCGGCCAAGTACTCAACTCAGAGTGGGCACATACAAAAGAAATTCTGGCCAAATGTATAGCCATAAATTTGATGACCCAGACCAGGACCCAGGCCTTAGTCGGGCCAGCCGGTCCTGCCCTCAGCTCAACTGCAAATGCACTTTAATCTCGAATTTATCAAGTGTAATAGTTTGGCCCTGGGCTGAGCTGGGCTGGGCTGGATTGGGTCTTCCTACTGGGGATGAGGCTATTGTTGCCCTGTGGCCACTGCTCCAACTTTGCCGCACACTTTTGTAATCTGGCGGATTAGAAGCGCACACCCAATACCCACCACAAACACCCACAATCAGGCACCTGTGTGTGAGTGGGTGGCGTGTGGGCTGGGCCTTGTCTTGGCTCTGACTGCACTGTGTGCAGACCCATTAAACAGATGGATTTCGTTGTCAACATTTTTAATATACTTTTGCTGCCCGGAATTTCAGTGAGTCGCATTCCAAGTCTTCCACTCTGTCAGTCTTTCAGTCTTTCAGCCCGACAGTCTGTCAGTCTGCCAAGCTGTCCTCCCGGCATGGGCTGCATTTGCATAAAGTTTTGCAACTTAATTTTCATTGTCTCTATGCATTTATGTTGCACTTGCTGCATGGATTGAAGTTACTCGTGTGTAGCTTCTAAGTTCAAGTGCGTCATCTTCCACTCAAACTTACCTTCTGCCCTGCTCCTCCATTCTATAATACTTCACTCTGCTGAGTTATTGAAATGTGTTGCTCGAATCTTTTTGTTGCATACTTTTAGGGCGACCAAATATCGAAGAGCTCTTTGGTTATTATAGAAAATAAATATTTCATTTTAAATATAATACAAATTTGTTACTACAAATTATGCGATTTATTGTTGGGTTGTAGAAAAGTCTGAACATTTTCCTTTATTAATACTTTTATTTGTATTTAATATATTAATAATAATTTTAATTTGCACTAATAAATAATTAAATAAATAATTATATTTACATATGTGAACGGATTAAACATAAACAATAACATGACCCAATGGTAAATATATAACATCTTCTAAATTTAAATATTAAAATATTTATATATTTAGCCAAATACCAGATAATAAATGCTAAATAAATTTGTAAATGGTTGATCCATAAACTTTGTTGATTATATATATATATATAGATATAGATATAGATATAGATATAGATATAGATATAGATATAGATATAGATATAGATATAGATATAGATATAGATATAGATATAGATATAGATATAGATATAGATATAGATATAGATATAGATATAGATATAGATATAGATATAGATATAGATATAGATATAGATATAGATATAGATATAGATATAGATATAGATATAGATATAGATATAGATAGATATAGATATAGATATAGATATAGATATAGATATAGATATAGATATAGATATAGATATAGATATAGATATAGATATAGATATAGATATAGATATAGATATAGATATAGATATAGATATAGATATAGATATAGATATAGATATAGATATAGATATAGATATAGATATAGATATAGATATAGATATAGATATGATTTAAATCATATGATTAAATCATATCATATCACGAAATCGAATCTGAAAACTGGAATAAGTCTATTTCGTTAGCTTTTCTATTTAATGTATTTCGATTATCTAATCTTCCAAATTTAAAATTTGTAAAAAAACTCAATTTCTGTATCAATAAAATTGATGCAAAAGAAAAGTCTGATTAAATATAATATATTTAAATATAATCTTTAATATTCAAAAGTATATCTAAATAATATGTGTATTATAATTTATATATTTGCAGCAAGTTGTTGCTGGGAATTCTGAACTGTTTGCCTTAAATCCATTTCAGAATTCAATAAATATTGTTGTAAGCACAAAATGTTCTTTCGGCGAAACTTTGTTGTTAAAATGTTGTGTTTTTATCGGAAGCTGGCAGTGGAATATAATCAAGTTTTTGGTCATAAATGTTAATTACACAAACACTAAGCACAGACACACACATACACATACACACATTGATTGCTGAAAGCCTGGTCAGATACAGATACAAAGATACGACATGTTTGGCCAACAAAGACAATGTGTCTGCAGACCGAAGGACAGACTTTCAGATGGCCAGATAGAGTGTGGCCAGACAGACAAAGGAGCAACTGGCAGTGCGTGAGGCCAGTTTACAAACAATTAAAATGGCAAAATCAAAATCGAAATATACAAATTTATGCGTCTAGCTGCCAGAGCCAGTTTACAATACTTACGCCTCGCACAATACCGAAAATAAATTGCACAATTTTCGCAGGGGGCAGCAGCGGGTGGACAACTAATGAAATAATGGGCCAGCTGAATTAAATTATGGCCCAACAATTCCCTCGAGTGTCCCGGGCGCCCGACTCCGATGTGCCACAATAACTAAATTTGCACCAAGGTAAAGGAAACGTAAATTTTGATTGCATTGTTACCGTTTGATTTCCACCACCACCGGCAACGCCAACAACCACCCTCGGCGCATCCAGTCACCCACCCATGCATCCAGCGATCCGCATTCGAGCCCTCGAATACTCATTGACTATTCACACTCATGTTTTTCATATACAACTAACATCTATGTCTATCTATGTGTGTGCGTCGCATTATTATAATATTTTATTTTCTTGTTATACCGCTTTGCTATATAAAATTTTTATTATTTGCTCGTTTACGGCTTTGGCTCTTCTCTTTATCGTTTTTCGCTTCACATTTTCCCGCTTTTCTCGTTTCTCGTACAGTGCGAAATTATCACAAAACGCATTGAATTTGCTTTTATTGTTGTCGCCTCTGTCCGGACACCCACCCCCACCATTAGCCTCTCACCCTTGTCCTCACCCTCGCTTCAGTTATCCTAACTCTCTCCCCCCCTCCCTCTTCCTGTTCCGTTCGTGTGCAATGCAGCAGAAGCCGGCTCCTGTTTCATCATTCTCTCATTCTGTCGCAGCGTCTGCCGTCTTATCGTTTCCCGTTTTGAGTGCACAACGCCGCAGTCGCTGTGGTTGCTGCTTAGCGGGTGGCATAGACCCGCACAGTGGTCACAGGTCGATTGAAAAATGTTGTCGAATTTTTTGTACTTATTTTTTATTAAAATATTTATTTAATATTTCTAATACTGTGAATAAATTAATAATTATTTACAACTACACTTTTATTAACAACTAAAAACAAGTTTAAAATATTTTATTATTTTATATTATATTATTATATTACTTCACACTTATTAATGTGTACTGGTTCTAGATGTATGTGCTTTAATTAAAAAAATATAGTCAATTTACTAAATTAAAATAATGAATAATGGCATTAAGTATTTCATGCCTGTTTTCCTTCTCGCTGTTATATCTATATTTAGTATAGACATGCTTTTTGCTTCTATTTAAATTATACTCTTATAGCTTATGTAATATGCGTCAATTTCTGCTGCTGCTGCTCTCTGTACATCTTGCATTTCCCTTACTCCGTCCCACTGTGCAGGCATGGTTTCTTTTTTCTTTCCACCTTCTCATCGAGGCAAGCAGGTTGCTTGCGGGAGCAACAAATTTGGTTTAGGACCCTTAAAAATGAAAATGGGCTCAGTCGCTGCTGCTGCTGCTGCTGCTGTTGCTGCTGCTGCCACGGCTTGTTGAACGTCTGAACAAACATCGCTTGCTCCTTCCAATAAACCAACTCCGCCCATTGCCCGGCACTTAGCTGACAATGAGCAGTGACAGCTCCGGGGACAATGACGGCTCGGTCGGGTCGGTTGGGTCGGGCTTGGGCAGCTGGGGGAGCGTACGCTCTTCGAGAGCCGCTTGCGGTTTCATCACAGACTCCGGCATGCTGACAGTCTGCACGTCTGCTGCATCTGTCGCATGCCGGAACTAAACAACAACTGTGGCACCCGGGAGACCGAGAGCCACCCCCACAGCTAAGCGGCTGCTGGACAAGCCAGAGGCAGAGCTAGACCCAGGGCCCGATCCCGATAATGATGCGTACGCGTTGGCGATTATGATGGGTTTGATAGAGACGACAACTACTCGACTTGACATGCATGATTTAGTGCGTTG